ATATTTATAATATAAAATATATATATTAATAATATAAGATATAAATATTAATAATATAAAATATTTAAAATGAATATAAATAATTAATCCTCTTTATAACGAAAGTACGAATAAATGAGGATATTTGAATAGTGATTGATAGGGAATATTAGTAGTAAGGTAAAAAATAAAATAAATTATTTCAACTGTTTGTAATTCGTCTTTCAATAGTTTTAAGATCTGTATTTAATTTTTTGACAACATCATCAGCGGTAACATTAGTTCCCATTTTTTTGTTATAAAGATTAGCAATGAGATTTGGATTATTTCTAATCTCTTGGATAGGTATTCTCTTTAAACATTCAGTTAAAGCACTGATGGATTGATTTGAATTATCCATAATAATAATAATAATAATAATATCTCATTTATTATTTGGCCATTTGATTTTCTTTAATAGATAATCAATTAATATTTCTGGATTGTGCATTTTAAGTGTGTTTTAATTAATCCATGATACTTTAGGTGCGCGATTATTTTTTACTTTCCAAGACACTTAAAATAGAAGGTTTTAACCATCATTATCTTTTCTAATTTATAATATTTCATCTGCAGAATCACCATCATCATAATTTCCTTCTCCAACTTCTTAAGGTTGTTTTTATTTTAAGGTTTATTCAAAATCAAGAACATATGTCATGACCGATTGTAGATTTTCAATTGGTTCCCAAGTTTTTTCATTATCAGAATATCCCTACCATTTTACTTCATATTCAGTTCTTCCATTCTTGATTCTTTTATTTGTAATGGCTTCAACCATATATTCTTCTTAAGAGGAGACAGAAACTGGTGAAGCTGACATCTTTAATTAAATTAATGGCGCTCATTATTAACATCTTTTAACTTAAAAGTATTATAATTGGCTGCTTTTAATTTGTTAATAATCATATTATAAAATGGCTGTCAATAATGATGTGAATAAATAAACTAATATTAAGTAAAATACTATTTAATTAAATAATTAGATTGTATATGTATATATAATCCAAAAAATTAACTCATTTCTTTTATATGAGCATCAATAAAAAAGTTTAAGTATAATTAAGACTAATGTTCAAAATATGTGTTTTCTTATGAATTACATTTACATTATATAGGATTAATAAATATAATAAAAATAATAAATATGCCACCTAAAAAAGATGAAATTGATATAAATGCCTTACCACCACTTAAACATCTTTGTGTAGGTATTAGAATAGAAGCTGGAAAGAGTCGTGCTACTAAATTATTACATTTACTTAAAGAATGCAAATCATTTTAAAAGAATGTAACTAGAGAAGAAATTATTAATTTTTGCAAAGAAAAATAATTATATGTAGATCCATCTTCATTGACTGATAAATAAAAGAAAGTATATTATTGATTATAATAATAGGATTCTAAATTTATGGCAGAAGTAGCAACAGAACTTACATCTGAAGTTATGAATAAAGGATTTCAAATGTTTATTTAAGATTAAGTCTTATAAATTAGAAAAGCTAAATTCTTAGCTACTTAAGCATAAGCTGCTGAAAAAGCTGCTCCACCAAAGAAAGATGATAAGAAAGATGTAAAAAAGGGAGGAAAAGATACTACGGCAGTTGCACCTATTGTTGAACCTGAAAAAATTATACCTGAAAAAGAATACTCTAAAAACTTTGATGTTGTTTTTATTGTTCAAGGATTCCCTTAAGTACCATAAGAATCTATTGAATTCATTATGCATATTAAAGAAAAAGTTATTAATTGGGGTGGAATTGATATGAATCTTTTAGAATAACCTGAAGATTTCTAAGAAGAATTAGAAAAAAGAATGGAAGAATTTGTATAACCTGTTACTATTAAAAGATCATATTCAGAAGAATCTTTACATTATACTACTGCTGAAAGAGCTGTTATTGAAGAAATCAAAAAATAAAGAAATGCTTCTTCTAAAACAGATCAACTTAGATAACTTACTATTAAAGAATTAATTTTAGAAATGGATCTAGAATCTGAAGAAGAAACGCTTAAATTATTTCACGAATAATTAATTGAAGAAATATGTTAATTTAGTATAGATCAATAATAATTTAATGAATGGATTCTTAATAAAAAACCTATTCCATTAATTACTAAAGAAGCACCTAAAGATCCATTTGATTTAGAAGTTGAAAAAATTAAACATGAAGCTCATTTAGCTGAAGAATAATAAAAAGCTGCTGAAGATGCTGCTGCAGCTGAAAAAAATAAAAAAGGAGCAAAAAAAGAAGCAAAAAAAACAGATGCTGAATTAGAAGCTGAAAGATTAGCTGAAATTGAAAAAAATAAATAAATTGAACTTAGAAAATAATAAATTGAAGAAGCCTTAGAATAATAATCTAAAATGAAAGCAAAATTACATTTATAATATTATAAGCGATAATTATCTGATGTACATTTATCTAAAGTAGGACCTTGTGTATTATTAGAATGTTTATTAGATTAATTATCTGCTGAAGCTGCTTATATTTCAAGTTCTAAAGTACCTCCATGTTTAGAAGATTAAGAAGATGCTGAATAAGTTAATAGACTTTTAGCTAATCAAAAAAAAGAACCATAATAATAAGAAAGTGCTAAATAATTGATTCTCGATGAATGTGATTACATTTAAGTTAGAGCACATTTTGGATTATTGCATGATTAATAATTAATTGTAGAACGAGAACACAAAATCTTTGACAATCTATAATTTCCTGGTATTGATAGATAAGGAATGCCTGAAATTGCAGAAAAGTCAGATAAACTTAGAAAAGCTAATAAGGCTAAATTACATCCATTTATTACTGTAGATGTAAGTGAATTTGAAAGAAGATAATTGCTTCTCTCTTTCGAAGAACTTCTTAAAGAAAACGAACCTGAATAGGATTGGTATATGGGTGATCGTATCTACATGGAAAGACATAATAAAAATACTCTTAGATAACAATTTTATGAGGCATTATTACATGATCCATAAGTTGTTTTAAAATATTTACCTGATGATGATGCTCTTATGGTTTGTTGTTATTATAAGAATCCACCAGGAAGAACATTAAGAAAGAAATGGTCAGCAGAATGGAGAGTATTACCAAATTTGGAATATTATATATAGGTTAGAAATTTTAATAGTGAATATTATTATGATATTGATTATTAATAGATAGGTTCAATAACAGAGAGATCGAAAATAATGTATCCAACAGATAATTCATTAATAATAGCAACAAAGTTTACAGTAGGAGAGGTTGAAAGATTGAGATATAGGGTGATAAAGGAGAATGTAGTGTTTGGTATATAAGGGGGTTTTTATAGTTAATTTAGTGATTTGAGAATGAGTGTATAGGATTAGATAATGAATTTGACATTTAAAAATGGTCTTTGTTTGAGATTTACATAGAAGGGTGAGGTAGTTTAATAATATTTGTATTAAAAAGCATAAGAATAGAGTTAAACATTATTGAATTTGTATGATAATGCAGAGATAAATCACGAATTGGAGATAAAGAGAATAATAACAGGATAGGGTAGTGTGATAGTTTATAAGAAGGATGGTTCAATAATAGTGTTATATGCAAATGGTAATGTATCGATGTACAAAAATGAGATGTGGATAACAACAAATAATAAGGGTTATAGAAAGTCTTAAAAAGGAATAGAGAAGATACCTTGTGCAACAAAGAATGATCCTGAGAGTGGAGCTAGAGTGTATATAAGAGATGATTAGACATTGATAATAAATTATAAGGATGGGAGTCAATATACATAACATTATGATGGGACAATGATGTTAATAAAGGGAGATAAGGTAATAGTGGAGCATCCCAATTTTGCAAGTGTTGTAGTGACAATAGATAAGGTAAAGTAGAGAACAGGGACAATAATTGGAATGGGTAGTGCATATGCAAATGTGGGTTTTGAGAATATATTTGAAAGAAGTAATGATGGTAGGGTGGTTGAGACTTATTATTAGGGATGCAAGGTTATATCATACATAGAGAAGTAAGAATTACCAGAATACAAATAATATAAGACTAATAGGATTCATTTGATGTATACTTAAGATGGAAGTGTTGCAAAAGTTGTAGATGATGGTGAAATAGTTATTGTAACAGCAGAAGAGAGAGTGCGATTAAATAATAAAGGAGAAAAGAAATAATTAGGATAAGACCTAGATTATTGGTTATAATTGTTTTCTGTCTCTGATGAACGAAAAGCTGGTGTCTATACTATTGATTTAACTAGAAAGTGTATATTTACTAAGGATGAAGAATCTAATTATTTTTAGATTGATGAAGATGGTAATGTAACATCTAAGATTTCTGTATCTTTAAATTAAGAACCATCAACTCCAGATCAAATTCCAGATGGATTATTTGTAGATGAAGAAAATAAAGTACTTCCACCTCCTAAATCATGGGTTCCTCCTAGATTATTCTTAGTTAAAAATGATAATACAGGTATTGAATTATTTAATCATACTCAATTATAAGATTATTTTAGACTTAAATCAGAAAATCCATTCTCTACTAAATTAATTGATGAATTACCAAATAATGTTAAATCTATATCATTTATTACTGAATTAAAAAATCAATCTAAAAAGTTTATTGATGTTAAAATACCATAAACTTTAGATATTGTACCTAAAACTGTTTAAAAAACAACTATTATACCTCATAAAGTTTTTACTTATAGAAATTTCTTAGAATATTTACCTTTCGATAAAGATCAAAGAACTATTCACGAATAATCATTATAAAAATATGAAGTCTGGTAAAAAGCAATGTAAAAAGCATAAAATGAATTTGGTGTAATATAAAAATCAGAAGATGAAAGAGATGCTGAATTTATTATTTAAATGAAGATATTGGAAAGTAGAAGAACTGATTATTCTTATGAATCCTATGATTAAGCTAAAAGTAAAATTAGCTTATCTGATTTGACTTCCAATATAATAGAACCACTAGAATAAACACTTGTAAGAACATCCAAAGTATAATAAGTAGTTTAAACTGCTTTTGTTGATTTATAAAGAAAAGTATAAACTATTTAACTCTAAAAATCTATCAAACCATTAACTGAAGCTAAAGGATTTGTCTAAAATTATTTTGATACTAAAGAAGGACATGAATATTTAAAAAGTGCTCCTGAAGATCCTCCTATAAAAAAACCAAGAGAAAGGATAGTCTAAACAACAGAAGAAGTATAAAATTGTTAGAATTAATAAGAAGTATAAAAAACAATACCAGAAGGTCTTATTCCTTTAGAATAACCTTAATTACCTTCTCCATAATATAATAATACTAATAATTTAGCTAAGGTTATTATTAAACCTTCTGTTTTTACTCAAGCTGAAATAGATGAAGAAGTTAAATAACAAAAACAGCTTGATGATTCTATTAGATATAGATAAGTAAAAAAGAAAGATTTCGATGTTTATGGAAAAGAAAGAAAAGATATTAAATAAGTTCCTTGTCTTCTTAAAACTAATCCAAAATCAGAATTGAATTAGAAATATATTCTTACTGATGCTACAACTGATAATAGAATTAAAATAAGTTCTATGGCTACAAGAGTTTATTAATAGGCTGCTCCTATTAGTCAACTTAGAAATGAAGGCATGCATTAAACTATAATTAGAACATTAGACAAAAAAAATAATTTAGAAGATCTAATAGATAAAAAGAATCTTATGGTTACGGGTGATATTAATGATAGATTAAAAAAAGATTTATTAATATATCCTATTAGTGTTCATTTTGGTGAACTGAAATAAGGAAGTTCTTATGAATTCAAGATTTCTGTGAAGAATGAAGACATTATGGCTTAACGTATAATTCTTAAATAACCTTTGAATACTAATATCAAAGCTATTATGAAATAGATGGGCTCAGTATTCTTTATTTATTTATTTAGATCTCTCTTGGTTTAGTCAGAGAAGTATTTGTTCATTTTCATGCAGAAAGAATTGGTTAGTTCTCAGATGAGCTTTAAATTATGTCTAAACATTCTATTTATACCATTCCTATCATTGCTAATGTACTTGAATAGAATGTTTTTGATAAACTTAATTCAGAATAGATCAAATTAATTAATAAACCACTTTTAAGTAGGCATGTTAAAGATCTTAAAGCTGTATTACATTTTATCTTATTATTTTAAGTAATCTAAATAATAAGATATCATTGGAGATAGTTAGGATTCTGATCTTCTCCCAAAAATTAATTATGATAAGAATATCAAAATAGATCCTTTCTAAAATCAAAAGAAAGATGAATAATCATATGAAGAAGAAAATTGATTATTGCATATCTATAATATATATATATTTATTAATGGATCTATAAAAATATTCCATAATAAAGTTATTAATCATACTTTTATTTTCTTTATGTTTTTACGAAGTATCTGTTACATCGATTTTGTTTTCTCCATAAAGTTCTTTACTCTTTCATCCTCCTTAAATTTATTAGAACGTTTCAAATTTTCAGCAAAACATACTGAATCTATTTTCACGTTATCCTTTACGCATGAACATGTTTTTGCCTATAAAAGTAAAGGTAACCAATTCAAAGTAGCTAAATTAACTGCTTCAGCTATGTTAAATCCACAATTAAATCCTTAATGATAAGCTCCAGCAAAGATAAACATAAATTCACCTTGATGATGAGCCATTTTTGAAATTCTTATTTCAGGAATTTTCTCTTTTAACAAATAAGGATTTATTACTGTTGTTTTATGTCTTAAATATTCTGAACATTTATTAAAATGATCCCCATATATCTATTTAGCATACTTCTCAATTAAATGACTATCTGCTTCAGGAATCGAATACCAAAACCTAATAATTATAAATGATTAAATATTACTTGTCTTTCCCAACATGAAGATAATTTACACTACAAAGATCTAAATCTTCTTTATGCCAAGCAAAGAATGACTTCCATGAACCTACATATATATACGGCTCATTAACTCCAGGAATACGATTCTTTAGTCCAAAATTTAATAAACTTGTTATTTGATTTAGGTTCCAAGAACTATTAACATCCATAAGACTAAGTTTAATATCGGCACCATAAAGAGGAGGACTAAATGCTAAACTCTTCCAATAAAGTTTCTCAAGTTAATCTGAATTTAGTTTTTCATGTTGTTTATCTATTTCTATTTGTTTTGCTTTGTAATCTTTTAAAGGCATTGACTTTTTTAAGATATGTAAACATTCATAGTTCCCACCCTTACCATAAACATTTTATTCTATTGGACCCTAAACAATAAGATTATCAAGAGATTTATTATAGTCTTACTAGCGAATTCGGAAGTTCTTTGGGGGAATGATCTATGAATTAATTTAAATTATATAATTTACTTTCACCATCCCGTAGTTGGTCGAATATTATTTATCTATTTTCTCTATGTAATGATAGAAATTTTCGAACTCTTAGGGTGTTGGGTGTAATACAGGACATTCTTCGATGGTTGTCATGTTTTTAAATAATACTTATAAATCTTGGAATCAAAACAAGCCTTTGAGTACCCCGGTGAGAGAATATATATGTATATTTAAAAAGTAAAGGAAAGCAAGAAAGCTTAATGAGAGAATAAGGAACTGATTCTTAAGAGGGTTAATTTGTACACTAGGCTACCTGTGTTTGATTGTCATTGCATCTGGTTCCCTACAACACTTTAATTAATTGATATATTAGAATCATTTTTCCGTATCTTCTATAATGTATTCTAAGCCTTTTTGAGCTTCTTTTCTTTAATGAGCTAGATTGCCTTCAATCTCATTGCTAGCATCAATTTAGAAATGTGAAATCACCTACTAGATCAAGTCACTTAAATGAGCAAACCTTACAAAATTAGAAGTACTTGTTTCTGCCATTTGCTAAGATTATATAAAATTCTTACTTGCTATTGATGCATAATCGTATTCATTATCATAAAATTTTATGTTGCCACATTTTAAATTAGACTCTGCAAACTTTATTATGTTTATTTGAGCTAATCAATAGATGTATTGATGTCTTCTTAATCAGGTATTTATTATATCATTTCAATCTCATTTCTTCTCTTTATTTGATTCAAAAATTATCCTAATTAACATGCAATCCTTACTTCCCATCTCTTCTAAAATATTTATGTTTAAATTCCAACACACCATTATTGTGTCTCTTTTTAAACCCATACATGTTCAATTATCTATCCTATTTAATATAAAATACCTTAAAAAACTAGGCAAATTCTTATGTCCAAAATATTCTGGAAGCAAGTATTATTATAATCTCTCTTGATCTGCCAATACTAGAATCCTCCCACTCTCATCGAATCTTAATATTTCTTATTCTTAATTCCCTTATACGATTGTATAAAGCTTAGTCAAAAATACAGGTATTGAATGTCCATTCTCCATTAATTATTATCAATAATATACAGCATTATTCATATCAGGAAATAAAAACACCAGAAAAAAAGATTTTATACCAAAACTATATCAAATGCCAATAATCAATACTTTACATTTCTCATTTCTTTCATAGATCTTTATTCACATCTCCAACATTAATTTTATTGAGTGATCAAAAGATATCTCATTTATTTTAGATCTATTCTTTATCAATCTCTATTAGATACATTAACTAGATTAAATTCAATTTTTAAATGCTAATTTATGTTAGCAGATTATTTTACAACTCTCAAGAAAGATATTTGTCTTAGTATCAATACAAATTAAAATCAAAATTTTCTAAAACAATAATGTTAATCAATTTATCTCTTAAGAACAATTGAAATTTAATAGATTTATAGATAAGAACCAAAAACTAAAATTAAAGAGTTATTTTTAGTGTTAAATTTCTTTAAAAATTGTTATTAATCATATTTGAATTTTACAAAAGAGAATTATAAAGCTTTTCAGTTTATTAAAATAATATTCATCAATTATAAGATGTTCTTCAAACAAGATTGATGAAGATTTATAATTAAAATAACTGGAAATTACTTTTTCTCATGAATAAAACCAAAAAATAAAAATTTATCTTATTTTGAAAAAGAGATTAAAACCTTATCAAATTCTATTCTATTTAATCTAATGAATAAAAAAATATAGTGATTAAATAGAATATTTTAAAATCTTTACTCGAACTATAAGTAAACATTATAAAAATTATAATATCAAGAAAATTGACAATAGCTTATATTCATTTTATAAATTGTTTTTCATAAAAACCTAAATGATTATATTTTCCTTCAATTTAAAAATATTTAGAATGTATTTTAGGTTTAAATGAGAGATTTGTAACTCAAAAATTCTAAAGCCTTTTTAAATTAACTAGTAATTTCTTCTGAATCATTAGTTTTTAATAACTTAAGAAATTTAGAATTTTTTAAATATTATTACTATTCATTTATATTAATATTGAGTTGATCCTAAGAAATTAAGTTATTATTATTTTTATTCTAAATCTAATTAATGGTTTAAAATGATTCTGAAGCTACAAAGTAATCCTGCTAATAGCAGACAGGATCAAAGAAAATCACCAAACAACAAGGTCACTGGAATTAAACAGAACACAATACTTATCTGAATTTTTTATTGGAAAATGCTAACCATACAAAAGGCTAAAGATTATTCAAGAGAATGAGTTAAGTTGTTGGCACTCGAACACCAAGTTAATGCAGGTAAGAACCCATAATATAAGATCGCATCACTAAAAATTTAATCCATAAAAGACTAAATCTTCCTCTATAGATACAAGTTTTTGGAGATCCAAACAATATGCCAGAAGTTATTTCGCTCAACATAAATAATCTGATTAAGATAGTAATTGATTCATCTTTTGTTTATTATACTCAGATGTTAGTGACCTTATTTAAAGATAGTATCATTACGAATTTTTAAATCTATATATAACATATAAATTCAATTCAAATTTTCATATCATAAGACTATCTTATTTTTATTATGGTTCTTTTTAAAGTATTCATATTAATTTTTTTTATAATATTCCTACTCTATTCTTAATAAACTTGCTTAGATTTATTGCCACTAAAATTTACACTCCTATCCATTATTTTATTATGACAATTAATTTCTACTGTATACTTCTCTTATTCTTATTCATCTCATTGAATTCTAAATTTTCACTTCCTATTATCAATTCTTTTATAGTTTCTCTTTCGAATATTATTACTTCCAACAATTCTTCCTAATACTATAATTAATTTATAATTTAATTTACTTAATCAGCTCCATCATTTTCATCATTATATATTATTTATTTATTTTCACACCAGCTATTCTTTTTCTTTTAATCATTCTCTTCCAAATTCCTAAATTAAATCAACATAAATTTATATTTGCATGTATTTTTTTCCATGTTATTTATTCAGTTTTCAATAATTTAGGGAAATTTTATTTCTTTAGGTTTTATAATTGATTTCTCAATCTTTATTGAGTAATTCAGCATTCGATTAAATTTTTTAAATTCATATAATTACTCTAATATTTCACTTCAAAATTTTAAAATAACTCCTAATGATGGTTTTGCTCATCTTAATTTAGTTATCTACAATCACTTTATAATAAAGAATCTCAATATTAATGACAATTCCAATTAACATAAAAAATTTAATTTACTCCTTATAAAAAAATTTGTAAGCAAAAATAAATTATTTTTAAAAGGTAACTATTTAAACATTTTAAGTTCAAACTTTTTTTGTTGACTAATTTTATTCGTTATAAGAAGAATATATTTTTGATATTCATATATTTTTATTAAATTTTTTAATTTGTTTATTTATGAAGAGATTTCTTGAAGCTAGTTAGATCATTTTTTAAATGAATTAATTTCATAAAATTATACAATGAAAAATATACTATCTATATGTAATTCTAAGCATTAAAAATTCTATTTAACTAAATATTATTTTTAAATAAATCAAAATTTTTACCTTTTTTAGAGATTTTTTATTTTGAAAATTTATGATTTCCAAAGTTTTTTAGAATCAATTTAACCTTTAAGGTTAATATATTTAAAATATACAGAGAAATTGATATCATTTTTATATTTCGAATTATTTTTCATTTTATATTTACATATAAGGATGCAGTAGAGGTAATTGATTTATTTAAATTATTTTATATAAAGGAAGTTGGTATACAAAGAAAAACTAAAAAAATCTCGTTATTACTAAAAATTTAGATAATAATTTAATTTGAAAAGAGAATGAACTATTGTGATTCTTGTAGAGCAGTGTTGTAAGAAAGAACAGAAATAGTAAATAAAATTAAGAACTTAAAGGGTATTCTTGAAATTGCTGAAAAAGAATTACAAGAATTAAAAAATGAAAATTTATTGTTAAAGGGTAGTAGAATAACTAAGTAGAAAAAAAAGCGCAAAAATAATATGTTTAAATTAGAATTAGAATAAAGTTACTAAAAAATTGAACAATTATAATTGATAATTCAACATAAAGATATGATTATTGACAATTAAGTATTAAATGATAATATAACTGAAAATGTTGCCAATGAAGAATAAGGAAAATGATTTACTGAATTTAAACTATATTTCAAACATACTTCAATAAAATTTTAAATTAAATTTCTTAAATTTATTTTGTTTAAAATCAATGTCATAACAATCTTAATGATTTGATAATGACAATGAATGATTTCAAATAATGATTACTTAATAATATTATTAAATTTTGAATTAAAATAAGATGTGTATTAAAAAGATGACGGCTAGATAAATTATGAAAAATCAGATTAATTTGATAGAGTTGAACAAAATTAAATTTATCATATAATATAAATAATAATATAAAATGAATTTAAGATAATAATATATAAGTTTTGATAGATAGAGAAGAACCTTAAATATTATATCAATATGAAATGCTATGTGAATATTATTTTTAAGAAAATTTTTTTATATTAAAATACTTTTTGTAAGAGATTATCATGAGAAAACAGCCTCTGAAATTACTATTAGAGGACAGTAATCTTGAGATTATTAAGGCAAAAACACTTGATTCTAATTCTCAAAGTAATGCAACTAGTTTTTACTCAAATATATCAGATGAGTATGAATAATTTAGTGATGGAAAACGATTTCAATGTGATTCATCTTATTCATCAAGTAGTCTTCATAGTTCTATAACTCTTGGAGATGAAACATTGTTACAAAACTATTAAAAGCGTTTAGGTAATATAAAATGATATCATAAGATCCTGAAATCCTATCAGAGTAAGCAAAATTTATTTTTCTGATTGGAAGGCAATCTTCAGAAGAATGGGTTTTAAATTTTAATGAGAAATGTTTAAAAGTAAATCTCTTTTTTAAAGAATCACTCTTTAATTCATTATTAGAAACAGCATTTAATGATGATGATTGTAAATTGAAAAGAAAATTAGTGCTTACTTTAGATTATTTTACAAATCTGATCACATTTACTTTCTTTTTACTTTGGAAATGGATTCAAAATGAAAACTAATAAGACATGTCCTAATTTGTTTCAAATTCATAATCGATCATTGAATTCATTGTGTTAATGATTAGTTTAAGAATTAATGAATTTCGATTAGAATAGTAATTGATAACAATAATAGAACAAATTGTTTAACCATTTCCTGAAAAGTAAATTTTAAAGGAATGTTAAGAAACTTGGAAATCTTATTTATCAGTAGGACTATTTCCACCAAAACTAGTTACTTTTAATGTTAAACCAAATTCAGTATTACCTTGGACAACTGATGAAGTAGCTTTTGTATTGAGTTTTATAAATTAGTCATTTTATGCAGGATTATAATTAAAAAATGTTATTGTTAAAGGCGGATTAAATAACGTATAAATTTAATTAATAAATTTATAGTATTTTAGAAGAATTAATACAATATCTTAATTTATTATATATTCAGTCGTAAAAAGTCCAAATAAACATGATCGTTAGGATGCATTAGGATATTGGATAGAATTAGCAGAGAAACTTTAGAAAAATTATGATTTAGAGGGATTGTTTATTGTATATAAATATGGCATTCAACTACTATTAAAAGATTATATAGGAACAATGCCAATGCTATTTCGAGATTTAAATAGAATACCTAGAATTAATACATTTTATGAAGAGCATATAAAATCAAATTTTAATAATGAGATATTGAAAAACGAACATCAGTTCTACATCCCATCGTTTCATAAAATTATTACCTAAATTAAACGCTTAGAATAACAAGTTAAAATGAATAAAAAATTGTTTGATTAAATATCTGATATCTTATTTTAATTAGTTTAAATCTAAAAAAGATAACATAGATTACATTAATCAATGAGTGCTAAAGTATTTAATCAAAATATATTTATTTTTTAGATTTCTGATAATGAAGAATAAATAATTCATTATTTTATTAAAGGAATAGAAAAAGAATTAGAAGTTAATCTATAAATTCCTTTAAATAAAGAAACCTTGGTGTATATAGAATTGATTAAATTGGCTAAAAATACTAATTGATATTGAAATGATTATAAAAATGATAAAAATCTGTGAACTTGTTTCATTTATATTTTTATCATATTATACAATTTATAAATAATGAGATAACAATCACCTAATCTCAAATAATCAAGAGCAAGCTCTGCCTAATAAAATAATTCAGTTGCTGTAAGTCAAATAGAGAAGTCTAAAATTGAAAAATAGTAAGTTGTTTCAAAACATGATAAAATGAAAAGCTATGCTAAAGAATAATAAAATGTTTCAAAAAAACATGAAACAGTATGATATTAAATTGACATAATAGATAGAGCCTACTAAATTAATTGAACAGAATATGAAATTAAAGGAGTAGTTACAAGAGTTAGTTGTGCATCTTGATAATATTGTTAAAAATTAAAAAGAAAAGTAAAAGTAAGAAAAAGAGAAGAAATTTGCTAAGCCTTTAGAGCCAACTGAAAAGAAATCTATTTTGAATTAGTAAGAAAAATAAATAAATGATAATATTGCATAAATCAAATTATTGTCTAAGTAGTTAGAATAAACATATGATATAAATAAGTAATGATAAAAAGTAATTTTTAGAATAAAAGAAAAGGAAGATAAAAAAAGATATTTAGAAAATGAATATTCAAAATTATATAAAGAATATGAATCACAACAGAAAATTGATTAAAAATAAAATGAAGGATTAAAATAAATGGATTTGAAAGAATAGTAATAAATGATTGCCTAAATTAAAAAAGATTTGTAAGAAGAGTAAAAAATTTCAAGAAGTTTAGTAGAAGAAATCAATAAAATTGAAAAAGATGTTCAAAAGTTGCATAATGAAAGAGTAACAAAATTAAAACAAATTACAGATATTTAATAAAAAATTAATTAGAAAAAAAAAAATAAATAAGTTGATGATGAAATAGATGATAATAAGTTGAAATAATTAGAAGAAGAAATAATTGAATTGTAAAAAAAAAAGGATGAATAAATGAAAAATTATAGTGAAAAATTCAAAAAATTAGAATTGGAAAGAAATTAAATAAAGAATGAAGTTGAAAAAAAGAGAATGTTAATGATTAAATTAGAAAGAGATACAAAAATTAATAGAATTTTCATTCATGAAGCAAATAGATATTTGAGATTAGAAGATAAAAATTCTTAAAGATCATCTAAACCTGTCTTTTCTGCACCTAGAAAACCTACAACTCCAAGAAAAGATACTCCATCTCCAAAATCAGATAAAGGATCAATTAAAAAAAATCCATCTTAAAAAAAAGTAGAAATTATCAAGGAAGAATAATTTGAGGAAACAGTCCCAAATTTAGATATATAATAATAATAAAATTAGAGATAACCTAGAGCTAAAGAATAAATTGATAAAACACATAAAAAAGATATCAAGGATTAATAGAAAACAGATTCTACTGAAAAAAAAGATGAAATATAAGAAGCCATATAAATTGAAAAACCTAATGAGTAATAATAATAATAATAATAATAATAATAATAATAATAATAATAATAATAATAATAATAATAATAATAATATTCACATCATACTAATCATGAAGAAGAAACTAAGAGTTTGATTGATTAAAACGAGTATAATTCTCAATAAAATCAATAAATTTAATAACCGAAGTAAATAATTATATTTAATATTAAGCATATATAGAAAACCCATGATGATGCTCAAAAAAAAGTGATGAAATTAATTTATTTATTTATCATTAAATTTATATATATATATATTATTACAATCTCAAATAGCAAATGATAATGATTTACGATCTTAGTGGTAGTTGATATATTAGTTATAATCTTTAGATTTTCTGTTTGTAAAATATCTAATTTCCAAACTAGGTAAGCGAACTCTCTCAACACTATTTAGACTAAACTTTGGTTTCAAATAAAATTATTAGTTTTTGTAATAATCTTGGATTGAGTTTAGAAGTTAATCTAGATTTAAAAACTTTTCTTCTTTGCATTCATGTAATAAAGATTTTAAAAATAAAGTAAACCTAGACTAATTCAAGTTTATATAAGTTTTAACAGATTTATAGAGATTAATTTCCTCTCGAGGCAGCTCTATATACTTTGGGTTGATTTGTGTTATTTTGTATTCTTTAATTAGTTCTATTTAAGCTTAAAATTCTTCATCAAGTTTAGAATACTTTTTTTTGAAATTTACTAAGTTTTCTTTAATTTTCTTAATTTCCATCAATAATGATTCATGTTAGGCTTTCAAAGTTTCTAATTCTTTAGTTAGATTTTTGTAATCCTCAGAACTTAGAATATAATAAAAATTAACATTTCAACACTTTCTTATTTAATGATTATTTTTTCAGCGGCAGTGTTTTTCTATTAAGGAGGCTACTTTTTAGTTTACAATATTTGATCAAGTTATTTTATACAATATGATAAACTTGAATAGAGTTGCTATATCTTTGGGTCTTCATTTATCATTTAAATAAAAATATTAATTATTATTACAATAGAATCAAAATCATTATTTATTCTAGACTAAACAAGCTTTTTTATCTTTTAATAGAATTTAAAGTAAATTATCAAAACAGATATAAATTATTAATCAATTTTAGATACTGCTGTTGATTTATTGAGAACTTGTTATTAAGTTTCAAATTTATCAAATATAGTCTTCTGTATAACTTTTATAATAGAATTTCTTTTTGACTTTTCTATATATTTTACAAATTCTATAAGATATTTCCTTTCAAATAATCCTTAGGATAGTTTTGGACTTGGAATATAAATTATTTTATAATATATGAGTTCTATTACTTTTCTTTTATTGTTATATAGAATATGGAGGGAACCTTCATCTATAATAAGTTTTTCATTACTCACAGACATAAGTTACATACATTTATTATTAAGATTTGAAATCGATTCTAATTTTTATCAAAAAATAAAAAGTGTTCCATATCATTGCTATTTATATTTGAATAGAGAAAATTAGCCATTTTACCTGAAGAATTTGTATCTCAATTTTTTATTAATTCTGAAAACTATAAGAAATAATTGGATTTTATTACTTAAATTTTATTTTCCAGACTTTAATTTTCATTAAATACATCAATCATCATTTTTAGAATTTTATTCTTCTTCTCTTAATAAAGTTTATAATGCTTTTAGATTCGAATGATGATTCCTCTGATTAATCATAAATACATCCTATTAAGTTTATAGAGTACATGTATATAATCTCTAAATTTTTTTTTTAATTATATATAAAATGTATATAAAATTAATTTTAATGTCAGTATAATTAATTTAAATGGATATATAATAATTTTTTTAGATGATAAATAAAAGGAATATGTAAACATATGCTTTTGATAAATGTAAATATATTTTTCAAACTTTTAAAGTTTATTATCTCATTTTTTCCATTAATTTTTTGACGGCATCGGCTTACATAGATACTCCAGAATTGATTAACATTTTAGGAATGCTTCCTTTAGGGTCAACATTTGCAATAATAATAACTTAACATGTTCCTGGTGAAATTTCTTTAATCAAAAATGCAGAAATAATGATTTCACAACGAGTATAATTTTTCTTATTAGGAACAGAATCTAATTCAACAGATTTAGCTATAATATATACAATGATTTTACAAACAACTATATGAGTTCCATCTTTAAGGATAGTTCTTCTTGTAAGAGCAACCATATCTCTTGGATCGACTAAAATTATAGGAGATTTGCCAGCACCATAATAAATAACATTATTTTCATCTATTTTTTCTACAATTTTGCCCTAAAATAAATGATAAAATTACTTCTAAGAAATTCTCATCAAATTCAGCTCTTCTTGTCATATCAAAAATAACATCTAGAGCCTTCTTTGGATCAACATTTAATTTGAGCTCAGTTCTGGTCATTTTTATACCAACTTGGTTTAATTTAGAATAAATGATGCAATCATTTTTATCATGTTCCTTAGTCCATTAACCTTCTTATGGTTATTGAAAGGCCATTTGTATAGCTTATTCTTAAATTTCTATAAATTTAGTTAGAAATATAGTTTACAATCCAATTAAGCAAGGTAGCTGTTTTACATTAAAGTGTAATAAATTAATTAAATTGATTTCGCTTTATCTTAAATATATAATTTTTTATGCCAATTTCTATATTGTTCAAATAAATAATCAGAATTTTCATAAATCATTTACATTAGAATGTTAAATGACTAGTCATGAATATTTGAAGTGTTAAGGTTAAAAATTACAAATAAAATATATTTATTTTTTGATGTTATTATTAACTTTATAATTTCTTATCTACTTCTGCTATTGTTTTAATGAAGAAGAATAAGTAAAATTTAGAAATCAATAAATAAGAGCATCTTAACAAATCCAATACAGGAGTATCATTTAATAGAATGTGAGATAGATGATTAATGTAATCAATGCAATTAAATTTAAATGAATGAAATAAAATAATGTTAAGTGAGTCGACAAATACAAAAGATGATTTGTTATTATTAATTGGGAGATGATGAATAAATTAAATATCCTTAAGTAGATTATAAGGCATGCCATAAAATAGGCATATTCTAAAGGGAATTTTTACTTGTTATAATAATTTTTGGAATAACACTATTTTCTTGGAATATTGTCAGTAAGGAGAAAGATGAGAGTGAGAAATAGTTACTCTATAAGATTTTGAAATGATTGTGATTAAAATATATCGTAGAGTAATTAATATATTCTTAAGAAAATTCAACCTTATAAAAAAATAAGAAGAAATTAAGAGAATTGCTTAATTTAATTGATATGATGTTTTGAACTTTTTATAAAAAAAATTAGATATGAGAGGTATAATATAGAAAGATTAATAGAGTGGTGGTTAAACAATGGAATATTTTAAATAAAAAAAATAAATGAAGAATTAAATGATTTATGTTATGTTATGATTTATGTTTAATATTGAATATATATATGATGATAGCGAATTGTATTAGTAAAATAAAATAATTAATGGAAGCAAAAAAAATCATTGGTTTAGGAAGCCCATTGTTAGATATTTAAGCAGAAGTACCAGGAGAATTCTTAGAGAAGTATGGATTGACACTTAATAACACATATTTTGCAGAAGAGAAACATTTACCTTTATATGAGGAATTAATTAATATTCCAACTCATTCTCATGTTCCAGGAGGTAAAAAATTAAATATAATTTTAGGATCTGCTCTTAATACAATAAGATTGGCAAGATGGATGGCTTAGGCAGGATAGGATCAAGTCAAATTTATTGGTTGTGTTGGAAAGAAAGACAAGTTTGCTAATATGTTAATTGAGGTGACAAATAAAGATGGAGTGACAACTTTATTTGATGAATAAGATTAACCTACAGGTAAATGTGGAGTGTTACTATGCAATAAGGATAGGTATTTATGATATTAATCTTACTTTTAGATGTTTGGTTCCATTAATTGGTGCTGCAGCTCATTTGTCTGATGAATATGTTGACTAACATATTGATGATATTAAAACAGCAACAGTATTATTTAGTGAAGTTTATTTCTTATATCCAAGAGCAGAACTCACAAAGAGGATATATAAAATAGCATCAGAAAGTGGAGTAAACACTTGTTTGACTCTATCAAGTGTAAATGCAGTAAGTGATAAATTCAATGACATATTGGCTGTATTGCCATATGTTGATTATTTATTTGGTAATGAAGAGGAAGTTGAACAATTTGCTAAGAATTTGAAATTGGAAGGAGATCTTCCATAAGTTATGTAGTAAATTGCTGGATATGAAAAACTTGGATAAAGAGAAAGAGTTGTAGTATGTACTTAAGGTAAAAAACCAACTTTGATTGCAAAGAAAAATGAAGTAATTACAGTTGAAGTTTAGTTGGTTGATGTTTCAAAGATTGTAGATACGAATAGTGCAGGAGATTCATTTTGTGGAGGGTATTAAATTAATTTCAAATTATTTAGATTCATTGCTGAATTGTTGAATGGTCCAGATCTTGTTAAATGTGCAAAAGCTGGAAATTATTCAGCATCATAAACAATTTAACATGAAGGAAGCACAATTCCTAAATATGTACCAGAGAAGACTTGGTGAGAAGATATTATTTATCATATAAATAATAAATATAAAAATATTTTAATGAGTTTGAGTTAACAATTAAAAGAAGAAGAATAAGTAGAAGTGGCTATCTAACCTATCTAGCCAATTTCTACTATTCCTCTTCGTAGAAAAAATAAAAAAAGACAAATTCTCAATCCAACTTAAAACACTGGACATTGGAGCTAATAAGAGCATTAAACTTATTTAGACTTTCTATAATAACATAAAGAAATTATGGAATCTTAAGATTAAAAGAAAAGTAACAAAATATTCAAGTAAATGAGTGATATAATTGGAAGTCGCAGTCCTTCATAATGTAGGTATAACATAATCAATTTATCAAATTAGATCACATCATCAAAAATTCAATCCATTCATTCATTAAGTAAAGAAAAGATAAAAAGGAGCAGGTAGAAAGAAAAAAGATAATCAAACAACCTAACCAATCTAACATTTCTATCCTTTCTATTCATAACCTATTATATCTCAACATTAATTAGACTTTCCATTATTTTAACCAACATACCCTGAAGAAATTCTTTATCCATAACCAATTACATCAGATAGAAGTCTCCTTTATAACAATTTTGGTTTCCTACCATCATTTTCTATCAATTTCAATTACTACAATGATTTGATAGTAAACTAGTCAATGTACTAAACTGATAAAGAGAATTAATTTGAAGATTAGTGATTATCAATTATACATAAATTAAATTTACTCATACTATTATCCTTTCATTTTTGTTTTTCTTTATATGCCAAATTTCTTAGATTCAACTCTTTCTATTATTTTTTTAATCATCTTTTTCATTTCCAGAAAATTTTCAATTATTATCTAATATTTATTTTTATAAATTCTTTTGGTTTTTCATGAAACTATTCTATATTTTCATTTCCTCTTTACTTATTTTCATCAAAGCTATTCATTCAAAATATTAAGAATTCATTTGTAACATTAGAAGCTAAGTTTAATCATTTTGACTTTAATTCAAAAAAAGAAATATCTATGAAATCATGGATAATCTAAATTAAGAAATTATCTTTTAACTTCATTCCTTTCAGATAAGAAAGAAATTATATAGAATGAACTAACCATTCATAAAAAGTCTAGATAAATTATTTCCTTTTCATTTATTTTTTGTTTTTGAGGGGATTTTTTGATAAACTGAAATTAATAATTAACCTTACTAAAAACAATTTAATTATGTCTAACCACTATGGTCCCAGGATTTGACTCAAATCATATTTATTTAATTAATATTCCTTTTATTGAATTTTTTAATGTTAGCTACAAAAATCAATTTTATATAATCAAAATTTTGATGTAATAAATGCTTTGCAAATTTTGGAAAATCTTCAAAGAATAGAAATGACAAAAATATTAGCATTTTTGGGTTCAATATATATAAAGCATAAAACTTAACTTATAAAATTAAAATCAATTATTAATTTAATCTAATTTTGATCAATAGAAATATTAATTGTATCTTCTTGGATCTAATTAAATTTTCTAAAATAAATCTTTGGTTCACTTTTAATAATGAGAAATAAAAAAACCCATTTTTATTGTTCTTTAAAGTTAATTTTAGATTGTATCAATTCAATTATCAATATAATTGATTTAATTCAATTTAGATTTAATCTCACATCCACAAGGCCTTTGAAATTTCTATATCATTAGAAAAATGAACAGATACCAAAAGATTTAGAAGATATGTTTTAACAACTTAAAATGCATAAACTTCTAAACTTTTTGATTATAATCTATTTAAATGAATCATATGATAATTGATTAAAATTGTTTTTTAATAAAATTGACACAATCTATAATAATTTCAACCAAACCCATATCCTTCCAATCCAATTGAAAAAGCAATATCTAATTTTTATTTCATTTATCCATAATTAGCATACAATGGAATTTCAATAGATTTAAAGCAAGTATGGGCTAAAGGTAATTTTCGAATATCCAAATTGTTTTTGAATTCTACTTATATTATATATGAACTTTAATCAAATGGTATAGCAGATGAACCTAAAATTAATATAATAATATACCAGTAATGAATTTCAACATGTTCTTTAAAGTTTGAGAATCTGCTTGATTTACAAAAGTCTCAAAATAAGATTTATGATTAGCCTTTCCTCCTGAATATTAAATCTTTTGTAAAATAACATCTGGTTTAATTTCAAGTAAGCCTTATGTTAATAATGATATTTCGGAGGGTTTTAACCACTTTTAGAAAATCTAAAGATAATTAAAAATAACACATACCTTTAAATCGACAACAGTTTTAAATCCTTCAATAAATGAATTGTAAATGTCTTAAAATTATTTATAAATAATGTATTAAGCGGTTTTGTCTAAATATTCATTTACATTTTTTGAAGTAACTGCCATTGTAGATCCATTTGGAATTAATTCTATAGTAGAATTACCTAATTAATAAGTAAAATCTAAATAGAGTGCTTCAAATGATTCAGAACTCATTTATCTTAGATTAGCATAGTTGGAGTATGTTTATTTATCCCAAATTAAAATAAGATCTTCAAAAACAATCTTTTCATCATAAACAACCTTCCAAAATGGGCTAATAATATCGATTCCAATTAAATAACCATTTGCAATTGAATTAGCAATTAACTAATTTAGTATAAATAAAAAAAATACCTTTCCAAATAATAAAGCATATTCTTTTTTATTTTTTATTTTATTAAAATTACTATGTAGAAAATATTTAGAGAGATTACCTTGAACAGGCTAAAAGAATTTATATGTATCATCTTTTAGAGTATTGCCTATCATATCATAAAATTCTCTTTTAAGACCTCCAGCATCAATTCCGGGTTCATCCTAAAATTTAATATTAAACTTATAATTCATTTTCTTATCTGCTAAATCTAATAAATCTTTTAAAAAATTCAATCTTCTAATAACCAAAGAGTATTCAGTTCTTTTAAAACTTTTATCTAATTCAGTTTCAAATTTCTTTCTTCTTTTTTCTAAACAGACTCCTGAAATTTTGATTGGTTTTTCTATAATAATAAAATTATTATAATATTACATTTTTTAACTTCTTTGTTAATTAAGAAAATAATTTCAGTTTATTTTTCATGTGCTTCAACACTCTCAGGTGTAAAATGAACTTTTACATTCATAGATCCACTTTTTGTTAAATTTGAAAAGTTAACTTATATTGTAATACCTTCAGTACAATTGATTTCACATTTACAATCCAAATAAATTTATTCCTCAATATCACCATAAATATTAGAGTATGAATCTCTTATTTAAAAAGTAAATGGGATATCTTCATAAAATGGAATAGTTTATAATTCTTAAGGAATTTCAATTTCACTTTCTTATAGATTAGGTTTATTAGCTAATATAACAAATCTACCTTTAATTTTGACATCATCTATATATAATTTATATACTCCTTTAAAAATTGGAATCCAAATTAAATTTAATCCAGAACCTATTCGTTCTTATTTTGGTATGTATTATATCTAATTGAATAAGGAATGAACATAAACTAAAGTTTTATATTAGAAATTATTTATTCTATTTCCCAAATTATCCTTAAACTCTATATAATCAATTCTTTCTTATCCTGCTCTAGATGCTGCTAAAAGTTCTTACTTACTTAACATATTAATTGTATTGCTTAATTATAAATCCTTAGAATGAATTAATGGTTCACATTACTTATGAAATAATATCTCATCCATTTTTTATGTTGCCTTCTTTAATAATATTTTCATCATTTTTGCATCTCCAATTCCAAAAGCTAATTATTCCTCTTATTCTAATTAAACTAACTTTTCTCTATCCTCTATAATTACCTTTACATGGGTTGTCTTACTTAAATCTTATGTGTTTTAAGTAGTGTATTCAAATCTTATTTAATTTTATACTTAATCTTAAATCATAGATACTCTGTTTTATTGAGGAACAGTTAATTTTAATGTAAGTATTTTATCACTAATAAACTCAACCAACAATGTTCTATTGGCTATAAATCTATATGAAACTTATATTTATTATTTCTTTTTTTCTTTTTTTATTAAATTTAATAAATTTGTATTCTTCTCATTTAGATATGAAACTTCTATTTTATTTAATTATTATTCTAATTGTTTATTAGATTCCAAATCTAATATCAATACAAATAAAGGATTGCAAATAGTTTATTCATATGTAGATTATTTTAAATATCCTATCAAGGGTTTATATGTACAACATTTAACAGCTTACAATTTTTAATAAATTCCATCTACTTTAAAAATAAAGTATGCTTAATCAAATTAATCAGGATCAAGAATATTCAAATCTACCAATCTTCCTTTGTCTATATTAAGGACCAATAATTCAATTTAAGAATTTTCATCAATTCCACTTAATAATTATTTAGGATTAAGCTCTAATTATTTTAAAATCAATTCTGGTCCTTCATATTTGATTTTATCATTATATCTATTATTTATGTAAAATTATTTATTATTAAGATAATCTAAAAAGAAGTCGCATAAATTAAAATCGCTAAATGTTTCATAATTTATTATTAAATGAGATCCATCATCTACAAATTAATAAATTGTATTTTTAAATTAAGTCTTGATTTCTTTCTATGCTAAAATCGACACATTTAATATAATATTATCATTTATCAATCTTAATAATTTAAATAGTTGTTTTAGCAATAAGATTATATCAACAACAGTTTTTATACTTTCTATTTGAATCTCTCCAACTTTAACAATATGCAAATTTTCATCACTAAAATAAGAGTCCATCTTATTATCCTAAAAATTCAAAATTAAATTAAATAGAAATTAAGCAATTTAATCTGAATCTGGAACCTATACATTATCCTTATCATCAATTAAAGTATAACATTTTATTGTACCATTTTCATATTAAATTAATTATTTTTAATTTCCAAAGCTTCTCTCAAAAATAAATTCAACTTTTTAAAAAAATGTTTTGATAAAATTAATTTTCATAGTTTAAATTGATTAGATTTCAAATAAATACTATAATGAATTATTTAATTTAGGATAAGAGTATCCATCTTTAAATTATTAATAACCAAATTAAAAAGCTTCAAATATTGTTCCACCTACTAGAATACAATCTACATAATATTCTGGATTTTAATTCATTTAATCATCAAAATGTAGAAATATATTTTCTATTTCTGTATGTTCATTAAGGAATTTAATAAAGTTTTTCTATAATTATTAAGCTATTAAATTAGTTTCAAAATGACAAGCCATACTTACAGATGTAATTTCAATTTAATCAAGTTTAAATTTATCTTCATTTATACGAACAAAAACATTTTATCCTTAAACCAGAGATTACTATTTTTTTAATTAATGTTGAGCAACAAAATCAAAATTAATTTAATCTGGAAAAATTGGTGTCAATTAAGTTAAACTTAAATCACTATATGAAGAGACTAGACCATTTCCAAAAAGATCATCAAGCATCACTTATTTATTTGTTTCATCTTATTCACATTAAATTTGACTCATAAGAGTCATAAATTTTGGTTCATTATTTATTGATATATTGCCATCTTAATCAGTAAAAAATACATTTAAAATAGATTAATTAAATACAGGATCTGATGGCCATATTGGTTAAAATAGTACTATTGACATTAAATCTTCAATTTACACATAGAGAAGTTCATGATGAGAATATGTATAACCAGAATAATGAGCTTGATTTCTTGTTATCCTTTCTTGAGTTAAGAGTTATTAATTCATGTAATCTAATTAAGAAAATAAAAAGTGTCCTGGTTTAGAATTATAAACCAATTAACCCGCTACTAAATTATTTTTCTAATTTTCACAATATACTACCATGCATACATCCCCTAATTTACTATTATTTACATAATAATTCTTAGTTATTTAAAATCCAAAATGATATGATAATTTTATATCGCTTTTTAGACTCACTTAACATAATCTCTATAAGATTTTAGATTTTTGTTTTAATTGTAATTATCTCGTATTTGATATAATTATATTTATTAATGGTTAATTTTGTCTTAAAGCAGATAATAAACATGATAATCTAATATTAAACATATCATCAAATCTCTCAGCTTTTAATTATCTTTGTAGATAATTGTATAAATCTTCTTTAAAATATTTGTTTAATTTTAATAAAATGTACCATATTGACTCCATTTCTTTGAGTCTATTTTTACTATTTTTGTTTTGACTAATCTTATAAATTTCATTTGAAAAAATTGATGCCAAAGATTAATGATCAACAGATAAAGTTATAGTTTTATTAAGAGTTTTACTCAATTAATTTGAATAATTCAATAAATTTCTATCTATATCTAATTTATTGAATAAGAATTAAACTAATTATTCTGGATTAAATATTTAGTTATAAAAGTCATACTCATTTATGATATTGTGAAAATATTCCTATATTATTGGATCTGGTTTAAAGACACTTTTGCTACATTATTAAATTTAAGTGATTGGTTTATCTTATTAGATATTCTGTTCTTTTTCATTAAATATTCCAATATTTAATCTAATAATCAATATATGATTGTAAAGAAGATAAGTTGTATTTCCAAACTAAAAAATTTTATCCAATCCTTTCTTTTAATCACTTTAAATAAATTATATTCCTTATAATTCATTAAATTCAATATAAACTCCCCTTATAACTTTTAAAATTTATTATGCTTTTATCAAATTGTTGTAAAGCAATTAGTGCAAAATCATAATCAGTGTATCCCAATTAAATACTTACTCAATTATGGAATATATATTTATTATTTTATGAGTTGTTTATTAAATTTCAACTAATCTACTTACAATAACTTCAAGAAATGATATTGTATTAATTCTCCAAACTAATTTACTTTGATCTTCACTTCTACTAAGTAATTATTTAACTTTTTCTATAAATGCAACCGATTTGGTAAAAACCATTTAAATATTATAAGTAGAAAATAATTAATCTTAAAATACGAAATGTTAATTCTTGATATAGAATGGAAAATCTAATCTCCAATTTTACGATTGTTTTTATTCAATTAAATTACTTAGATATTCATTGTATCTATAAAAATCTTATATTATGATTGAAATTACAGAAGTTCCATCATAATTAGAAATAAATTCTTCTTCAGATAGTTTGATTAAATTAATAATCACTTATGGTTAAATAAAATGATAAAATTCAGCAAATATTAATTCTTTTTAATTTTTCTATTTTTTTTATTACCTAACCTAATAGGTGTTATCAGGTAAAAGTTCAAACATAAATTGAAAATCTTCTTTCATAATTTATTATTAATTTATTGTAGATTATCTTTACATTGAATTTCCTTAAGTTAAGCCAATTTAACTTTGACTTTAATGAATTAAGGAAGGAGGTTACATTTGAGTTTGATATGATTATAATTCAGTTTATCTAATTTGTTCATGTTAATGAGGAGCAAATATATCATCTATTTAATATATACCAACTTTATCAAATTATTTTTCCATTAGATTTTTAAAAAATAAACATTTTTCCAATACATTTTCTTTGGAATTAATAATAATTTCATGAAAATCTACTGTTTTGATTGAACTGAAATCAAAATATTTCCAATCCTCTTAAATTTCTTGATATTGTATTAATTCTACATCAATATTCATTTAATAATTCGCTATTTTTAACTAAGGAATAGCCTAAGCAATATTTTCTTCAGATAAATAAAAGGATTTATCTTCATATTAAAGTGGAATTGTGAAACCACTCTCATCATAAGTTATTTATTATTTTCCAAATACAAGAAATACATTTTTCTTAAAATTATTCATCGTTGCTATCTCCTCACTCAATCTATCAATAAACCCTTTAATTATTTCATTAATTTATTAAATATACATAATTCCTCTTAAAATAGCTAATTCTTTTGAATTCTCCATCTCTAAAATTTATATAAAATAAATAGAGTCTTTAAATTGATAATCTTAATTTAATAATGTCAATAAAAAAGTCTTACTATTTTCAGTTACAAATGGCTTTTCCTATTTAATCTTCCATTCAATCTTTGACAGACCTTGATACATTTCCACAATAACCTTTAATTATTACTCCTTTACTAACCATTCTTTATATTAATCTTATTAGATACAAAGTAATAAGTAGAAGGCATAAACAATATTTTATTACATATTTTTATATTGATAATCCTATTCTAAAGTTATCTCATCTTCAGTTACTTACATTTATAATTACTATAGATTTTCTACATCTTCTAATTCTTATTATTAAATTTAGTCATCTTCTTTTTATTGATTTTCATTTTCATTTAAACTAACACTATTTTCTTCTATTACAGGTTTTTTCTTTTTTGTTTGTTTCTTTTTTTATTCTTCTAACTTGATTCTTTCTTAATATTTTTTATAATACTATTCAACATAACTATTTAATTCTGACGTTTGATATAAAGCTTAATTAACTACAATTACTGATGAAATAGTTAAATTCATAGGATTTGTCATTTCAAGGAATAGTTTAGGATTTATAGTTGCAAGCTCATCATAAATTGGATGTTAATATATTCGATATAATTAGCATTATTCAAGAATCATTTTATATTCTTTTTAATTCAAACTATACGATCCATTAGGTTATTTGTATTCCTATAAAATTTATTGTAAAAGAATAGGATCATATTAATATTTTTGAAGCATACTCCATTTATTTAAAGCTAGCTTAATTGTTAAGGATTTATTGTGAAAATAATAATCTTTATTTAAATTAAATATATAGTTGATGCATGCTTGCTCATATATGATAAGTTATTGTATTTATTACACTCTTACATTTATTTATTTTTTATTTTTTAGTCTAAATACTCCATGTGAAACTTATACAATCTATTTTTCAAATTACTTAAATTTTAATTATTCACAACATAAAGGTAGATATTTTTGGTATAATTCAACAAATTTAGAATATGGACTATTATCATTTTTAATTCTGATTGTTTAAAAGAAATTAATATCATAATGCCTGATAAACTTTAAATGTTCTTTATTTATTATATCTGAACAATAATTCAATATAAAATAGTTTTTCCTCATTAATGCTAATCCTAATATATCTTACTTATCATTATTCTCTAAACTAAATAACAATTCTTCTTTTAGTAATTGGAGAGCATTTTGTTCTCCATGTATTTTAATCATAAAAGGTAAATAAATATCTTCGAATATTTTTTATCTTCTCATTAGTATTAGATAATACAAAATTGGTTAATTGTCAATTTAGAAAATTCTATTGGTTTATTTAACTTGATCTTTAATATACTTATTAAAAAAGTCTAAAATAAGATTGTCATTATAATTTTCTAAGATGATCAATTAAAAAATATTCTATTCATAAACAAGTTTATTTGGTTCTTAATTAAGTTAAATTATATAAAGAATAGTTTCCATATTTCCACTAATTAGAGCAAGTATTAAATTATCATAACTAAATTTCAGTTTTTACAAAATATGATTATGCTTACCATAAACTAAATAAACTTAATCTGGTGTTAATTTCTTTAAGTTTATTCCAACTCCGGAAATAAATTTAGAAAAAAATTGCATTCTTTTTTCAAACTTTTTACATGATATATCATATTCAACTTATGGCAAAAGATTCACTTCATTTTTTGCATAAAATAGAGTAGCTGAATTAAATTTTATTGTTTATAATCCTTTATATTTCTTTTTCATAATCTCTACTAATTTAATATTTTGATATTTCAATTTCATAATGATATAATCCAAATCATCATGACTTGGATCATATTTTTTATCTTCACAAATCATTTCTTAGATAAATAATTCAATCATTTAAGGGCGTATATTTCTAAAATTATCATTCACATATTTATTAATTTAATTTGTACAATTTTCTTTCAATAATTATATATATTCTATTGATTTATGTTTTATAAAATTAGGTCCAGTTTTTTTTAATAAAAAATGCTGAATCAAAATTTCTATTAATTATTCTTTTTGCTAAACTAATTATTTATTTGGGTATCTAAGAGCATACATCATTTCATAAAATGGAGAAACCTCACATAAAGTTTATTAATTAGCCCATTTTCGAACAATCTCAAAACATTTTTCATAATTTTAAGATTAACAATTTTGACTAGACAAAAATAAACAAGAATAGTTTTAATTTTACTTAGAATATTATTAATTTTATGTAAAAATTAATTAATATTCTTATTTATTTATGTATTAAAGCTTTTAAACTGGATGATTAATAATTTTCTTTGATTTTTCAAATAAATCTTGAGCTCTTTATCTGATTTCAAATATTTAATTTTTTTATTTTATTTACTTTCTTTCCAAACTATATTAATGATTTTAACCAAAAAATTAATATCTATCCTATTAATAGAATTACTTAAAATATTCCTCAAGAAACTCTACTTAATTATCCATTAAGGATTGATTAAATGGTTAAATTTAAGCTTCTATTAATATCAAAGCAATAAATTAACAAAAAGTGTCCTGTTCTTTGATTTATTCAAATGAACCAATTAATTTATTCAATATTTCAATTTTTTCATACATTCCTTCTCTTAAACATAAGAGATAATCATTTCTTAATTTCATATTATCAAATTTATTTTGTTCTAAATATTATTTATATTATTATGTGTTTAATACTAAACAAATAGGATGACTTAAGGCTAAAAAGTAATTAAGATATTCATTATCAATAGTGAATTAATTTCCTATCATAAAATTAATTTTATAATTATTTTTTTCAGGATCTTAATCTAAATATCCTAATAAACGATTAAGTGATTTTTGATCTTTGTTTTGATAAGCAAGTGTGTATAAATGCTGAATAAATTATAGTCGATATTTTGATTACTCTTTTTCAAGAATTTCAAATAAAATATCAATTGCTTAAGATGGATTAATATTAAAAAGCAATATCAAAATAGGTTTAACCAAAATCAATACCCCATTTTAAATTTTAATGGAACAAATTTTATTCAAAAGAGGAACAATCATTTATTAATCTCTTCCACAAATAAAAGTTAATGGAGTTCCTAAATCTTCTATTATATTTTATGGTAGATCATTTATTAATGCAATTTTAACTTCTTTATCTTGACAAGAATTTATAATGTATTTTAAATGAACTATATTCATATTTTCAAAGTTCTTTTCAATAATGTGATAAGATTTAAGATTAATTAATGAATATAAGTGACAATATTCAATTAAACTTAATTCTTTTTATTTCTCATTGTTGTTTAAATTTTGAAATAATAATTGTAATGAGTCATTAAATTTTTTAACTTCTTCTTTATTGTATTTCTTATTAAAATTTATAGGGAAATAGTTTTTAGCCAAAATAGAGGCTAAGACATTTTTACTAGTTTCAGTGATTTTTAAAACATAATTTAAATTTAAAAATGATTAATTATCTACAACATCTTTTAATGAAAGTTTATCAAATATGCTTTCAAGAATTTTAGATTTAGGAAACAATTTTATTAAATCATTATAACATTCTTTAATAGTTATTAATGATGCAATTAAAGGTTTTCGATTTTAGATTGTATACAAAGCAGCTTTTTCTTTATAATTTCTTGCTATTGGATATTCTTTAGGATATGCAATTAAATTTAAGATCATTCCAGTCAATCCCCAATCATAATAGTTTTCAAGTTAATCTTCTTAAATCTTAAAAATTGTAAATTAAATTTTTTTTTTTTCATCAAGAATTAAATTATAGTCAAATTTTATCTATTTTGAATAAATAAAGAGTGAAGTAGTCCAACGTTTAGAATTAACACTAACATCAAAATAATCATCCAAAAGATGTAAACCTTAGGGAAATTTACGAAAATTATCATCAAAATTAAGTCTAATTAATGTTTATATTTGTTCATTTTAATTTAGATTACATATTTTGTCAAAAAAACTTTCCTTCTTTGCAATATATTCAAAACTCTTTATTTTTAAAAATTAAATAAATTCTTTGAAATTATATGTAGGTCCTTATTTATCATCAACTGTTTTTAAAGTTAAAAATACAACAGTTTTAATCACATTATTATGATTGATTCTGTTATGATTTTTACCATTATTTACGTGCTTTGATGATTAACTTGATTTTTTCAAAATGATTCGTTTTTTTCTTTTTTCATCTTTCTAAGATTGATCAAAATTGGCAACAAAAGTAATATTCTTATAAATTTCATTAATAAATTAATCATCAACTAAAAATAATTTGTGATTTTAAAAAAGTTTTCTAATTATTTGTAAGCAAATTAATTCATTCTTATAAATTAATTAATCTTAAATTTAATAACATTAATCAAAAGATCTATCATTTAAATCTATAAGTTGATTATAAATACAATCAAATTAATATAATTTCTATTTAGATCTTTAATGAAAATTACCATATAAAATACTATCCTATTTGGATCTGGCTTCAAAATATCCATGTAAAGGTATTTTTAGTAATAAAGGATTAGACTTAATTGTATTTTGTATTTCATTACTAATAGAAGTTAATTAACTTCTATCGGATGCTAATTTTATTATTTAAATTAGCTTTGATACAAATTGTGATTATATATTGATTTCATTATTAATTTTAATCTATTTATAATAAAATGGTTTTATTAATTCAACTTGTTTCTTAACTAAATCAAATTAACCTTGTTATACCAATAAAATCAATAATGGTCTTACAACTCCACTAAATTCATATGGATAATGAGTTGAGTGGACATCAAAATTATTAATCCAACTTAAATTTATTTAAAATTTATGTTTTATCAATTATTTGGCTACTTAGATATACTAATAATATATTGTGTCAAATTTTTCATAATTGTATTAAACATAATTTTTGATTCTTAACCTTTTTGGGGTTTTTTCATTTTAAATTGAATAAAAATAATTTGTATTATTATTAATTTTAGGGTGGTCTGATTGATTTCTTTCAACTGTAGATTTTAAGACTTCCAAATAGATTTAATAAAAGTCGAATTTCTTTTATATATGTTAACTCAAGAAGGAAATGAATATATTTTATGGCTCTTTCTAACAATCTAAATATGTAACTAAAGGAATCTGTTCATTGTATGGTTAAACTAATAAATATTTTAACAATTCTTAATATTCATTTAGTTTATCAATAATTGATTTACTTTCCTCAATAGATCTTAATGTTTTATTTAAGCATAAACAATGTATTAAATTCTTACCTCTTTTTGTAAAGAAATTTAATGATTTTTGAATAGAATCCGGATATAATGTGAAATATTTATTTATAACACTAAAAGGAGCATCTTGAAATAACATCATTATAGGAGTGACTTATGTAATATTTGGCATTAAATAATAGTCATTTGAATATTATAAAAATAAATCCCATTTTTTTTAAAGTGCAATCTAATGGAAAATATTGAATGATAAATATTGTAATAGAGCTTTATCAACAATTCTAATATTATTTTATCCAAAAGGTATAGATTTGGGGACTATTAAATTTTAAAATTTGTAATTTTTTTTTGCTTCTTTATACTATTTAATAAATTTGAAATTCCTTTAGATTTCACTTTTTTCAAAGAGCTTGCTAATTAATCCAAATAATTTTAATTCATCATAATCTTTCATATTAATATATGAATCTATGTTACTAAATTCTAATTGATTTAAAATACGGATAACTTCACCTGAATTGAAGATTGACTTGATGAAATTTATTGATTATTCAATTTTTTCTTTATTACTAAACAATGGCTTCATTTTATTAATTAATCGAATAGCAGTAGCTTATAATATCTATCCTTCAGGTAGGGTATGATTGAGTAAAACATGTTAAATGATTTCATAATCATTAATGTAGATAAGGATTAATTCAATTATATAATAATTTTGTTAGTTTTTTAAAGATAAGATGTCTATTAAAGATTTATTATATTTTTGGCAGATGTCCTTAAATAAATTATAAGTTTATTTACATTTAATGTGTTTAAATTTAATTACTTATTGTGAATTTAACTTTCAATATCTTCAATAATATTCATTTATTCACTAAATTTTTATTACTCTTTTCCTTTGAGCTATCTCTTTCTTTATAGAAATTCTCTTAACGATAATTATTCTTTTTTAGCATCTAATTATTAAATAAAAAAATGATACCTGATCCAATAGCATCTAAATCAGGTTTTTAGTTTTATTTAAGTTTTTTAGATATTTTAATTTGCTATTCTGTTTGTTCCTCCTCATACTCATATACATTTTATGACCTAATGTAATAAATTAATAATTTTTACATCTATTAGGTCTCATGAAGAGATGATTAATTGAAAACATATGAATTTGTCATTTATTAAGGATTTTGAGCCTAATCTTGATGTTAAATGAAAATTTCATTATCTTAATCAGATTATGTTTGGTAACCTTGATTATTTTAATTTTAGGTTTATTGATTTTGCTTATTATTAGCAGGTATATAAATTTCATTAGCAGCACTGGCACAACAGCCCATAATTGTAGTAATGTAAAATAATTAATAAAATATATTATTAAAGATTAATAATATGATTAGAAATGAATCCTATTAAAGAGTTATTAAATGAATAATGTATAGAATAAATTTCAAATATTTTTATATTCATAAAAGTTTGATTTGTGAATAGAAATATCTGTTCCATGAGATGGTTTTTCAAGATGTTAACCAATTAAATCAGATTATTGAGTAGTTCTTTTATTACAAACTCTTGTTTAACGTGGTATTCTATTTCCATATCTACTTTTTTTAGTATTGATATCTTCAAAGATTGGATCATCACTTTAAGAAAATAAATATTAAAAATTACATTAATTTTAATTTTCTTTTGATTCTAAGTGTTTTATTTATAGCTAAATTATTAAATGTATATAATGAAAAGATATTACCAAAATTCTTTCTTTTATCTATATTAATTTTAAATATTCTGACAGCTCTTGGGACTACAACAGAAGGATTATTCCAACTAAAATAATATCGATAGTTTTTCATTGTTTCAAAATTTTCCAAAAACATTGAATTAGATGGAGTATAATAATCATGAACAGGAGTCGATAATTCTTAATTTTAAATTTGAGAAGGATTATCTTAAATTTTAAGAGTCTTAAAAGTTTTAGTAGTTTTAGTAAGATTTGTTTTTGAATATTTTCTTTTAAATATATCTCTTTTATCAACCATTTAAAACTCTTAAGAGATTTCTCTAATATCTTTGGACAATCTCGATTTTCTAATTTGATTTGAAAGAGATTAACCTCTAGTATCTCTAAAATCTAATTAACTTTGTGATTAAATATGCTTTTATGAATCATCCTTCTTTAATTTCTTAACTTAAGCATTCCTCTTATTTGATGAACGCTAACTATCATTATTTGGTTATAAATGTTGATCATTTTTAAGAGAGAATCTAAAATCTTCAAGTTTCTATAAATTAGATATTGAAATATTAATAGACGACTATTGTTATTTTTCTTAAAGTGAATCTGTCATTTATTCTTCTTTTATAGATGCTAATTTATTATGAATTGAATCTGTGGCACAAAATCCAGCAGTTTATATAGTTTACTTAACCTATTTTACTCTTTAATTTTGTATTACTCCACTCTCTTTTGAACTTTCACTTTCTTAAATAGGTTAAAGATGATTATCCTAAGATAAACTTCTATTTTAAGATTATTATCTAGATAATTTTGATAGACTCTTAGTTTATGAAGCTAAAATAAATCTTATTTATTACAATGATCCTATGGAGATACAGCTACTTCACTTTCAGAATCTTCTATTTAATCATCAACTTAAGATATATTATCTAATGCATAATTACACTGAATTTCTTTAACTAAATTGACATTCTTTCTCACTTCTTTTAAAGTATGATATTTAGTTCTTGTAATCCTTTTTCTAGAATATTTACTATTCCTTTCCTGTTAAATTGGAAAATACTCTTTTTTTAAGACCCTCTCTTAATCAGCCACATAATGTAGTATAGGACAGTCTTTTATCAAATGAGTGAACTTTTTACATGAATAACAACTCAATTTAGCTGGTTAGAAATTATTACTTGCCAAAATACTATCTCTTATTTCACAAAATCTTTCCTACCTTTTATTTTATTTAAATACCATATCTGATGAATTCTATGTCAATACATTCAACAAATGCTATCTCTAAATTTTATAAGCTCTAGAAAATCCTTCACTTTTTGCAGATGCAGTACGAGCCATACCTGTAAAAAATCCATATTCGCCAAAAGACTCTCCTTTACTTAGATAACAAAATACTCGACTATTATTTCCTTCATTGTCATCCTAAAATTAAATACATATCCTTCCTTTTGTTATCAGATACATTGCTGCATCATCATAATTACCTTAATATAAAATTTAATCTTCAGGTGAATATCTTACTTCCTCCATTATTTATGATAATTATTTCAAAGTTTTCTATGAAAATTTTGCCAGCAATGTATTCATCTTCATTACATTATGTCTTATTTCAAAATTAAGTTCCTCCTGAAGACTATTTGATAACTTTTATTTTATTTGTGACACTTCTTCATCGTTAATTTCTTACTCTTCTGCAAAAATATAATCATAATAGTTTCTAATACGTTATTACAACTCAAACTTTATTTAATTTTTTGTCAAATATTAATTCAATAGATTAATACTTTTTTTATAGAGAACCTATCTGGAATTCAAATTTGTAAGCATTAATCCTATTGAATTAAAAGAAAATGCAAAAACTCCACATGCTAAAAACATACTGAAATTTGCACAAACTCTTTCTGCTTGATTTTAAGGTGTTAAATCACCATATCCTACTGTAATCATTGTTTAAACAGCCCAATAAATAGCAAAATTATATTTTTCAAACATTTCAGGATTTTCAACATAAGTATCTATCCATGTTTAACGATGACCTTGCTAATAAAAGGCTACTCCATGCCACAAACAAGCAAATAAATGACCTACATATATTACCATAAATAACAATTTAATTAATTCTATAAAATCTTAATATGAACCAGTAAAGTTAAAGAATCTAAATTTTATAACAATATTTACTCTTCTAGTTTACGAACTCGATCCTGTAGCTTAAATTATCTACTTCCATAAAATATTAAATATGGACATATTTGCCATCCTAATTTATCATGCGAATCCTCTATTTCATTCTCAATTCCAATAAGTAGAGCTACGAATGACAACTATTATTTTTTTTTATATTTTACTATATCATATATTCCTTAACTATTTAAATAATTAATAAAAATTTTCCTTCTTGATTTGATAATCACTCCTTTCTCAATAAATGAAGTGTTAAGAACAATTAAACCATCAATAAGAATGCTAAGGAGAAAACAATTTTCAACACTTTTTACAGTCATTTCACCAAAAACTGTCTATTAGTAGGTAACACCAAATGAAATGTTAAAAGGAGTCCAAAAAAATATTAATATTGTAGTTATAATATGTAACATTTGCCATCCAATCACAAAATTACTACTTTAATCTAATATTGGAACAAATTTTAAGCGTTTACATTATTTTTATAGCCAATTTTTTTTGACTCTTTCATGTTAATATAAATATTTAAGATCATCCATTAAACTATTTTAAAAATCAGTAAAATGATAATATTTCTTGACATAAGACTTTTACAATAGATTATCAATAAATCTGTTGAAAGAGCTTTTTGCAATGACTAATTTTAAGAAATTATTAATCTGTTAAGAACTAGTTATAATAGCTGTTTGATTTTTAAGTTTAGTATCATTTGATTCTCTATTGATTTCTAATTTTGATGTTAGTACCAATGGATTTTCTTGAATAACAACATCATTAGGTGATATCTATAACATTTAAAGTTCTGAATCTTTTTCTAGTTTTGGAGTCAAAGGATTTTCAATAATTTAACTTCCTATTGAAGGTGGTTAGAGAGGAATATCTCTGTTTTGTAAAGGATCAACTTTTCGTGTAAATCTAGCTGGTCCACCTTTTTTTTTTCTATGAATTGATTCTTCTTGATTAATAATATTTTAACTAGGTTAATTGTGTTCTATATTGTAGCTTTATTCAAATTCAATAAAGATGTCTGAGCTCATATATTATAAATTATATAAATGAAAAAAAATAATACAATTAAGTGAATAATGAGTAAAATGAGGATAGTTAGTGAATGTTAAGGATAATTTAGAAAAAAAAGAATTAGAGAAGTATATTAAATGATTAATTTATTGAATTATTTTTATTTATGCTTTAAAATCGAATATTGAGAATCATACAAAAAACTCCAAGATTTTTCTTTGGAAACAAAAAGCCACCAAAAGGATTTGAAAATTTTGAGAGGCCGAGAGTGGAAGAGGAATAAGGAAGAAATAGTTTATAGAAGGAATAGAAAGAAGATTAATAATAATAGGATTAGGATTAATAGGAATAATAAACATCTTAAAAAAGCAATAAAGATTTTAGTTAATAATAAAAATGGAAAAGACAATAATAATAATAGAATTAACCTGAAGATTAAGATAATTAAAGCAGATTGCTTTTTACAATATCAGGTGCATTAATGGGATATTATTTAATTGATTATATAATTCCAGGTAGAGAGAGTCAAATAAACATTATATAATTTGTAAATTAGATATATGCAATAACAAAATCAATAGAAATAAGGCCATCAGCAGATTCTGATGCAATATATGCTCATATAGTATCTGATAAAGGAAGATACAAATTAAAATTAGGAAATCCTGATACATTTTTAGAGAATTTAGAATATTTGTAATTAAAAGCAAATGTAGAGCCATAAAATATGATAAAAGTATCATTTAGAGAGAATTAAAATTCATAATTATTGGATAGAGTATTGGATGTGATTCCTCTTGGATTTGCAATATTAATATCATTGAATTTTATAAAAATATTGAGATTATTTCGTGAAAAAGGTACAGGAGGTATGATGGGAATGTTTAAATCAAATCATAAATAATTTTAGATGGAATAGAATGTAAAGGTTAAATTTTAAGATGTAGCGGGATTAGATGAAGTGAAAGTAGAGATAAAAGAATTTGTAGATTTTTTAACAAATAGTAATAAGTTTAAATAATTGGGTGCAAAGATTCCAAGAGGTGCATTATTAACAGGTCCTCCAGGAACAGGTAAAACAATGTTAGCAAAAGCATGTGCAGGTGAAGCTGGTGTACCATTTTTTTATGTAAGTGGTTCAGAATTTGTAGAAATGTTTGTAGGTTTAGGTGCAAGTAGAGTTAGAGATCTATTTGAATAAGCAAAATAAAAAAGTCCATCAATTATATTTATAGATGAAATAGATGCTATAGGTAAAAAAAGATAAGCTAGATTGGGTAATGATGAATCTGAAAATACTCTTAATTAATTACTAGTTGAAATGGATGGATTTGCTACTGATCATAATGTTATTGTTTTAGCTGCTACTAATATGGCTGATTAATTAGATTCTGCATTAACAAGACCTGGAAGATTAGATAGATTCATAGAAGTTACATTACCTGATTTAAATGGTAGAAAATAAATATTTATGGTTCATCTTAAACCATTAAATTTAGATCCATCTAAAACTTAAGAAGAATATGCTAATAGATTAGCTACATTAACACCAGGATTTAGTGGAGCTGAAATTGCTAATCTATGTAATGAAGCAGCAATCTTAGCAGCTAGATAATCTAAATCTCATGTAGATTCTCACGATTTTGAAATGGCTGCTGAAAGAGTTATGGCAGGTATTGAAAAAAAAAGAATTATTTCTGAAGAAGAAAGAAAAGTTGTTGCTTATCATGAAAGTGGACATGCAGCTGTTAGTTGGTTTCTAGAAGGAGGAGATCCATTATTAAAAGTAATTTTATATATTATAATTTAATTAGTTAACTATTATACCACGTTCTAAAGGTTCACTTGGTTATGCTTAATATTTACCTAATGAAAGTTCATTATTCACTAAATAAGAATTACTTGATAAAATCTGTTGTATCTTAGGAGGAAGATCGAGTGAAAAACACTTTTTCTAAAGAGTCACTACTGGAGCTTATGACGATCTTTAAAAGGTTAAAAATCTTGCCTATAATATTGTAACGAAATATGGAATGAGTGACAAAATTGGTAATCAAGGTTTTAGAGATGAAAATGTTAACTCTTTTAGTGATGAAACTAGTAAAATTATTGATGATGAAGTCAGAGAAATTATTGCATAATGTACTTAAAGAACTGAATTAATCATTCAAAAATATCATCAACAAATTTAATAATTGTCAGAATAATTATTAGTGAAAGAAACTCTTGATCTAAATGATCTTATTACTATTTTAGGGGAAAGACCATTTCCACCAAAATCCAATTTTAAAGAATACTTGGATACTAAAAAAAGAGAAAAAGTTGCTGCTTGACAAATTATTATTATTTTTATAATATGTAATCTTAATTACATAAATAATTTAACTATTTCTTTAAAATGCTTTTCATTTGAATTATAAAATTTCTTCTATAATATACTCATTTATCATTTATTATAATAATTTTGTTTTTTATATTTAAATAATTATAAGAAGTAATAACTTTAAATTGGATTATTTCATAAGTTTATTGAATTGTGAATTTGATATCTAAATTAATTTAATAAATAAAATAACAGTCTTCTTAATCATTTGTCATATATCTATAGAATCGATAATTGCAACACTTCTTTTAGTCTTCAATCATAGTTTTTCTGAATAATCGAAGTTTGATTATAAGATTTGATATATATATAGAATGCTTTAAATTCTTACTGTTGTTCTCCGAAATAATATTTTTAAAATATTGTCTATATAATATAATTAGAATACTTAAAATTTTAATTTATTTATATTAGAAATAATTAATGTTATCTGATGTAACTAAGGAAGCAAAATAAGATTAATTAGTTCCTCAATTAAATCAGACTCCTAGCAGTACATTCTTTGTATATAATTGCTACTTACCAGTTGTTTAAGATTTTATGAATCAACCTCCAACATTGCAGGTTAGGAATTCAAGTAAATTAATTATAAAACCCTTAGATGAGTCTTTCCCATAAATATTAAAATAAACAGATAGTTTATAGATGGGACATCTTGGAGCTGGAATGTCAATGCCAAGTTTTTAATTTGGAGCATCTACTCCTTTTATAAATGCAGAAGATGTTATGAGAAATGTTCAACCTCAAACAACTTAGAATCATTTTGCATCATTTATATTAAATGAACAACTCAAACCATAGAATCAGTTTTAAAAAAATAGAATCATAGAAGGTACTCAAATTTTATGTGACATTGAAATTGTACTCATTTCTCGTTATTTTGATATGAAGGCTAATGTAATTAATATGTGCAATTAAGATAGGTATTTTGTTCACCTAACAATAAATATAATTTAAAAGAAGACACATCTATTTCAAATTCAGAGTGGCTCAAAGATAGAATGTCTTACAGATACAAGAAACCCGTATTATTGTATCAATATAATTAGATTAAAGAAGCATTTTGTGATATGATTGAAGCAATTCAAAAAGAAGGTGAAGTTAATATGAAGTCAATCATTTAACCAATTAAATTCTAATAAAATGGGTTTGATTCTATAGAACGTCAAGTGCCAAAAAGTGTTAAATTGGAAAAGCCATTCTCATTTTTCATTTTAGAAATATAATAACTTATTTCTTAGTTTATATTCAACACCTATTGACAAAATTGGACTGAATAATGTTTAAATGTTTATACGTTCCTTATATTAACAATTTTCCATATATTATTTATACATAATGCATCAATAATGTTTCACTATTCCATATTATTCAAAATAGGAATTATTAAAATATAATTTTATATTTAATTATAATACAAAAATTAGAAACAATTTAATAATTAAATTAATTTATTTATATACTACTAATTCTCATCTAAAAATTTCTCAAAATTAGAATGGATCAGTCAACATTTTTAATGATTCTTTATGCATAATCCTACTCGAATTATAAAAGAATGTGTTTATAAATTTTCAAAATATCCCCTGATTATAACAACTAACATTAGGTCAAATTGTTTCCAATAAATCATTTTCTAATTTTCTACAATTCTCATCAATTCAAATAAATTTTTTATTGAAAAAATCATACTTCTTGGTTCCAAATTGAACTTTTAAATTGATCTTTTGATATTGTGAACACTATTAACACACATTTAAAAAGTCTTACGAAACTCTTCTTACAGACAATAGAATTGGGCTTAATCCTAATAACTATGACTAATTTATATGATAAGCCTAATTAACGCAAAGTGGATATCTTTTAAAAATCAAATTATTTGCATCCTTTATGTAAGTTAACTAAAACATGTTGATTGAATGGAGCAAACGTGACAATATATAATTCTTCAGATTTGTGATATATCTGATAATCCTAAATAATCTAATAAGAATCTTACTATAGAGAATAATTTTATAATTCAATGGATAATAAAAAGATCTACAATGATCCAATAACCTAAAAAAACTTTGTTTCTCATTTTATTATGTAATTATTATTCTATAGAAGAACACAAATCGATATAGATTAGGAATTTTTGATAATTTTATGTTTTCAAAAATAGATAACATATATAAATCAATTAAATTGAATTGATGAATTATAATTTATTAAATGTTGAATAATTTATAATAATCGAAAAGAGACGAGGGGAATGCTTTGATTTTTGAAGAAAAATTTTAATTATATTTAGGAGATCTAAATGATCCTTAAAATAAAGTATTTTAAAAGTCATTAAAATTAAGTAACAAAAATTTGTTTGTGTTCTAACTGTTGCAAATGGTTACTTTATGAATTACAATGATATTACTATAAAATATAGCTATTATTTTATTGATGATGAAGCAGATTTTAAAATATAAAAATATTTTTCATAAGTTTTTCATGACTTTGACAGAGTGATTCAAACTACTAATGTGTTATGTAAATTAATCAATTATATTGTAGTTCATCAGACTGTTAGGATTTCTAGTTCTGCTACTTTTTAATTGCATATTTAATTATGAATAAGAAGGGAATGTCATATTAATAAGCATTTAATTATGTGAAGATTAGAAGGCCAGTGATAAGGCCAAATGTAGGTTTTTAGAATGTGTTGGAATCTTTAGAATAAAAATAATGATTGATTCATTAAATTATACAAAGACCATATTCACGTTCTTTGCCAAATTCGACAATTTTCTCGAATTCATCATTGTCTGGAATTTCAACCAATTTTGCATCAACTTTGGTAGTATATTTGGATTCCTTCACAAAGCTCTTGCTCTAAGTTTGGATAGCCGTTTAAGATGAGTTCTATTGCATTTTTTAATTATTATATATATATATATTAAATAACCCCAAAATCAAAATGATGGCACTGTTTTTGGTTTTAATAAGAGTTCACAAAATTATTTGAGACCATCAACTCCTCTAACTTCATTTTCTTAAAGTGGCATAATAACAACATGAAAATCATCATATAAATCTAGCATTTGATCTAAATATTTTTTTTACATTTTAGCTCTAGCATTACACATTTTACATTAATCCTCTAAAAAATGAATAATAAAATAAGAATACCTGGAAAGAGTACTTAATTAATAACTATATTATGAATGTCAATTTTGAATTTAGTAAGTTCTTAAACAAGTCTTTCAGTTTCATACATAGATAAGAATTCTGGGATACAAACACCAATAAATGTAGTTTTAGTCTGAAATATATAAATAAAAATATACTTTATCTTTCATTTATGCATTAACTTTAGTAACAGTTTCTTTCATGGTTTCAATTTTACTAAACATTTGATTCATTTATTAATCAAATTCTTCTTATGATCCAAAGAGTCCTTGGAATTAAGAAGCAAGATTTTAGAAATTATATCTAAGTTAAACTAATTTGTTTAATCCTTTTTCCATAATGTTTGGGAAATTAAGTAATCTCAAAGTATGCCCAGTTGGTGCTGTATCAAAAATAATAAGATCATATTTCATTTCATCAACAGAACTAAATAATATTTAGAATGGATTACTTCATTAATTCAGCAAAACTCATAGCTTCATCAATACCTGGTACTGAACTAATTAATTCAGATAACAATGATTTTGTAGCTTAATCATTCATAAATCCTTATAGAGTTGGTAATTTTAATTTATCAGGATCAACAGTAGGATCTATTTCCATAGCACTTAAATTTTCTATTCCTTTAATTTAAGTAGGTTGACTTCCAATCTTTTAATCAAAACAATCACTTAAATTATGAGCAGGATCAGTTGATATAATTATTGTCTAAATATTTTTAATTAATTATTTAACATACTTTCTTTCCATTTTTAGCAAATAATGTTGCTAATGAACTAGATGTTGTTGTTTTTCCTACACCTCCTTTACCTCCAACAAATATCCATTTTAAAGAGGAATTCTCTAGAACATTCTTTAATGTTGGTTCCATTGATTACATAATTAAAATTTATATTAAATATTTTTAATGATCAAAAAACTAACCAATTTTAATATAGAATCAATTAAATATATAATGAGAATCTTAGTAATAATTAGAAATATTCAAATTTCTTTTTTTATCCAAGGATCTTCTTTTAATATTTCTGCATGTGGTCTTTAATCTTTATTATATGTACAACATCTTTTTATAAAGTTTTAACATTCTTTTGAGAGATGAGTTGGTATAGGAGGACATTTCAAATTTTAAACTGCTTCTAATAACTAAGCTAAACTCTTTATATTTGGCCTAATACTTATAATAATGTTAATATACCATGGATTTTCAGCTGTTGCCATTTCTATTATTACACATCCCAAACTCCATACATCTACTCTTCTTCCATATTTCTTTTCTTTTTATAATAATTCAGGTGCCATCCATTTAAAAGAACTCTTATATTATTATTTTAATACCCTTTCATTGATTAACAAAATTCTGTATCTGATAAATTTATTGTTTCTTTCCATGAAGATGATCCAAAATCTGCTATCTTTATTTATCCTCTTTAATTTGAAAGAATATTTCCACATTTTAAATCTCGATGTACTACAGCCTAACGATGTAAATATATTAATCCATCTAATATTTAAATTGTAAATCTTCTTATCAAAGTTTCATTAAACTTTCCAAACTACTTTAATCTATCAGATAAACTTCCACCTATTTTTATCTCTTAATTATATACCATCCATATATTCCAAATAAACATTCAAAGTACCTCCTTATTTCATATATCCATAATATTATACTATATTTTTATGTGTCATTCTTGATAAAATCATTATCTCATTATCCACTGATTCCACTAATTACTTACCATCCATTTATTTTACAGCTATAAATTTACCTTAAATGAATCCCACAAATACATCTCCAAATGCGCCACTACCAATCTTCTTCCCTAATCTCAAATCTTTGAAATTATATTCACATCCTACTACTTTTTCAGAATCCTCCTATTAATCACATAACATAGGTTTCAAAACTAAAGGTGCTGGTTTTCTTATTCGAAAATCCTTAGGACTAAGCAATGTTTTATTTTGTGGTTCCGGAGAACAAACTAAACAAAGTTAAGTTGTTTAATTTGCACTTTCACTAGCATCAATGCTCTATTTCATTTATAAATAAAAAAACTAATTATAAACTCATAATCAAATTTTGTAAAGTAATGCTTCCCTAAATTACAACTCTCCAATCTAATCCAAATTTATTCACTTTATTCCACTATAATCATATCACTTACTTAAATACACTTTTAAAATACTTATCTTAATTAGAGTTTTTATTTAAAATCAATACATGTTTATATGTTTGAACAAATAAAACAATTATACCTAACTATCTATTTGATATTTAATTAATAATCTTAATTTATATATATGTTAATACTAAAGTTTAAATTATTTTTCAAAATTTTATAATTAAAGTCACACTTAAAACTCATAACTATCTTTTTCAACATCTTTAAATAATTAATCTTATTGTTATTATTTCAATTACTGATTTCCTTTTTTTTATTAATCAAAAAAATATTTCAATATCTTTCTCTTTAATTACCAAATCAAAAATTGAAATCTCTTTTAAGTCTACCTTATTTTTAGAACTAGTTTGAATAATTGAAATAATTAAATTTTTGATAAAATGAATATATTAGTTATTCTTACAAGTTTATATTTGATGATATCTTTTTTGTTAATTTTATAAAAGATACTCAATCAATCCTAAAACCAAAGCCTCTTATGATCAATGAACTAAATTAATCAACAAGAAATTGATATGAGTAAGAATAGCGAACATTATAAATAAATTAAAATTCATATTAACAACGATTAATTTTTTATTATTTCAAAAAAAAATGTTATATATAATCATTTTATACAAAATGAAAAAAAATAAATCAACCATGATGGCAAATTGGACATAATGGAGACTTTTACATCCAACTAGTAAAACAATTTAAATGAAATCTATGGATACAAAGTAATATTGCCAATTTTTCCCCATTTAAGTAAGTTTAAGCACAAATAGCACACTCTAAATTACCATCTGATAATTGTGGGTTAAATTTAAATTCAGTTTCAATAAAATTTCGTTCTTCTTGTTCTTAATGTTATTATATTTAGTTTTACTATTATTGTTAATTCTAAAAGAACTAGAAATTCTATTATTATTAATATTATTAATTCAACATAAATTAATTATTTAGTTACTATTATTATTAACGAAATTAATTCTACAAAACTTAATTAATTTATTATTATTATTATTATTGTTATTAATTTTAATTGTTTTGGAAAGCCTTATTAATTTGTCTTTATTCCAAAATAAATTATGGAAGAAAGTCAGGCGGTATTTCTGGAAATGATTATTTGATATGATCATATTCCTCTTATGTCATTTAAAGGAAATTTAAAAATCTCTTAAAAAGCAAAGGCTAATGCTTAATATTTTTAGACAAAGCAGTTCTTAAATATTAAAATTATCCTGTATTATTAAGATAGTTTGGAAGTTGGTTTTATTAAATATTATTAACCTCTATTTATTATAAGTTATTAACATCCAATTATTCTTATTATGGCTACTAAATAGAAACATTTTTATCGTTTTCTAATCCTTGATAGTTCTATTAATTTTTTTCTTAAATTTTGTGTTCAAATTTTTATTAGACTTGAAATACTTACTCAATCTTATTTTTTTATTAAGTATTGGCTAATAAGTTATCTTCAAATACCTCAGCAAATTAATTACTAAGACTACTTTTTTTTTTTAAATTCATCTTTTATTAATTATTTGGCATTTCTTTATATTATAGTTGTTATTTATTTGTCATCTTGTTATCTCTTTTTTATATTACCCTTTTAATATTTGGTAAATTTTATTTGCTTTATCTTTTATTAGCTTTTAATAACATATTACTAAATACTTTTTTTTTGTTTACTGAATTACATCATATTCTCTAAATCATCTGATTGATCAGATTAAGATGTATTCCTTTAAGCTGAGTTTACTTCAAAATCTTCAGATGAAACCTAAATTTAAGCATCCATATTTTAAAAACTATTATAATAAATATTATAGCTTCTACTTGAATTAATTAAAATGATAAAAAAATCTTTAAAATAAATGGTATTTCAATAAATTAATTATTTATGAACAAAAAAGGCTTTAATTAAAAGTTTTCTTTACAAATGGACTTTATTTGTGTTAATGTCATAGATTATTAGATAGCTAAAATCAATTGTTCTTTCTTATTTAAAACTGAAGGGTTTTCTCAATAAATAGTTTTAATTAAAATTTATAACGAAGTTTATCGATTTGCCTAAAATTTAAAGTTCATTCATCATTATACTTAAAAAGAAATATGATGTTGCTGTGTGTTTTTATTGTTTGGTATTTGGTTATTGATATTGAATATGACTATTAAGATATTTTATTTTATTCTTTGATAGTCTAATTTAATTGATTTTAAATAATTTAACTTAAAATTGCTTGAAATATTTTTAATTATATTCTTAAAAAAATAAAATATAAAAATTCTATTTTAAAATTTTCAAAAATTTTTTGGATTATATTTTAGAAGCTAATAATAAAGAGGTAACTTGTCAATAAATTTAGATCTTTAGGATTATATTGAAAAAAAAGATTAGTGAGATTTATTGAATATTAATTTAAACAAGATTTAAAATATTTCTTTTTTAATTTCATTATTAAATATTTTTGGTTAAGTTCATTTTTTTTTTAGAGCTTCTTTAATTTAATAAATTGATTCGTTTAAATGAGAACAAAAAAGAGAGTCAATTCTTTTTTAATTTTATGAGGAATGGTTTCTAAGATAAAATTTTATAAATCTGAGTTTTAATTATTACTTATTTTTTTAAGAGAATTAATTGATTATAGAGCGAAGAAATATGAGATTTTAAATAATTTCTTCAAATAATGAAAAAGAAAAAGTTGTAAAATAACTTTATGTATTATTATGATTCATGATATCTACTTCAACTTAAGTTTAGAACAATATAGTTTATGTTTTTGCTTTGATTTTTTATCTCTATCAATAGCATTAGATTCATCATCACTAGTACATGTATCAGATTATTAGCAATTTTGTAATTAATGATTAAACTATGGTCGACAAACTAAAATTAAATAGAAATAATACCATTGAATTTAAATTTTCCAGTATTTTCATTGTCAATGGTATCTTCTGTCCATTTTACAGATTTATTGATTAATTTGATTTTTTTCTATTTTTCTGATTTTGTTGTTGGTTCTTATTGAATCTTATAAAAAATAAATGATTCTGATTTACTTAGATATCAGTTTAAGTTAATGATAACATATTTATGTTTTGGTATTGTGAATATTAGAATTAATTAATGAAATCCTCCATAAAAAACAATCCTATAACAGGGAATTCTGTAAGTAAACTATAAAATAGAGGTAAAAGAACATTCACAGCACATGATCATATTCAAAGTTCATGCATAGTGAAAAGCATACCATTAAATAAAACTCCTAACAGACATAAAATCCCAGATCATTCAAATGAGCATTTCTATCCATAAGATAATTCATTTTAGAAAAGAGATTTAAGAAAGAGTCTAAGCACATTTTAACCGAAAGAAACTATTAAAGATCCTCTTAGTAGAAAAATATCAGATATTTATGGATAAGAAATAAAAGTGACGCGTTCACCTATGAAATAATAATAATAACAATCAGAAACAGTTTCACCTTAGAAAAGAAGAATAATGGATAATAGGAGCTCGCATGTTGATTAAAATGATATTTATGAAGCCAATCTCAATCAAAATAAAGAAAAAACTCTTCCATCAGATGTTAATTGGTTTCATATTGATACAATTAAACATAGACTTGATTATAAAATTGAATAACCAAATCCTATTCGTTCTTCCTAAAAGGATTAGAGAAGTGTTTTAGATCAAACTAATAAAAATGTTTCATAAAATAATTATTATTAAAAGTAGAATGAAAAGCTCTCTAAAAAATAAGAAGTTGCCCTTCAATATACTTATTTAAGAGCAGTTAAAAAATCAGAATTAGTGATGAAAAAAAAATGATGTTTTACTACATTATTTATTAAATTTAACTTGTTAAAAAAAGGAGTTAAAAATTATTTATCATTCAGTTTTCATAGCTTAGTTAATTTACCAATAAATTTTGTTTTATCTTTCCATAAATACTTTTGATTTACCTTATTATTTTTAGTACTAATCTGATGAAAAATTTAGTGTTTTCTTTTTTTAAATTCAAAGTATTTTAAATTATGAATAATGTAAATTATAATACATTTATTTTTAATGTTAATATGACTAAATCTCTAAATATTTTATCATCATCCTAGATCATCAAATAAGTTAATTGATAACTCTTTTCAAGTTTTTATAATTTAAGTTTTAATGAGATTTTCATATTTAGATTATTTTGTTTTATCTTATAAAATCATTTAATAATATTTGAATTTATCTTAGTTCTATCCATCAGAATATAAAAACTTTTAAATCGAAAAAAATATTTAATATTTATTTAAAAATAGATATTTTGAATAAATTATATACACAATCATGATATCATAGTAAACCAAACAATGGGAGATTGGTTAGTAGATTACTAAATAATAATACTGAATCACATTTTTTTTAGAAATATTTTCTGACATTATTTTCTAAAGATTCTTTCCCATAAACCTTTTAAAAGACTTTTAAAAAATAGCTCTTTTTCTTAATAGTAATTTTTATTAATTATTTTTTGGAATATGTTGCCAAAACTTCAAATGAAACATCTGATTATAAATGATTGGAAATAGGATCTAAACCTATAGCCAAATTTAAATACATAATTCTATTATCAAGATTAGAACTATTATAGTAACTCTATTATGAATCATTATTTGATTTTAAAATTGAATTTTCATATTATTTTTTTAATTATTTATTATTGTTACAATCTTTATAAATTATTTATTCTAATACTGTAGATTTAGGAGATTTATGTTTTTTACAGCAACAGCAAAGTTTTTTTCTGTAACTTAAGCAAGTTAAACATATAAAAAAGAATAAAAATGTTAATCCTAGAACAATAAAAAAAGTAATAATTTAAGAATTGCATTCATTAAGTAGATAGCATTTAATATCAAAAAATACTGAACAATCTGAAATACAATGATCTTAGATTTCATCTGAAGCTAAGATTTCATTATCTTAAATATTTTATTCATCCCTATTTTATTCACTAATATGTTAAATTTCAGTTGTATTAAATTCAATTAATTTCCAATCCAATAATGTACCTTAATTGTTCAATAAACTAAAATTGCATAGATTAGATTTATTCATATCACTTAATACATTAACATCTTTTTTGATAATGTAACTTTCTAACGGATCCAAATACAATGCTACAGAATTGATTGGAATGACATTTATAGAACAATTTAAATATGTATTGAATTCACTAGGAATATCACCAATATTAGTAATTTAGGCATAAAGTAATCCATTACCAGATTTAGCTTCAAAATCTTATATTTCTGCTAAATCAATTTTTCCTAATCCTAAATTAACAACATAAGATATTCGACCAGTTGTATTAATTTCAAGAGTAATAAGTGTAGACATTGATCCTTCTACACTATATTATAAATATGTATCATTGTTAATATAAATGGACTTGAATTTACCATATCTCGATAATAAATATTTTGGTTATGAATTATTAGCAATTAAAGCTTAATCTTCTAAATAAAAATCTTCCAATTAATTATTTAAACAAGATTTAGCTTATTTTTTACATCTATCTGCCTCTGTACGAAATGAAGTATAAGAAACTCCTATTTTATTACATTCTCCTTCTCCAACTTTATCTTTTGAAATTATCATAAATGCAGATGAACCTGCCTAAACTCTTGTATTACTACTAGGTGAGGATGGTCTCATTAAAATAAATGATTCTAAAGAAGGTGGTGGATTTAAAGGTGTAAAATCTCCAATTATTCTACCAATTAAAGTTTTGCCTTAAACAACTTTTACTTCACTTCCTAATTTCAATTCTTCTTATTCTTAATTAGAATATATAATTGAAATTGTTATATTGTAAAATATACTATAAGTTCCTATTTCATAACCACTTTTATATTAATATATTTATTACCTATACCATAAATTTGAGTATCGTAAACAAAATGCCATTGTTGCTGTTCTCAATCCTGCTTAACTACATATATTTCCTCTTGCAAACTCATCACTAAGACCAATTATATCCAAAATTCCACAAGAACAACAAAATCCTTGGCTATCAAATATTTTCTTATTATTTTAATATTGAAATCCACAAGTTGGAGAATTCGAATACCAACTATCATCACATGATAATATGGCACCTGCTATTTTCACCTCATATGGTTAACTATTATAATCTTTTGTATATTTCAATGGATAAAATGCATAAACTGGAGTCTTTGTTATTGATATTATTATTGGTGTTTTAAGTTATGATGATTCATTATTTACCATAGTCTCATTTATTTTTATATATTCTGTCACAGTCTACTAACCATTATCTACTGTTAAAGATATAACCATTTTCTCAGAGCATTCAGTATTATTTGTTGAATTAGCATAACATTTATTTATTTATGATTACGAAACAATTTCAGCTAAAGTCTTAAGTGTTAAACTAATCAATATTATCACTATCATTTTATAATATTCATTTTTTACTTTAAAATCATCTATATAATCTAATTTTGAACTAAATTTATAGTAAACTTTTAGACTTTCTAATTCTATTTTAATGTCTATAAATATATTATATAAATAAACATATTAAATGACTTGATATCCAAATTATAAATTAAGTGTGTAAATAATTATAATTAATATTATATATGACATATAGTTTCATCAATCAGAAGCTAGAATTTAAAATAGATCTACAATTTGGACAATTATTTTTCTCAATAAGCCATCTATTGATACAATCATTATGAAAATAATGCTTACATTTCATTATTCTCAAATAATCTTCCTCTATACATATCGAACATAAATCAAATTTTAATTTCTAAATACTTTACAAGTATTCTGTAATTTTATGATATTTATTAGGATGAAAATTCCTTGTTTGTTCCGCTATTTCTCTTCTAAAACTTAAACTTCGTGATGAAGTTTAACTATTCACTTCCTCAATATCACTTATCACTGAAGAATTCTCATCACTACTTGAATCAAACAAATCACCAAATGAACTACTATAGTCATCACCTGACAACCTACATGGTATAGATTCAATTGAATTATCATTTAAAGAATCTACCTAATTTTCCTCCGAATTAATCTCATCAAATTATGAGCTACTTATATCATCTGAATATCCTGACAATTCATCTATTATAGATTCTTTTTAACTTTTTAATAAAGTGTTTGCCTAATATTTTCTGATGTTATTTTCACTCATTTATGATTGAAATCTCACTACTTCATCATAACTACTTATTTAATTTCTATCATTTTGTAAATAATTAACATTGTCACATTATTCTGATGAAGAGTTTTCAAATTCATCTAAAATTGTTTCTTTCATGGTTTTTTTTCTAATATGACCTCAAGGCTATTTATTAATTTAAATGACTTTGCATTTAGTATCAGGTAGGGTAATTAATTTATTTAGAATGAATTTTCATACTTATTAATCTTTGAAACTAACTTATTTAAATAAGTTATTCGAAAAGCCATGTTATTTGTAGAAAAAGTTATTGCAGTTTCCTTTTATGATAATTATTATTTGTCTCGCTTTGGAAAAATTATTCAATTTTTTTTTTTAATCTACAAAACTAAAACTCTTAAATTCAGAAAAATATTGGGTAAATGAAAAAAATCTCTAAATCTCATTAAATGTTCTTAAACCTTCATAATATTTAGATGACACAACATTTAAACTCCATTATTTCATAAATAATAATTAGATATTAGTAGAAAGAAGATATATACAAATTTTACTTTATATTAAAAATTTATAAAATTGAAGCTTCTATTTAAATCAATATTTATTTCAAAAATATATTTGTATAAATTCGATAATTTAATTAACAAAAATACATTAAAATATTATCTCTTAATTCATAATTTTATTTCTTAATGAGCTCAATTAAATTTATGAATTAAGTTTATTATGTATTTTAATTTCTTTAGTAGTATTAGAGATAAAAGTAAAGGAAATGAGAAATAAATACATATATATAATTATGAAATTTAATAATAATAGCTTGTAAATTTTGAATTTAAAATGCTCAAATTGCACCAATAATTCTAGGAATAAATCCCTTAATTAGTTCAATTACAGGCATCATTCTTCCACCAGAAGGACCTTAATCATCTTCATTGTTTTCATCGTCAGAAAATTCTTCTTATGATTCTAAGTTTTCATTGGAATCTTATTCAACTTAATTAGCTTCTTCAACATACTCACTTTCCTATAATAAATATTCTTTTAAGACACATCTTAAAGGGATAGCTTTAACTTAATTCTAAAGTAAGTAAAAAGAATTACCTATTCAAAAAAGAATACTTTGTCATTGATAGTGATTTCTGTATCAGGGACAATGCATATAGCTTGTCTTAGGTTTTTAAGGAATGTTGTAGACAAGCGTGCAATCATTGATAAACTAAAATTGATTAATTTATTTAATGGGTTTGATAAAAAATATCATATTTTCTGTTCATCATTTTTTCATATTGGCACTTTATTACATACTGGGTTGATATGTGAAATTTGAAAAATTTTAATTAGGCAATATGGTACCATTAACAGGTGTGTCTTTAGCAATTTATTTAGTCATTCCTTCATCAAAATATTTCAACTCTTTCTTATCAAATTTATAAGGTGGTTGCATCTAATTATAGATTTTAGATAGATACTTTATGTTAAATAATTTCTGGCATATTAATACCAATAAAGAAATCATGTTTCATGATATCGTATCCATCATTTTCATATCCCAAACGTTTTTTTGGCTAAGATAATGTAAAAAGAAGTAAGTTACATCTACAACCAAGATCTACTCTAAAAGTGACCTAGCATTTTCAGATAGATATGAAGGATATGGTATAGGTTAAGTTAATATCCTACGAATCATTTCTTTTTTATTTTCTTTATAATGAGGTGGAGCTCCTACTAACATTTCATATAACAAAGCTCCAAAACTCCACCAATCACAGGTTTTATCATATCCAGTTTCTAAGATAGTATAATAAGAATGTATAAACTTGTAGTAAGTATCTCAGGTGCCAAATATTCTGGAGTCCCACATAAACTAAAGGCAGTTTCATCTTCTTCCATCATAATTTTGGATAGACCAAAATCAGTCAATTTTATATGACCATTTTCATCTAACAATATATTTTCTGGTTTAAGATCTCTATATATAATATGGTTTTCATGTAAATATTATAAACCCAATAGAATTTCAGCTGCATAAAACCTAGCCACTTCTTCTTTGAATCTTCCAACCTTTCTTAAATGATAAAATAGTTCTCCGCCTGGCATATAGTCTACAACAAGATACAATTTATATTATGATTAAAATGCATATCTCAATCTTACTAAAAAGATACTAGAACATGTAGCCAAAATGATTCTCTCTGTCTCTGTGTGACGTTTTTATCTTTCATTTTTTATATTCTTTTTTTGTAAAACTTTCATTGCATAAAATTTTGCTGTCTTATAAATATATCAATACAGTTTGATTTATATTACACCAACATTACTTTTCCAAAAGATCCTTTTCCTAAGACTTTCAATAATCTAAAACTATCTATGTTGACTTTTTAAGTTTGTTAACCTTATCCTTCACTCTCTGTTGCTTTAGATGCTATATCTAATTATTTTGTATTTTCCTTTAAATTATAAAACCTAATCTATACATTTGAGAGTTTATAAAATTCATCCTTTTCCACCTATAATTCAGGATCATCAGTCATTTCAGTTTAATTCTAATTTACTAGATCTGTTTTCTAATCATCTCCACTAGCTCCATAATCAAAATGTATATTTACGTTTAGGTTTCATTATTGATCCTTATACAGATTCAGGTTTCTTAACTTCCTATCCTCCCAATAATTTCTCTTCATCATAATCTCTATAACACATATTGCCCATGTTTATTAATATTATTTATATTAATTTTAAGAATTATATTCAAAGTTAATTAGATTGTGAATTCTTTTTTCATAATGGCTACTGTGGGCTATCTTTAGACAATCAAAACATCATTTAATAATAAAATATAGAATATTATTTTTATTTAAATCAGATTTAATTATAACTAATATATAATAAAACATATTATTTGAGATATCATGATTTTATCAAATACTCAATTCAACTTTTTATATTGCTCAATTCGAGATTTCTTTAAATATACTTAAAATCTTACGAGTTATTATATAGAATAATCTTGTCTTTTAGTCAAACTATCTCTCTAATCAATTGCCTTTTATTTATATTGCTTCTCTTCTATCAATTAATTCATCACAGATTGAATTTCACCCCTTCAAATAAAAATATCAATCTTACTCTATTGATCTTTGCTATTTCCTTGGAGATTGAGGTAATATTGTATCAATCAATTAATTGATAACAGAAACTCTATCGCAAGGCATAGAACAAGAACGGATATGAAAAAATCTACTAGCCTACCTTTCTTGATATTATTGTCGAATTTGCTCAACAATTGAAATACATTTTTAGATAACATCTTAACTTTTATTAGGAACAATTGAAGTGCAAGTCTAAATTTTAGTAGATGATCCATTAATTGTAGATGCTTGCCTTGTCAGTTTCCTAATTAATTTAATTGGAGATGGTGCATCCTAATAAATTATGATATTCTATACTTGGTTTGTACAAGCAGTAGATAATCTCGTTGGCAATTCCATTATATTCAATGAATTTCTTTTTTAGATCATTATTTTTTGATTATGTATTAAATGCATTGATTATATAATAAATTTATCAAGCTCTTTTCCCACCTAATGCACCCCATAATGATTGCATACACAATTTCCAATCTCCATTTCTATCAAATTCTCTCATCAGGAAATATTATTCTTACAATGTTAAATTAAATCCTAATTCTTACAAACCTTATGATAATTCATCAAATCCAATTTATCCTTAAAGTTATTTATCCAATTTCCTTTATTTATTAATCTAATTCATACTTCATTAAATCCAATAAGAAACTATCGAAATTTTAATACCCATCAGCAAAAAGTCTTAATTTTGCTATGATTTAAGAAATGTCAGCTTCTTTAAAAACATCTGGTTTTTATTTCATATAATTGATGGTAAATTCATCTGCTCTCATCAATTAAAATTTGTAAACATTAAATTAAACAATCCCTCCTAATTAAAAATCCTTTCATATTAACTTATATTAATACCTTTTCAGTATAATAATCATTTGTCAAAGGATTTTTTTATCTAGATCTTTCTTAAAATTTTCCACCCTTTCAATTTATCATTTATAAATACCCATATTCCACTATTCCTTTCAGATGTTTGATACACTTAAACAGTATCATCACCACAATAGAAAGATATTATAAATCTTCTTGAATTCTCTTCTCTAACCTCACTGATTTATCTTGCTTCAAATCTCAATATAAATTAATCTTATGTGAAATTCTTTCTGACATCCTTTTTTGGTGGTTTTGGTTACAAAGAATATACTGATCCTAAAGAATCCTCCTCATATCCATAACCATTATATGGAGGAACTGGTTAATAAAACTTTTTGCCTCTCTCCTATTTTAATGTGGCAGGCCTTTTATAGATTTACAATGTCTTACTTTTATTGAATTCCTAAAACATTCAAATAATATTCTTTTGTAAAATCATCACATCCATAAATAAAACATTACCTTCCATAGATCTTTACTGTGTTTCCACAAATTAAATCCTGAGGACTATAAAATTCTTCTTTCTTAAGAGTCATTCCTGGATAATGAGTGAGAATTGGGGCTTTTGGTATCTTTTATCTCCTTAACATTAATGGATAAGGATCCTTTCCTGAATTCTATTTTCTAACTTCTTTCACTTCACATGTATCATCAGCTAGATAAAAATTCAATGTGTAATAATTTAATTATCCTTCAATGGAGGCATCATCCCAAATAATATCAAATGATAAGACTTTTCTATCATTTTATAAATATTTATTTAATCCTCCATTAGGATGTCCTCCACCTAATTTGACTTCGAAATATTCTTTATATTCTTTAGTATCAGGTGGATTAATTTTAAGATCTTTAGTTTCTCTAATATTTTCGAAATTATCTCTTGGCATTTGTTCAGGTAAACTTAAAGGTTTTCCCATATATTCATAGAATTCTCTAGTAAAAGTATCACAATCTTAAATTCTAAATACCTAAAAAACATATGAATTGAAATATAACTCTTTCGTAAAAATTGATATTGGTGCATAATTGAAAATCTTCCCATAGGTAAAAGTCTTGTTTACCTAATTTTTTTGGTATTTTTTATCTCTTGATAAATAAACCTTAAGGGATTCCTGCATTTGGTACTCTGGGCTAGAGATGATTATAATTATAATTTACTTCTGCCACATGTATTGTACCATCTGATAAATAGTAATAGATGATGACTTTTCTTATTCTGAAGTTCTCATTCGGATTTTCAACAACAGATTCTTAGAAATATCCATAAAAACGTAAAACAGCTCGATCATATTTTAACCATGGTGGTTAAATGCGAGGAATATAATCATTTTCTGGTGGTTGTCTACTTCCATAAGTTAGATTAGGTGGAGCATTAAATTTCATTGAATCCATGAGGTTAGGATCAAATTCTTCGTGAATAAAATTGGTTTTCTCTTACACAGTTCCATTGATATGAGAAAATTGCTGAGTTTTATGATGATTTTCTTTAAAGGGATCTGAGAAGACATGGCCAGGAAGGAATGGAACTTGTTTAGGGAATTATGAATTTAGGGACATGTGATATAATAAAAATATAACTGATTATCTATTGTGGGGGATATGCAATATGAAATAAACAAAAAAGAGAGTTAGCTATATAAAAAATTAAAAACCTACAAACATTGAATGGATCCTCAATCTCTTAGATTAAATACCTAAATATTAGCTATAGTAATCGAATATGAAGAAAATATAAGCTATTTAATTGAACAAACTTCAAGATTGTGATTAATTACTCAAATCAAGCTTATACACTTATGATAACAAAATTAACAAATTTACATAGATGTAATTTACTCTCTATCCTAATATGCTTATTGCTGATAATTAGGAATACTTAGTTTTGTCATCTTGCATCATGAATAAGAAAATAATTTAGTATAAGGAATTTACAGCATAAGGTGTATAGTTGTTAAATACTTAAGGTAATCTATTCTTATTTTATGAATCCTATGTCTAATAACTCAATGTAAAAATCTTCTTTATATATTTCTAGTGGGAAAAACAATTGAAGAGATTTTCTAAACTATAAAATTTTTCCAATAAATACACAATTCAAGAAAAACTTTCTATATAAAATCATTATGCCTGTGTTAAAAACAAAAACAGTAAATTTTTAATATCAATATAGATCGTGTTTACACAGTTCAATTAATAAGATTATCAAGTTTGAGTGAATAACTCTATGAAGCTTTGATGAATGAAATAAACATATTGATGTGTTTCAAATAAAATGGATTACATCAATTTCATGCTTTATTTGAGGATGGTGATATCCTCTATATATTATATGATTATTGGGTAGGTGATACATTATATAAATTAATCTAATAAGGTTTCAAATTAACTGCTTCATAAATAGCATAAACTATTTTTCAAATAATCAAAGTCGTTCGTTTTTTACATCAAAATAATCTCTATCATGGAGCCATTCTACCAACCAATATTATTTTACATAGAGCTACTGCTCCATAAAATCAATAAGGTTAACAATTAAAAATCACCTTATTTAATTTCGCTTATAGAGATGCCAATCAATATAATTTAACTTGGCTAAATAAGAGAGTACCAAAATAATGGATTCCTCCTGAATTTAACAATTTATAAATCAAAACTGATTTTTAAAATATTGATGGATATCAAATTGGAGTTCTTTTGTACTATTTGACTTTTCATTCTAATAATGCAAATAAATCATAATTGTCTTTTTATAAATCACTAGACAACTTTAAAATTGATTACTAATGGTTGAAATCAATTAAATAAGAATAATAATAAGAGTACTCTTTCTCTCTCATAGAGTTACTCTGTGGATTACTTGATCCAGATTTCTAAAATAGAATTACTTTGAATAATGCATTAGCACATTAGTGGTTGACTAATTAGAGATAAAAATTGAATTCTTAAAATGAAAAACCTAAGATATTGCCATCTTTAAGGACTATTTTAGAATTGAGAGAATAAAGTTCTTGTGAAATGCTATCATCCAGACTTGGTAAAGAAGAACTTCATGTTACCAGTTCAAGTGAAGATGATATTGAGTTCTGTGATGATGAATACGTACATAGAATTTCAAAAGAAAATAATAAAATACCATATTATTAAAATATACTCAATTTGATTCCAAATAAACATCCATCTAGAAATAAATAAATTATAGATCAATGTTAAGAGAGTTAATTTTGATTAAAAATCTAAATATATATGATTTACAATAATTTTGATATAATAATTTAAATAATTAATAGGAATTAACATATGTTTTGTGAAATCTTGCTGTGTTGTTCATGGCTGTGCAATGAAATATACTCTTTAGATTTTGAGTAATTTTCCATATATAATTTTGAAAGTTGTGGTTATCCATAATAGAGCTAATGATAGTGATAGTATTTTTGTTGTTATAATATGGCAAGAGAAGAGTAAAATATTGTGTTTTTGTTTCTCCGATAATGATTATGTCACTGAACATATTATGTAAGAAGTAAAATATAATTTTTAGAATTCTTGGAGAACTAGAATAAGTATTCGTTCATAACATTTGTAGTGCCAACAGTTGTATATTAACAGAATGTGAAAGAGAAATTAGTGAACCGATATTTTATGTTGATGAAAGTGTTTCATATTTTTTTACTGATGTTATACTATAGTTTGGAAGAGATTGATAATGGGTAGCCAGTGATACAATTTGTGATAATAACATTGTTATTGCTAGCTAAAAATTATAATGAAGAGAGAAGAAGTAATCAAAACAATAAAAGCATGGTTGATGAGACGAATGATTAGAGAACTCAAATAGAATATGAGAAGATAACTGATATAACAGATGGGATGGTGGGAATAATAAAATTAAATGAATAGTTTGAGATAATTTATTAGAATAAAATGTCTAGTAATATATTATCGAATAGATCAATAAGTGAATTAATAACATAATAACCAATTCTAATAGACAAATAAACAAAGTAATTGTTGTAAGAATAATGCAACATAAAATTACAATCAATATAGGATTTAAGAGATTCTTTAACATTATTATCGTTAAAGGAATTGTTAGAAAGCATAAAGACAAACTTAATTCTTCCTCATTAATTGGATGTATACGTTCTATAAGGATTTGAAGAATAGTTTTTGTAAATTCTGATATAGAAAGAGAATGATAATAAGACTATTTATAATATAGTGTTATAAGAACTGGCTGATTATGCTCATTATATAAAGAAGAAGCATGCATAGACAACAATGAAATAATTATTTAAGAGTTTCAGTCATGAATTGAATACATCATTGAATTATATATTGGCTTTGGCTTAGGTAGCTTAATGTCATGAGAATGTGCCTAAAAATGTTTCTGAAAAGTATTTCCTACCAATTCTGCATTGTGGGAGAATAATGCATAGTTTTATAAGTGATATAATGGATTATAATTTAATCTTGAGTAAATAGTTTAATGTAGAAGTGAGCAATTTCAATATTCCATAATTGATAAGTGAAGTTGTAGATCTATTCAAATATTAAATTAATTAAAAGAATTTGAAGATTGAATTTCAAAACAATCTATTAAATTATGATTTAGTTAGTGATAGGAATAGAATAAGATAGATTCTAATAAATTTAATATCTAATGCTTAGAAATTTACTTTTTCTGGTTAAATAAGAATTTAAGTAGGGGCAGTTATAAATAACAAATAATTATGTGTAATCTTTCATGTTATCGATACAGGAATAGGAATGAAACAAGAAGAAGCGGAACGTTTGCATTAATTGTTATCATCGGGTATTCCATAAACTGCTAAGATTTCTTAAAATACAGTAGGTTTTGGTTTGGGATTATATATCTCTAACAAAATTGCAGAAGTTTTAAGTTTAACAAGATATGATAAAGGTGGAGGATTAAGATTTGAGTCTAAATATCAATAGGGATTTCATGGTTGGTTTATGGCAAGAAATTAATCATATAGTCCTATCCATTAATAAAGTAATCCTACTCCAATTGTACGTATACGTAAGAAAATTCAAATTGATACAATGGAATCATAAATCAGTCGAGTCAATGCTTAACCTATGAGGCAGAAGTTCTCTCAAATTTTAGGGATTAAAGATATAAAATCAGAAAGAGGATTGAATAAAGAATTGTCATTAAAATTAAGAAAACCTCCATCAAAGATTGCTAGAGAGTTATTCCTAGCTGCTATCACTTCAGAAAGGAAGATTGAATCTTTTAGCATAAATTAAGAAACTAACGACTAAGAGTATGAATCTAGAATAACACATTTAAAAGACAATTTAATTAAAAAACATAAATGCAACTGTCCATAAATCTTAATTGTAGATGATGAACAAATAAATATTATGGCTTTATCAATGATGCTAGATCAAATGGGATATTCCAGTGATTCCGTATTCAATGGAGAAGAATGTGTCAATCTAATATTTACAAATAAAAAAAAGAGTATTATTTTATCATACTCTAGCTAAATGTAATAAATGCAAGTCTCAACATTATAGAATGATCTTTATGGATATTAATATGCCAATCTTAGATGGAATACAAGCTACTGTCAAAATCAAATCATAATATTCAAACATTATAGTTATTGCTTGTACTGCTTTCTCTGATACAGAAACCAGAAACATTTGTTACAAAAGTGGCATGAGCTATCACATCTAAAAACCAGTCAAAAAAGATTAACTCATTGAAATACTAGCTTATTATCTAAATTGATTATATATTTATATTTAAGTATTCTATTTAACAATATCATTTCTCTTCTTTACCATATATCTTCTCTATTTCAACATGATTCAATCCTTTTGTTTCTTTAACAAAATAATTAAAAAATAATATGCTGCTTAATGTCAATATTGCAAACACCACAAATGAACCACTCATTTCTAAACTGCTCAACATAAATGGAAATATGTATAGTACCAACAATTACCAACCATATAATGTCACAAAACAAAAGTAAGTTCCCTCACTAGAATTTATTTCAGGTGTCATTGACTTAATTATATATAATTCATTACCCAAGTTATTGGACCTATTGTCAATGCATATAAAAATGAAAAAAAACATATTACTATGAACTTTAAAATTACTGCTCCCAAAGCTTCTGTATAACTTAAACCTATTATTAAAACTTAACAAATTATCATCATAAATAATCCACATAATAATATTTTTCGCTTACCCCATTTTCTATAAACAATAGAAGAAATGAATGCTGGTGTAAATTATACTATTCCCAATATTAAAGTAAATAATGTATTTAATGTTACATCTCCATCTGACATTGAAGCAAAAAATTGTGAACTATAAGAAAATATAGCAAATAATCCGCACCATGTGTAAACAAACATCAAAACACAACCAATAGCTAATGTTTTTCTATTTTTTCTATTAAAAAGACTCGCTATACCCTCTTTATGTTATTCATCATATTATACTATTTATTAACTTTTTTAGAATGCTTATTCTACACAAACTGGTTGATATATAAATTTTATTATTTGTTTAGCTTTTTCAGGTTTATTTTTAGTTATTAATGATATTGGGCTATCTATCTTGTAAATTAGTGACAATGTTATAAATCTAAATAAGAAGACAATTGCTGGAATAGCAAAAACAATCTACCAATAATGTGAATCTTTTCCTCTCAAATTACTATTCATATATCCTAAACCCATTATATTTGCAAATAACAATCCTCCACCAACAAAGAAACCTGACATTACTGAAAATTTATCATAATATTTTTAAGGACATAATTCTTTCAAATATATTGGCATAATTATTGTTTAAATGCCAATACAAACTCCATAAAAAAACCTGAATGTTAAAATAACTTCTCGATTAGGAATGACTGCAAAAATGCTTAAAAAACCACAAAGATCTGCTATCATTAATGATTAATTTCTAGTTGTGTATTTTAATAAAAATTTAGTAAAAATTGCTCCAACCAGACAACCAATTGACAATATTGCACTAAAGAATCCTTATTCAGAAGTTTCTGATCCCTTTAATTCTCTATGATTTATATTAAATGAAATACATTTAAGAAAATAATGTTGAAAATGACATTGATAAATAAGGTAAAGAATAGCCTAATCCAAAATTACCAGATAATATTGCTACCATTATGAATGTAAAATGAAATTTTGAATTAACATCTTCGTCAATCTCATGATCTAATTATACAGTATGTGTTTTATCTATTATCAATTAATCCTTCTATTTGTAAATTGGAGGTTTTGTTTTAGATAATGAACCATGTGTATGTTCTATATCAAAATGTTCTAATTCATTAGTTGAAAATGGAAGTTAATGCTACATTGCCAAAATTAATCACAAATATATAATTTTTTATAAATAATATCACATTTAGTTAATAATCTAATGAATCATGTCATTAAATTATTTTAAAAATAAATAAATAAAATGATATTTCTTGATTAATTCATCTATGCTTGATATATGGATAATAAAAATGATAAGAAATTTAATTAAAAAAAGTGAATGTGAGAATATTATAAAATATTTGGGAAATACGCACTTTGATTTTTTATGTGTAATTAAATTTTTTAGTAAAAATATGCAATAACTTGATTCAACAGTTAAATGGTTCAACAAGACTGAAGGTAGAGATAAAATATGCAAAGTAATGCAATATGGATCCAGATTTTTAATGTGGCATCTTAAAACTAACAGAGGAAATGAACAATTGTCGAATCAATTTAAGAATTTATTTTGTACTTAATTTATTATATGATAAATAGAAAGCACAAGAGATGCCAGAAAATTATTTAGATTAGCTAAATCTTTAAATGAATTACAAACTATAATTGATAGAGTGGCATAAAATTGCAAAAATCCTTAAGAATAGGTTGCTCGTGCATTAAATATATTAACAAGAGTATGGTTTTTATTATATTGGTAATCAGCTTTTTTAATTATAGGTTATATGATAATTTGAGTGTATTATCATCTATCAAATTCACTACGAGTGATCCAAAACCATTACAAAAAAAAGCAATGACATTTTGGTTTATTGGAATTATCACAAACTTAGTTGATACTATAAGATAATTAGTTGTCAACTTTCAATTTATCTAACAAAATAAAAATAATCAGGGAGCTTAATAATAAATTGCTAATAGAAAAATCCAAAATACTAGTCTTTATTTAAATTTGATAAAGATATTTGGAGATTTAATGCCAGCAGGTTAAGGTTCAGAGTTTTTCCCAAAAGTATTAAAAATCAATCTTAACGATGGAGTTATTGGCTTAGGAGGTTTAGTATCAGGTGCTATAGCTGCTTATTAGGCATATTGATTATTATTCAAGATTCAATATTATAAAGTAAAATAATGAATATTAATCAATTTACTATCTATATTACTTCTTAATCATATTTAATGCTTTGTTGATAAGCTTTTTTTTTGGTTTTTAAATTAATTGAGTTTCAATTTTAAGTAAAAAAGAAGAGATCATAAAATCTTAACTATTTGAATTGAATCTAAATAATATAATTATGGTATAAAGAAATAATTAACTTAATTTATCTATTTATAAACCTTCAGATTTTTAGAGAATTTTAAAATTTAATCCTAATAGAATTTAGTTATAATTTTATAATTATAAATTTAAAAATCAAGGCATAGTTTATAGCTTGAAATAAAGAGATTAGTTTAAATTAATCTTTATTTTAGAAAACTTAAGATTAAATTTACAATGTATAAATAGTAATAATTATACTTTATATTTTTAATTAATAATATTTGAATTATATTTAAAAGATAAATCAAATATTCTTCATGTAAAACTCTATTTAGTTTAGAATAGCTTATGTGTCTGCATTAGAAATAGGAGTAATTGATTATACAGAATGTTTTACTCTTTTCACTTCATTAAATTCTTCTAATTTCGAAGTTAGCTTAAATCTGAATTCTTTATATGCAGATTTGCTTAATATTTCATTTCTCTCTTTTTCTTTTCCTTCTTCTTATAATTATTTTAAAAAATGAGCAGGAACATCTATAAGTTGATTAGCTGATTAATCACCAACACTAACCCAAATATTTCCACTAGTATCTGCTATTTTACAATTTAGAATATATCTGTATTTTGGATCTTTCATTGTCAAATTGCAAGATGAACAAAAATAAGAATCTATCTCTGCTATAACTTTCTTTAAACAATTTGTACAAGATTAATAATAAAGAGTACCTGTATTTTTTATTAATACTATTTAAGCTCTAACATCTGAATATATTTTTAAATTTTGATCTAATTCACATTTATTTGATTCACTTAATAATTCAGATATTAATTTTATCTTAGAAACAGGTTCTGCTAACTTTCCATCAAAATTTTATAACCAATTTTATAATGCTTTAACTTCTTTTTAATTTTTGTCAAAATGAATAGATGTTAAGTAATTATTTTTTAAACTTTTTTTTCCCTAATATTCATTCATCTTTAAATTTTTAAACATGTAAATTTCTCCCACTTAAAATTAATATTGTTAAGCTATGTTTCCATAAAGTGTTATTTCTATTTCTTATAAGGAATCATCATAAACTCCTAGTTATATACGAATTGATTTTTCATCTTTGTTTTTTGCTTAAAACTCTTTTATACCACTAGTAGATTTTATGACAGCTACAACATCTAATTAAGCTTCAGCTTTTTATTAGTTAATTGTGTTAAGTTTAACAAAATTAAATGTATTTAAAGGAATTCCAGGTACATCATCAATTTCAATTATTTATGAATTTTAATCAAAAGTATAATCAAAAGGTAGACTTCCTATCTTTTATAATTACTCTAAATTTTTAGCTGGTTTTACTGTAACACCTGAAAAAATGTAACATTTTCCTTAAACTATGCAATCATGAAATTTTTCAGCAGCTTAATCAAAAAACATTCCAGATATAAGATTTTCTTCATCTATGACTTAGATTCCAAACATTTTGCCATCTTTCTACTTTTAAGAAGTATAACTCTTTAATTCATTTACTTTTACAACTCTTCCTCTAAATGGTTATTAAAAACTTGGATTAATTTGATAAAGAGGGAAAAACTAATAAAATTGTATAATTTATTTACATCTATTTGTGAAGCTGTTTTATTATTTCTCTAATTATTTGGTTTGTTATTCTATTGATTCATCTATTATTTATGAGATTATTACTGTTATTATTAAACTTATAGTTATTATTAAACTTATTGTTATTATTAAACTTATAGTTATTATTAAACTTATTGTTATTATTAAACTTATTGTTATTATTAAACTTATTGTTATTATTAAACTTATTGTTATTATTAAACTTATTGCTATTATGGTTGGATTTATATTTTTTATTATTATTTTTTAAGATTTTACTACTAAATTAATTAATCCTGATTATTTTTAGTTTATATCTATTATTATAGTTATAGATTTTGCATTTCCTAATCAAATTATATTGTTTAGGCTAAGATTTTTGACTGCTATTATTAAATAATTTCTGCTTAAGGTATTTCAATTTATTGTTGTTGTTGATTTTATCTTTTACTTAATGATATTTTAATCTATATAAATATATATTTAAAGTTTTACTCCTAGTTTAGGTTTTTCTTCTTATTTATTTGATATTTCTTCTATTGGTTGTTATTTTATAGATTATTGTATTGTATTTTTAGGTTGATTGAAGGAGACTGATTAAGACTTTTCATTTGAAAAGAATAAATCATCTATCCCAGCAAATTCATAATCGTCTAAAGATATAGCACCATTAGGATTTGAGAATCCATTAGCAGCATAGGATTTAAAAGACATTGGTTAACCAATAATTTTTTCAAGAATTTAAAGTCTTTCAAATTCTAAAATTAAAATTGGAAAATCATCTCCCTCTGTAGGTTTTCCTAGAATTCTAAAACTTGAAACTTTTATTAAAGGATATTTAGTTAGAGGATCTGTTTCTCTTAGTTGAACAAAATCTGGATTAGGTGTTCTAAAAAATAAAGCCTTCATTTTTGCATAGCCATCAGAAACGCGGAAACATAATAATTAATCCAATTTGTCTTTAGTTGTTTATGGAAAATAGTTCTCAACAATTTACAATATATAATTGCAATCAATCTTCTATTTCAAATCTATAACATTTTATCCTTGATGAACAATTTTTCGAACCGCTTCAAATGATAAATTCATAAATTAATGTAATAATAATCAGAACTTGAAAATTTTTAAGTCGATTGGTCTCAAGTAAGCAAACCTAAATTGAGTGAAAAGAGAACAACAAAATAAGAAATCAAATAAAATGTACAAACAGAAATTAATGTCTATGACAGAATATCAAATTGTTTTAGATATAGGATATCAACATTAATTACATAAATGGGTAAACCATAATATTACTGCAAATTTGATCCAAAATTAAAGAAAACAATATAATCTAATAGCAACCAAAAAAAAAGTCTAGAACAATAGCTATCTAAGATTGCTGCTTAATTAGAGTTAAGTTGTAGATTCATCACAAGATCGATGTTTTAAATAACAAGATAACCTTTGCTTAAATCTATGGGAAGTAAATATAATAAAAATATTAATCAGTTGACATACGCAGCATATTAAATAAAGCCATGAATGATAAAGAATTTTAGAAGTTATATTTAGATTTAGATGACTAAAGTGAAGAATAGAGGAAAAAGGAAGAAGAAACTGAAAAAATATTAGCTTCACTACAGACTTTATAAGAAAATGAAGTAAGGGAAGAAATTGAAAAATTGCGGAAAAAACATAATTTAAATTAAAATCAAAATTTGTATGTGATTTAAGGAGAATATTTTAATAACATGAAAACTCTATTTAATTCATTAGGTATAGATATATGTATAAATTTTATTAGGATGGGTAGAAATTTAAGATGTTTATACATAAATTTATGATTTTAACTTTTGTTACTTAAAGAAATTTTTTCATAAACCAATTCCTGAATAAGTTGTTAGTAGATTCGCTAGTACAAAATTATTGACAACAAAATTTGGATTGGCAAGATCATTAAAAAGTTGTTATATTTTGGGAGGAATAGATTCTAATACTTTTTTTCCTAGATGTTATGATTTAAGTGATGAAGGTGATTTTGAAGATTTTTTAGAAGAGTATAAATTTACATTTGCTGAAAACTATCTCAAAAAAAACCCTAGGGATGAAGAAAAGATTTTAATAGCAATATAATTATTAAATTATAAATTAATGCCAATATAAGATAAAATTAATAGAATAGTATAATTTACTTTTTAATTTAGACTGTTGATGAATATCCTGTATGCACACCATAATAGTGGAAAATTTTATACAAAAAGCCAGAACCAAAATAAGAAATTGTGTAATTTAATAATCCTAACCTAATGGAATCAGTATAATAGATATTATAAAATGTTGCAAGTGTAGATCCACAATTTAAAATTTCAAAGGGAGAGAATATTTGGGTAACAAAACCTTGTGGTTTGTCTAGAGGAAGAGGAGTCAAATATTTTAAGGAATTAGAAGAAATACTAGCTTATACATTTGGAGCTAAGGATGTGAATTTTGTAGCTTAAAAGTGTTTAGAAAATATCATGACGATTTAAAAGAGAAAATTTGATATAAGATAATGGATGATTGTATCAGATATATAACCATTAACAATTTGGATGTATAAGGAATGTTATGTTCGATTTTGTGGAGTTGAATATAATACAGAAGATTTAAAAAATAGGTATTTAATAATTTCATAAAAATACAAGATATGCTCATTTAACAAATTTTAGTGTGCAAAAACACAATGAAGAAAATTAAGAAGAGAAATTAATGATGGATTAAGAGGAGTTTATATAAATATTAAAGGAAAGAGGATTTGATTTTGAGAGTTAAGTGAGACAGAAATTCAAAAATATAATAATAGCAACAATGAAATCTTGTTAAAAGTCAATAGAGATAAGAAAGAATACTTTTGAAGTGTTTGGATTAGATTTCATTGTAGATGATGATTGTAATCCTTGGTTAATAGAAGTGAATGCTTCACCAACATTTGCATTTTCAACTCCAGTTACTGAAAGATTAAACACTATGGGATTAACAGATTTGGGTGAATTTATAGTAGAGCATGTTTATAATAAAACAAAAAAAAAGAATTATGGTGGATGGGAATTAATTTATAAATAAAAATTATGAATTAGAATAATGACTTTTAAATAGTTGATATATATATATTGGATAAAAATAATTATATATATATATCATAAAATCTAAATTTTTATAATTCAAGATCAGTTAATAAGATAACATAAAAGTTTTTGAAGTTCATTTTTATTGACAGGTTTATTAATAAAATGAGACATACCTATCTCATAACAATATTATTTTGTTTCACTATCAGTGAATGCAGTACAAGCAATTATAATTGGAGCATCTTATTTATATTTCTCTAAAATAGCTTTAGTCGAAGCAAATCCATCCATAATAGGCATATTAATATCCATAAATATAAAACTGTATTAACAATGAGCTAAATAAATATTTGATATATAATTTACCATTTTCTAATTTTGTAAGTGCTTCTTAACCATTGTAAGATGAATCTGATTCTAAATTAAAAGATTTAAGCATAAGTTATAAACCAAGGATATTGATCATCTCATCATCAACAATAAGAATTGATTTACAATTACAATTAACAATTACATTATCAATCTCATTATATGAACTTTATTTGCTAGATCTATTTTATTAAGGTAGAGTATATTATTTGATATTTTAAAATTATAATCTTTTTTAATAGTCTTCTTAATTAGTTTCATCATTGATACTATCTTAATCTTTTTTTGTTTATTGCATTTAAAAACCATAAAGAGTTCCTATTTTATCTTTTGTCTTGATTTTCTTCATAAAATGTTCTACTACTGGATCATCATGAAAACTATTCACTTTAGGTACCATTACACTACTATATTTTTTTATAAAAGGATATTTTGTAGCACTTAATCCTAGCTCAATCTAAGATTATTTAAGATCTATTATGGCATTTTTTCCAATTTTCAATATTCCACTTGAATTATCTTAAGTAACAGTTATTGTATAACTAATACTAAAAGGTTCATTAATAATTTTAAAAACTACTTTCGTCCCTTTAATTTCTTATCCACTATAATATCTTATTCCACCTCCTTCTTCATATTTTAGATTACTTAAGCTAATGGCTATTTTATTACATAAAAAACTGCCTAATCCAAATCCTGCAGTATTTTTTGATATCTTCTTTTCTTATTTATAATCATATTTTAACATCTCTGTTAGACTATCAATTTCACTTTTTGTCATACCTATACCTGTATCTTAAATTTCAAATTAAACATATTTATTTTATTCAATTGATTTTACTATTATTTTTATACCTCCTGAAAAAGTGAACTTCTATGCATTCTAAATTAATGTAATCAAAATTTATTTTAATCTTCTTCCATCTGTTAGAATTGTTTTCTCAGCTAAAAAGATTTCATAAGTGATTTTCAGTCCCTTTTATTAAAGTGTATGGAAAAAGATATTTGTAACTTCTTCCAATAATTAATTAATCTATTTTATTAAAGTTACTTTACATCTATCTTTTCTAATTGTAATTCCAATTTCTTTCCTTAGATATTATTGTAATCTACCATATCCAATACAAAATTATGCATGATTAATCCCATTGATTTTATTGGCATAAAATAAGAAAGCAAATCAGAATCAGTATATTTTTCTATAGCTACTTAAGCTATAGCCAATAAATAATTTAAAGAAGTTCCAAATTCATGTGACATTGTACTTAAAAGTTACTTCAAAATTATAAATATATATTTCTGTTTTTAAAATCTATCTCTTTCTTCTAATTCCAAAAATTATATTTTGAAATCATTTTAATAAATTATTTTTATGAATTGATTATTCATCTAGGGATGACTATAATCCAAAATTTGAATCACCATTGGAATTCTATTAGCTCTTATTTAATCAAGTAAATTCTAAAGACTACTAGAGCTCTTCCATTATAGTATAGATTTAGATTTTGAATCAATTTTTTTGATTATTAAATCATTTAGAATTGATTTCAAACCACTTTCTAAAATTTAAAGAGTTGAACTCTATTTCTAGAATCCTATTATATTATATTAATCATCTAAATGTAACACATAGGAAGTAGGATCTAAATTTCCTTCATTTAAGCTTCTAGGATTAGAATCACATCCTGTATACTATACTTTTGAATATACCGTGATTTCTGGTTCTCTTTAATCTTTTTCTAACTATGTATAAACCTGAAAACCTTGGATTATCAATAAACCAAAAAAACAAAAAATACTACGAAAAATTTCATGTATTTCAATCTATGTTCCAAAAATGAATACAATAAGTAGTAAAGCTATTTCACATATTTTTAAATGTATACCTGTCCATTCTAGCATTAAAACTCGAGAAACTTATTGATAGGCTGTTAAACGAACTATTATATGGTATGCACCTGTGAAATATTTATATTGCGAATCTGGCATCAAAATAAAAACTAAGATTGCTTAACCCAACAGAATAACTCTTTATAAAAGTTCTGAAAGGTTATATTTGTTAAGCAATAACAATACCAACAATCCAATTAGCTCTAAAGCCAATGTTATTATTTCCTTTGGTTCTTCAAACTCTGTTAATGCAATGATTGTAGAAATAACCTAGGTAGTAATAAGACTAATAAAAATTTTCATAATTAAATTGCATTACTAAAAAACAAAATTATATAAACAATAATAACAAACAATAATATCTATTCAACATTTCATACTAATGATGATGAAATTACAAAAATTATTTTTTTATTTATTCCCCAATCTTCTCACATAATTATTGTATATAATATACTTCGAATAAATATATATTGATTCTTATTTTCTATTTGAGTAGGATATAATTTATCAATAAAAAGTAAGTATTTTTAGATTACTTTTGTATTTATTTAAATAAAAATGTAATAATTCCAATAATAGGTTCCTAATTCTGTGCCTCTTGATATTTTATTAGCTCAATTAAAAAACCCTTTGATTGTAAAAGATGATCATTAATCATGTAATTGCCATTTATAATAAAAGTGTTAAAGTAAAAACATCATCAGATGCCAGAAATAATAAATAATAATTATGAATTATTAGCAGATAAATATTTACTTTTAAGTAATGCATTACCGGGATGCTCTCCTGAATTAATTGTTGAAGAATTTGAGAAAGTTGTTTAAGTAGTATAGAAATGTTGTAATTAATTTATTGAGAAAATGAAAAAAGTAATTACAGATCTCTAGACATTTGCTAATTATGATACATAAGTATTGAAAGGGTATTTAACATAAGCAACAGATGTTTTTTAAAGATGTTTTTATTTGGCTGAAAAAGAATTAACAAATTTTGATGTTGATTTTTTAATGGAACATTTTACAAATCCTGAAAATGCTATTTAAAATCATTTACTAACTTTGATTTTTGAGAGAAATTAAAATTTATAAAATGTTATGTAAAAAGTCTATACAGAATAATTGGATTTTGCTGCTTAATTTCGTGCATAATTTGAGTAATTATGTAATACAAACCATTTTGAACCATTAAACAAATTATTAAATAATTAAAAGTAATTTTGGTCTAATCGAGTAAAAAAATAGATTTAGATTCAAAAATAATTAATGGAAGAATAATAAGCCTAATAAGTTTTAGTTTAATCTATCGTTTAATTTGCACCTTAAATATAATAATTTTAATAATAATAATAACCATAATAATAATAATAATAATAATAATAAGAATAATAGCCATTATAATAATAATAGGATTCATAGTGGTTAGCAAAATCATAGATGATTTCGATTGAAGCTGGAAATCAATAATTAATTGAAACAATGATTAAATTAAGAGCTCATACACATGATTTAATGTAATTACATGATAAGGAAAGTAAGAAAGATCAAAAAAGACATTGTAAATTAGAAGGTGGTGGTTCTTTTGGGTAATAAATGAATACTAAAATATTAGTTATTGTTGGACAGGAGGATATGGATGGAAAGGAACATTATTTGAAGAATTGGAATTGTCTATATAATGTCCATAATGTTAAGTATTAAATAAGGATATGCATAATACAACTTAAAAATTATATAATTTAGAATATAGAGATAAAGGAACTTGGTGGGTTAGAGCTTGGTTTTTATATAAGAAATGATAATTTATATAATTAAATGGAATACAGAATATTTCAGTTATTAATTTTAAGTAATTTTAATTATATCAAATCTAAAATAATATAAAAATGACGAGCTAAGTGATTCCGTTATAGACTTAAGAAGATGAGAATTTAAACTCAGATAATAGTTAATCAATAATATCTAAAAATTCAAGTGTAAGATAATAACCCTCTGTACCTGTACCATTACCTCCAATAAAATTAAGGAAGAGAGGAACAGTATAATTGGAAAATGAAGTTGAGGAAGAAGTCAATTCCTTGCTTCACATAAGTATTATACTAGTAGCCATTTAAAGTGGAAACTTTTCTTTGGGATATTCGTTATCTTATTTATCAATGTCATTCACTACTTTATTTTCTTAAATGTATATATACTAACATTTATATAAGTACATTATAAGGTTCAGTGATAGAAGAACAAGGTCTATTTAGTGCTGTCTTATCAATAGGTTAAGTAGTCGGAGCTATAATGACATAGCCATTATTAAAATACACTACAAGAAATTAATCACTTTTAATTGCTGATATATGTGGAGTATTAAGCATTTTACAAGTTATACCAAATAGAGAGGTCATTTTAGCATTTAGATTCTTTTATGGAGTATGTTTAGGTATTTCAACCATTATTATGCCTCTCTATGTCAAAGAACTCAGTCCTTAAAAATATTATGAAGCCTTTTCAGTTATGGCAGGTTTCTTAGTTGGAGGAGGTTTGTTATTTGCTAATTTTATGGGTTTAGGATATTTAAATGATGAATTAAGAGGATAAAACTCATATTATTGGTAAATTGTTTTTGCTATTCCAGCATTATTACACTTTCTTAGATCATTTATTGTTACAGTTATCTATAAAATGGATAGTCCAGTTGGTTTAGTATAAATTAAAATGCCATTATCAGCTAAATAAATTATAGAAAAAATATATTAACCTTAATTTGTAGAATAAGTTCTATTGAAATGTTAATTAAGAGTTTAATATAATGAAGAACATTAAGAAGGACTTCTTAGTCTCTTTACGAAAAAACATCTTAAAACATTAGCAATTGGATGCACTTTAGTCTTTATTTATACTTGGTGTGGAATATAAGCATTATTTTCATATAGTTCTTAAGTATTTGATATCATGTCAGAGGGTGATGTGGTACTAAATACTATATTTACACTTATTATTGGAATTGTTGTTTTCACTCCTGCATTCATCTCTAAATATGTTTATGGAAAATGGGGTAAAAGACCACTATTACTTTATGGACTTGTTCTACTTATTATTTGCTAAATACTCATACTTGGTTTAAGTTATTCTGATGCTTTAGCTGCCACTATTATTAAATTCATAATTATTTGTCTCTTTTCATTTATTTATTCCCTAACTTTAGGACCTATTACATGGGTAATTATTTTTATTTTATATCATTTTAGTCTATGACTCCTGAAATTAACTCTAGTGAAGGAACTTACTTTTGTTTTGCTACTTTATATGCTTGGCAACTACTTCTTTTATATATATTCCCATCTATGTTAGATGGACTTAAAATGAGTGGATCATTCATTCTTTTTGGAATTTTAACTATTCTATCTACTATATTCTTTTATTTTTTTGTTAAAGAAACTAAAGGATTAAATCATAAAGAAATAGATAGATTATATGGCAAGGAATGATTAAAACAGAGTTCATATTCAATAAATATTATATATTGTTATATTTATAATTAACTATTTTTTATTATATATCTTTTAATTTGAACCATATTTTAATCATTCAACTATTTTTTCTAATTATGTACACAATTAATTAATATTGTTATTTTTACTTCTAAGAATTTTTGAATTAGAATCACTCTAAATATAGTATCAAAAGTGTTTGAAAATTAAATAAAAATAGTATTGCAATAGTCTTCTCTCAGAATGTAGTTCAATATTTATAATATATTGGAATGCATTTTGAAGGAAAGTATACTATTTTGGAAATATAGTTTCAACCAAATTATCGAAATTAATTCAATATTCAGCTTTTATGATTCCAATAAAAATGTTTCCATTTTTTCTGACATTAGATATCCCTCAAATACTTAGCTTTTTTGATATTGCCCTATAAAAATCATATTTAGAAGGTTATTTTCAATTGAATGAGGCAATTATTAAAATGAAATGTGCTCTAATAATAATTAAATCTTTTACAAATTATATACAAAGAAATTAACAAATGTGACTTTATATGATTATTGAAATTTACAAAATCATATTAAAAATAACTCAAAATTTAATTACTTAATCTTATATTAGATGCATTTTCTATTATTTATAATTAAATGTGAAAGAAAATCATATCTTCTTTTATTCATCAACAATTTATAATTTATTTGAAAAAATAAGCTCTTCTTAACCAAAAAAATGTAAACAAAAGTTTTTTCTATTTTTCCTAAATTGCAACAGGTTCCTTCACTTAGAGCTAATTTTGGATTACAATAATGTTTTTTTCTAAATGACAGCTTCAAAGTTATTTAATTAAATTATAATATGCAGTAAATTTATTCTTTAGATAAAAAATATTTGAAAATTTTGAAAAATAAATAAATTTTTAATTGTTTTCTATTAAGATGGTAAACGATTAATTTAAATGCCATTTGAAATCTTACCCTCAAGATAACTATTTAGAGTATGTGAAAAACATAATTGACAGTGAATAGACAATATTAAATATTTTTAATGATTATTAAGGATAATAAGAAGAATTTTAAGAATACATCAAAACAAAAATTTTGAATAATCCACAACAATTAGAAGAAAATCTTTAGTAAACTTATTAACAATGGAATTAATAATTTAAAATTTCATTAACTAGGAAAGAAATATTCACATTAATAATATTAATGTATTACGGCTTATTAGAACGAGATTTCTCTATGGGAGGATTTTATATAATTAATATGAAATCAATTAGATAATCTTAAAATTATCTTAGTCAATAGAAATTAAAGTGTATCAAGAACTATATTAAGTTATTTTATATATATAAAGACACTATTTAAAATTAATCAGTAGTTTTTTCCAAGAACTCTGTTAATAAAGATGAGTTTTTAGGAAAGTATGAAAACTCTAATTATCAAAATATTGATTTTGAATTCACTAAATTGAAAAATGAAGATCATAAAAATTCTACTGTTGTAGATTTCGCTGATTAAAATATTGGAGGACTTGTTCTTGATACTAGAAATTGTGCATAGGAAGAAGTAAAATTAATTTTATAAATTTAGATTGTTATGCTTATATTTCCAGAAGCAATTGTTTCTATGATTTTTATTCCATAGATGACAGAAATTGAAGCAGTCTTAATTGAAAACTTGAAAAAATATAGCAATTATACTGGATATGAATAAACATTTTAAAGTTTTCCTCCTCAAGATCTCAACGAAAGTTATAATTTACTAGTATTTATTTTTTATTAGAATTAAGGCTATAGATGCTAAACCTTTTTATAGTGAAAACTAATTTACAGAAGAAAATATCTATCGAGAACTCATTAAATCTTATGCAGGGTTTGAACTTTCAATTAAAAATTAACCAAATTGCTATATTTCTACAGGAAGATGGGGTTGTGGAATTTTCAGAGGTGATCCTATTTTAAAGACTTTAATTTAATTTCTAAGTTTTGCAATAGCAATTAATTAAGTTAAACCAATAAATTAAAAAATTATTATCAATTGCGTCACTGATTAATAATTATTCTCTTTTGGAAAATAATTAGAAGAATAATTAAAATAAAAAGGAATTTAACTAAATTTAATAAATCTTAAGAAAGCAATATCTTATTTATAAAATTATTAACTTTAAGCCCTAAATTAGAACGAATATATAAAAATTAACACAATTTATGAGATTTTGACAGAAGATATTCCATAAATTGAAGAAAAAGTGCAAGATAATAAAGATCAGATTTAATTCTAAGATGCTCAAGAAAATTAAAGAATAATAGACTAATCATAAGAAGTACCATAAAATTAGATTGAACCTCGATCTGAACCTTAAGATCCTCAGAACAATAAAACAAATTTTAAAAAAGGAACTTAGCTAATTGTTGCTATTGTTGCTATTTCTATTATTGGTTATAAGGTAAAAAAATTTCTTTAAAAATGAGATTTATCTAATTTATTAAATATTTTTAACATCTTTTAATACATATATCTGAATATAATTTTGAATCAAAAATTTTTTGTTTATGGAACTTATTATTAAATAGCAATAAATAATAATTAGTCTAGTGATGGAATTCTATTTATTATTCACATCATAAAATAATAATAGATATGTATAAATATTAATTTCTTTTATATATTTATGAAACTTCAATTTTTTTATTATAATAATAAAGGAATAAACAATAATTTATTAAATTAAAATGTTTTTGCCACAAAAATATTAAATAATTCTGCTTTCACTTTGTATATTGATATTTTGATTTTTCTATTATATTGAATTATAAAAGTAATGCGTTTAATAACAATAGGATTTATTTTTTTTTAAATCTGAAAAATGAGAAGAATCAATATTTAAAGCAATTTTTTTTTTTATTTGCAAATCTTAGCATGTATTCGATAATTCAGTTTGATTTAATATTATTTATGTTTGAAAGCTTATAAATAATTAACAAATGTCTTTGATTCCTAAGATTTGTATAACTAATTTGGTAATTTAATCAAATTTGATAAGATAAATTTAATTTCTTTATGAATGAAACTTTTAACTTAACCGAAAACTGAAAGAAATTTGATTATGAATTAAATATATATAAATATACTCAGAATTCATTAAATTTTCTAAATTGTATTTATTTGTGCTCTTAATCCCAAGTAACTAAATAATCTCCAGAATCATTCATAACTCCAAATATTTAATTTGTATTAAATTTTAATGCATTTTCTTTAATGAATGTTCCATCAGATTTTTTTCTTAGTAGATTAACATGATTTCCATTCTTATTTATTAATAATTATTTTGAATTAATAAATTATTATGGAAAATAATAATTATAATCAGTACTACTATTAACTGGGATCTGCATTTATAAATTAAATTCTCTAGATGTACTGTTCCATTAATATAATTCTAAAACATCTTTATTTTTTTATTAGAATGTAAATTAATCATCTCCTATAAAACTTAATCTTCTTCCATGTTCAGGAAAAGAGATAATTTATATTATAATCCATTTCTTAATGTTTGTTGAAAATTCCATTACTAAAATAGATTTGTCTTCGGAACAAGAAATTATCTTATCTTAGGATTCGTTAATACTTACACTTAAAACGCTTGAATTGTGATTAGTAATACTTTATTAGAGTATCCATTCATTTTATTTGACCCAAAAATTAATGGATTTGTCATCACTACATGAAATGATAAGATCTTCATTTTTATTCATTACTACATGTTTAATAGCTTTAGAATGTTTTAAAAGCTATTATTAAACAACCCATTAATTATCTTAATTTAAATGCCAAATTGAAATAGTAGAATTATCAAATCCTGTAATAAAACTATTTGATTTCTTCATGAAATATAATGTCCTTGCAAAACTGGTATTATTTAATATTTAATTTAATTAAGCCTTCCCATTATTAAAATCATACATCTTAATATATGATTAGCATCCAGCAGCTAGAATCGTTGAATCTTTATTAAATGAAAATGAAAAACACCATTCAGATTCTTTGATAGAGTTTTCTTCTAAGAATTTATACTCAAATGTATTAAATTACAATTATGGATTAAAAGTAATCATATTATTTTAAAGAAGTTGAATTATCCAAGTGATAATCATAATGATATTCAATGAGCAAACATAAGAATAATTACGAGCTTTCTTTTATATTGATCGAAACTATGCTTCTTAAACAGGGATAATCATAATTAATATCACGATTTATAATAATAGAAGTTTATTAAATTCATTTCAGCAAAATTTTATCATAACTTAAATGAAATCATAAATATCTATAAACATTCCAAAAGAAATATTTTCAAGAATTAGATTCAAAATTTAATTTTAAATATCCTAAGAACATATGGTATCTAAAATAAATTTATATTTTTTATTTATATAGAGATTAGATAACAAAAATAAACGTTTGTGATGCTCAAGGAGGAATATAAGTATAAAATCTAAATCCAAATGGAATTAGGGAATAAAATAAAATATTAAAAGTCTAAAGAAATATTATGTTTATTTTTCAAAAATTAGTTATAACTCCCATACATTTANAAATTAATCATCTCCTATAAAACTTAATCTTCTTCCATGTTCAGGAAAAGAGATAATTTATATTATAATCCATTTCTTAATGTTTGTTGAAAATTCCATTACTAAAATAGATTTGTCTTCGGAACAAGAAATTATCTTATCTTAGGATTCGTTAATACTTACACTTAAAACGCTTGAATTGTGATTAGTAATACTTTATTAGAGTATCCATTCATTTTATTTGACCCAAAAATTAATGGATTTGTCATCACTACATGAAATGATAAGATCTTCATTTTTATTCATTACTACATGTTTAATAGCTTTAGAATGTTTTAAAAGCTATTATTAAACAACCCATTAATTATCTTAATTTAAATGCCAAATTGAAATAGTAGAATTATCAAATCCTGTAATAAAACTATTTGATTTCTTCATGAAATATAATGTCCTTGCAAAACTGGTATTATTTAATATTTAATTTAATTAAGCCTTCCCATTATTAAAATCATACATCTTAATATATGATTAGCATCCAGCAGCTAGAATCGTTGAATCTTTATTAAATGAAAATGAAAAACACCATTCAGATTCTTTGATAGAGTTTTCTTCTAAGAATTTATACTCAAATGTATTAAATTACAATTATGGATTAAAAGTAATCATATTATTTTAAAGAAGTTGAATTATCCAAGTGATAATCATAATGATATTCAATGAGCAAACATAAGAATAATTACGAGCTTTCTTTTATATTGATCGAAACTATGCTTCTTAAACAGGGATAATCATAATTAATATCACGATTTATAATAATAGAAGTTTATTAAATTCATTTCAGCAAAATTTTATCATAACTTAAATGAAATCATAAATATCTATAAACATTCCAAAAGAAATATTTTCAAGAATTAGATTCAAAATTTAATTTTAAATATCCTAAGAACATATGGTATCTAAAATAAATTTATATTTTTTATTTATATAGAGATTAGATAACAAAAATAAACGTTTGTGATGCTCAAGGAGGAATATAAGTATAAAATCTAAATCCAAATGGAATTAGGGAATAAAATAAAATATTAAAAGTCTAAAGAAATATTATGTTTATTTTTCAAAAATTAGTTATAACTCCCATACATTTATACAAAAGTGTAATGAAATTTTCAAAAGTATATAGTTAAATTGTAATGAGTTTAATGAACTTAAACTTGCTTTATCTAAGTTAATTTCCATTTCGTTCATTATTTTTCAAATCAGATTTTTTTAAAGAAAAAGATAATTCAATTTTACAAAAATATTATAGTAGTACTATAAATGATAATTAAATAAAATTAAATAAACTTGTATAAATTTTAATGTTAACTGATTTTCTTTAATATTAAATTAATTCATTCAATGGCACCTTTATCAAAAAGTAATTTTCGAAGATTCTCTTTTTCTTAAGTTTCAAAAATAGACTCTCCAATCTAACAAAAATTTACTTACAATTAAGTGCTTTTTGCAAATATCTTATAACAAACAGGCTTTTTGTGCAAATCCAAAATTTTCTGTTCAATAAGATATAAGAAAATAGATCCATCTTTCATTCCTAAAATAAATTATTGATAAGATGGTGTAAATGCAAAAGTTGTAACCTTTGAACTAAATTAATTAAATGTACATTTGATCTAATTTGTTGCAACATCTTTAATATTAAGTTCTAAATCGTTAAAATTAACTTAATATTTTTAACATTTAAAATTTTGTTCACCCTAAAATTCAAATTATTTTGATTTGGGAATTCTACAAAATTAAGTAAACTCTTAAATATTATGATTATAAATTTTATTATCCTTGCTGATAATTCTAATATTTTCTCCATCCATTAAAAATTAGGCTGCTTTGGCCTCTATTAAAGATTTAAAATTAATTTTGTATTTAATATCATTTATATCTGATAAATCCCATAATCTTATAATATGATTAGCACCCCATGTAATTAATTTTGATCCATCTGGAGAGAAAGAAATGATAGTTGACAAAATTTAATTTGATTATTAATTTCCCTCTAATTTAGCCACAATTTTATCAGAATTTATATCATATAAATGTAGCTATTAAAAAAATTGAATTGCAAAAATTTATTTTTAGTTGTTATAGCCAACTGAAAAATTCTTCAATTCATAATCCTAAGAATTACTAATATTTTTTTGTTAGAGACCCTAGAAATAATAATAATTAAGATAACTCTGTAGTATACAGTCATATCCCTAAAATTCAGACCAAATAGTTATAAAGTTATCATCGTTTACAGGAAAAGTTTAAATACTTCCAAACTATTTATATTAAAAGAATTCAATTTCTACTTCTTAAAGTAATTAATATTGTCCGTCTTCTACATTCCACAATCTAGCTATTATATCCTAATGAGTAGAAAGCAATGTTTTATTGTTTCCAGAAAATACAATAGTTAAAATTGGTAGATCTTTTTTATTTGCAAAATTAAAAGTATGCAAGAGTTTCTTTTCAGATACTGACCATATTATGATAGACTTATTGATATTTTCAATAGCTAATAATTTTGAATTATGAGATATTGCAATAAAACCAATATTAGTAGTTTAATCAATATCAAACTAAAAATATTATTCAGGATATAATATTTTTAATGGATTTGATGCTAAAATTAATTAAGCATCTGAAGAAAATATTGTAATTGATTTTTAAGAATTTTAAATAGATTTAGGTAATTTTTCGCATAAGTATGCTTTTTTTAAATCCCAAATCATAATTTATTATTCTTTATTTTTTGATACAAGTTGATAGTCTTTAATATTAAATTGAAAATTTAATGTATCATTAGAGAAAGATAATTGAAAACAATGTTCAATAATGTAAAGTGAAGTAATCTTCCATATTTTAATCCAATTTTATTCTTCTAGAGCTGCAAAATATTGACCATCACATGAAAAGAAAAAATATGATGGAAGTTTTTATCCTTTCAATAATACATCAATTTTTTTATTTTCCTTTAAATCCCATCGTATTATTTATGATTCTGAACCAGATACTAATGATAATCCATCTGGAGAAACAATGAGTCTATTAATTTAATCTGAATGTCCTTCTTAATTAGATTATTGTTACTTCAAAGCAATTAAGTTCCATAATTTAATTTAGTTCTAATTAACCTAGGCCATAATTCCTAGGTTTGATATTTATATTAAATCTATTGTAGAAGTATAACTATTAAACATTTGTAAAAGTTTACACGACTTGGAATCCCAAAATTTAAATGTTCTATTTGTATATCCCGTAATAAAACTTGTTCCATCTTAAGTGTAAGCTGCAGATATAAAAGCTACTTTTTCTTTATTTAATTCTTCAAAACTATTAATTACATTCATAGAAATCAAATCTATAATTTTTAAGTACTATTTTGAATTTTCAGATTTAACTGAAATTAATTGAGTTTCACGTTCATTTATCGTTAAGTAAAATTATGAACTATTATTAAAATTTGCCTACTTAATTATTTTTCTTAAATTCAAATCCCATTCAATATAAATTGAATTTTCTTTTATGATAATTAGAGTTTGATTATATTTTGAGAAACTCATATGCAAAATTTTTTTATCATCAATTGTTGAAAATCCAACTGTTTCAATTTAATTTTAAAGAGAATAAATACAAATTTCATCTTCTACTCCTAATATAATTGCAGATTAGTCTTAATTGATGATTAAATTGTTGGAAAAACTTTATGCTCCTCTAATAGGAATCATTTTAGATTATTCCAAATTATCTATTTTATTAATAGTTAGAAAATGCTTATAAACAATAATTAGTTATTATGATTCTTAAAGAAGATACATATTTAAAGGACGACTAAGCAACGTAATCAATTTAATTTTTATTATTTAAGAGAGATTATTTATGTCATATAATGCTAGTTAACCTTCATTAACTTATGATCCAATTATCATAAAGTTATTACCTTATTATTGATAAAAAATAACACAAGAACATTTTTTTATTTCTTATATTGAAGTTATAATTCTTTTTGTTTCCATATCTTTAATAGTGATTCCTTCTTAGGAGGCTATAGCAATAATTTTATGGTCTTAAGAGATTGAAAAATCATTGAATATAGTGTATTCATTTTGATATAGCATAGTTTATTACTGTTGATCTGTCATAAACAAAATAATTCTTTTCTTATCATTTCCATTTATTATCAAAAATTGTCTATTGCTTGCCAGATCAAAATTTTTTACTTCATTATTATATCCAAAATTTTCATCATTTATTTATTTATTATCAGATAGTATTATCTCATAAAGACATTTATTTTTTAAAGCAATTATACGTTGTTGATTAATCATAAAGCTTTGAGATATTTATTTACAATTATATCTATATTCTTCTTATATTTCAAATTATTATTAATTTTTTTTCCAAACTCTTAATGAATTACTGAAAGATATCATTATATTTCCATCTTGATTAAAACAGACATTCCTGATTACTTCATCATTAATGACTGTGGTAATTTATTTATATTAGATTGCATCCCAAAATGTAATGCCTGTAGGTTAAGAACTATTAGAATATGTTATTATTATTTATTCATTTGGACAAAAATGTGCTTGACAACATTCATGCTAAAGATTAAGTGTTGCTATATTTTATGGAGAATTCAATTTTTAAATGTTCCATAATGTTAGTTATTTATTAGCACAACAAATTGCAAACTGAATTTAATCAGTTGAAAATGAAAGATTTTAAATATTATTAAATTGATTTTCTAATTTCGATATTAATTCATAATCTTTTAAATCCCAAAGATAAATGGAGTTATTAGTAACTTCTACTAAAACCTATCCATCTGGAGAAAATTATAATTATTTTATTTAATCCTTTTTATTCTTCTTACTAGCAAATGATTTTATCAAATTCATTTAAGTATAATCTTAAATATTCCATATCATAATTGTGGATTCTTCATCATTTTTTTTTTTTAAAATGGCTAAAGTTTTGCTATTGGGAGATATCTAAAATATATTATATTAAAAATCTATTTCTTATCTAAAAAAGTGTTAAGACAAAATAGGATTTTCAGCATCATATAATTTAATATAATAATCTGTTCTTACAGCTATAAATTTAGCTTCTATTTAATAAGATAAAGAATTCACTTTACTAAATGTATCTAACCGTAATTATAATTGTATATTGTCATGATTTTTTATATTCCAAAAACTAATCCTTTAATCTTCTCCTCCTGTAATTAAAATTTCTTCATTCTATGAAAATATTATAGATTATGTCTTTTATTTTAAATCTTCATATAATTAAGTAATTTCTTAATATTCTTTACAATTTTCACTCAACCATATCTTAATTTAATAATGTCCTGTTGCTATTAATTTAAAATCCTTGGTTATAGCTAAACATGTTATGGAGCTTTTGTTTATTGATTATGAAATTATAGGTTATATCTAATTGCTAGATTACAAGTCTTTAATTTGCCATAAATAAACTTTATTATGCATTACTATATCCGCAGCTAAATATTGCATTTCAGGTTATAAACAAATCTTACTGCAATTGCAATTAGGTAGAGAATAAATCTCATCCATTTATAATTCTTGACAATTGATAAAGTATATATATTTTTTAGTTTAACAAATTAAAACATTAAGAGTTTTAGAATATGATGTTTAAAATACATCAGTTTATAAATTTAAAGATTTTGGATGCTCATCATTATAAATTAACCATTTCATTATTACTCCTGTTTTTTCAACTGATATTAGAGATTTTCCATCATCAGTAAAATCAATAGAAATTATATTTAAAATATGACCATCAAGAAATCTTTTTTCTGTACAAATCAAATTTTTCCATTCTCCATTTTTTATACTGGCACAATTAAAATTACAAGAATCAATACATACATTATCAAATTTTGAAAAATTTAAATTACACTAAAAAAATGTAAGTTTATTTAATTTAGTATTTGAGATTGAAATATTACTAAAATCAATTTCCTGAAAATACTCTCCTAAATAGCTTAATAAATAAATTGAATTAGATGCTGATCTAATCACTTTATGTTATAAATCAGTTTTTGATAATTTAGTCATTTAAATTAACTTACTTTTAATATTTTCTAGCGAAATCAATTTAGGTTTTAACAGTTCTAAACTTCCAAAATAATGTTCTTGTGATAAATTAAATAAAATATTGTTATATACGCTCTTTTCTAAAGATTGTATATTAATATCTTGATTTTAATTAAATATTGTCTAATATAGCTTTAATATATATTTAGCAACAAAAAAATCTTAAATTGACTTATGATTGAAGGCATATAAATTGCCTTTAGAATTTATTAACATGCATTTTTTTAATAAACTTTTATATTCTTGATTGTCTGAGATTTCATCGAAATATAAATCGTCCCAAGTAATTTAATCATTTCTATCTTCATGTAAATTTTAGATTTGTAATTTTCCCTTTTATTTATAATTAACTTATGTTATTTGTCTCATAGACATATCGATTGCTAAAGATAATGAAAAGTCTTATAAATCTATATAAAAGCTTTCATGATTTATAATCTTTCCTAAATCTTTGTATTTTTCAATTTGTTGATTTGTATAATAATTTACAAATGTTTCATAAAAATCAAATGCAGTGAGTTGATTAAATTTTAATGCAGCTACAATAAAATTTGCATCAAATTTAACATGAAAATCTCTAGATGCTCCAATACAAGTATTACTAATATATTCAAGTTAATTGGTTATTGAATATGATTCAAAAAAGTCTTAATTATCTAGTTCTTCCATTATAAAATTAAACTATTCCAATATAGCTTTATCAGCTTTAATTTAATTCTAATTTAATTTAAGAGAAGTTAACTTATCATCATTGAACTATTAATTTTCATTAACTTAATTAGCTTAAAATTGATGAATTAATTATTATGATTAATATGATTATCTTTTTAATATTAAATAGTTTTGAGTTACTATATTTCTAATATAGCTTGCTTATGAAAATTATTATGACATTTTAGGTAATACATAGACAATTATTTCCATCATAAAAGGAGTACATAATAGATGATCAATATTTACATTTTTAATTACTTATAAAAATTTTTATTCGCTCCATAATTAAAGTAAGTCTTTCTTTAACCAAATCATTTAATCTGTATTAATAAAATTAAAAAATTAAATCTACTAAAGTTTCTTAAGCAATCTCTCTGTATCAATAGACGAAAATAAACCATCATCGATTTATTTTTAATTAATGATAGAATCTATAAAACTTTCTAAATTTGACCATATTTATTTAAATTCATGAATTTCGAATGCTAATCCTTTCAATTGTTTTAAAAATTCGTAAAATCTTTTAATCGTCCTTTTTATGCTAATTTGGATATATTTTTTAATATATTCTTAACTTTATTAATTATTAAATGGAAGTAATTCTACTTCTTTAAGTGTTTTAATACTTGAACCATAAAACCATATTTGATATCCAATAGATGTTAAAATTTCTTCTCTTGTTGTAATAATAATTTTAACATTTAAACCTGGAATTTAAAGATTTAGATCTTTAGCAAATCTATTTGTTTAATAAAAATTAGAACTAATAAAATCAGTTTTAATTTCATCATAACTCTCTAATATGAAGAGTACTTTAAGTTTACCATTACAAATTGCTTCTTTGAAATCTCTAATTTATGTTTTATCAAAATTATAATTTTCAGATTCTAAAGCTTGATTAATAAGATTATGTCTAGGATCTATTAATGAAGGAAGTGATACAAATATTGGTATCCAAAATGGTTATTATTAATCACATATCCATAATAATTCTTCTATATTACTAGATGCTCTACTTTTTCCAGAACCAGCTTTTCCTCTTAAAAGCATTACATCTTTTTATCTATCATTTTCACTCCATAAAAATTCATTAATTTCTCCATCAAAATCATTATATTATTATTTTAAAAGATAAGATATCTAAGTTTCTCTTTTTATTGTTTTCTTTTTAATTCCAGACACTGGATCATATTCTTATGTTGAAATTTACACATGAATTTAATCCAATTCGTTTTCAAGCATTTATTTTAGTACTTTTTATTTTCTAATTTATAATAATTCCATAAAATCTTTGCCTCTTAATTTTCTAATGTCTGCTTCTAAACCTTAAACACTTTAAAGAATCTAATCTATAGAATTTTTGATTTTTTTTAAATCTTTTGTAATTTCTTTTAAAAATACCAAACTAATATCCAATCGATTAGACATATCTGTTATATTATCCAAATATATTTCAAAATCATCATAAGCTTATTCAAGTTTTTTTTTCATTTCTGTTTGATTATCTCCTATTAAAACAAGAGTTTCAAGTTACTCAATACTTTTTAATTTTGCTTACATTTCTAATTTTAAACTATTTGAAAAATTAATCAAATCTTATGAAAATAATCTCTTTTGCATCTCAATCATTTCTTAATTCTTTAATATTTTTCTAACACTATCATGTTTTTCTATTATCCAAAGATTTTTAAGCAATTATGAACAAAATTCTTTTATTGGAGATTCTAAAACAATTGACTATATTTTTATTAAATTAAAAACTAATGATTCTCTAACTTTATATGAAGAATCTCCAAACATATCTACAATTTCTCTTCCTTATTTAGAAATAAGATCTTTTCTTAATTCTGAAAGATAAAAAGAGAATGTTGTATCATTCAATTCATCTCTAAAAGTTATATCATCTAACAAGGTAGGTGTATTATATAAAATAATATTTGCATTTATTTAATTAAAACTTTATGTTGTAGACAATTATTGATTAATAGATTTTACGAACACAATCTACTCTTAATCACTAATGCTCTTAACACAATCATAATTTAATTACTATATTTCTTTAAGAATTTCATTTAATTTTTCAATAAAATTTTCCCAACTTGTTGCTACTATTATAGAATTTTTGGGTATCGATTAAGAAAAATTAATATTCATATATTTTTATTGAATTATTTTTTTAACTTTTTAGGATTTTCCAGTCAAAATATTTATTTTTTAAATTAACAATTCACAATTAAATAATTTATCCTTTCCTGGAATAATCTAATTGTTTTATTCTTCTTAATCAATAATATTAATTTGTTATAAAGAAATATTCTTGAAATTGGTTTGAAGAAAATTATCAGTTAATTATAGTATTTCTTCATTGATGCTATTTTTATATTTATAATTTAATTCTAATATCTTTAATTTAGTCTAAATTTCCTAGAACAAAATAGTTAAAGATGTTTAAATTTCTGATGGCCAATTTTAGAATTATATTTTTGTTATCCATAAATTTACTGATTTTTGTAATTCGCTTAAATCATTTACCTCTTAATCGCTCAATTCTCTATCATTATATTTATCAAAATGATTTTGAATTAATTATCTTTTTTCCTTTATTAGAGTCTCGATAATTTATGATTTATAAGAATTAAAGTCTTAATCATCAGATTACTTCACTGTATTATTTCTAAGACTATTTTTCTATGAGATTAGATGATTTAAATTTAATTTATGAATTTATATGAGTCTTCTCAAAGTTTTTAATATAAATCTCAAAAAACTACATCCAATAAAAGAATCTTTTAAATCTTAAATAATTTATAATTTCCATCTAAATTATAATAATGTTGAAAAGCTCTCTTAAAATTGTTAATTAAGTTCTAAAATTAACTCAGGATTATATAATTAAATAGCAATATCAGATATTTTTCTTTGAGTCAGAGTTTCTTAGAATATTGACTCTATTTCTTTTGATTCATAAATCTTTTGAAAGATCTTTTTTGATTAATTAATCTAAAAAACGAATTATTAGATAAACTTATGAATTATTAAAAAAGTTTGTTCAAATTCATTAGAAATTTAATATCCATCTTTCTATACTTAACTATAAACTAAATCATTTTCTTCAAAAATATATTCACTCTTATAAATTGAAATAATTTAACAAATTTTTATCCAAAATTTTATGATTTTTTTAATGTTGATCTAAAATTAAGATTCATAATTTGATTCTAAATCTTTTATGATTTTTAAAAGTTATTGTTTAAGTATTTTATTATTTTAACTTAAATTTGTTTCTTCCTTTTCTAAAATTTGTTTAAAAACCTTATTAATTTCAATTTCTCTAATAACTGAAAGTTGTATTTGATATAAAATTAATAAGCACAAAAACATTTATTATTTTATTTACTTAAAAATTTCTGAAATGTTTTACTTTATTTCTAGTATCTCATTGCTTTAAGTTTTATGGTTAGTTTTCAAATTTTTAAATAATTTATCAAATAATTAAATATTTTGAATCAATCCACACTATGATTATAAGAATAGATCATTCAAGGTGTTTAGAATTTAAAGATTTGATTATTTAGTAAAAATCTGAATATTTAGATCTAAATTATTGATTTATCCATTATATTGATAATCAAATTTAAAATTTAGATAATTAGGCAATAATTAAATCTTATCTTATTCTTCTAATAAATACTCTTCAAAAAGTCTTAATTCTTAAAACATGTTTTGAAAAATTTTTTTATCATCAGGAAATAGTTTAAACTTCAAAAAAGACTTATCATATGCTAATTGAGTAAATAATGATTCTAGAGTTATTAATTTTTAAGCTGCTTAATGATTATTCTGAATTTGCATTACTTATTTTTTGCTAATTATTGGTCTATATGCCATTATATCAGATAATAAGTTAATCCAACAAAAATGGATCATCCAATCTTTAGATTATTATATATATTTGCTATATCCATTTTGTAAATGATTGATTGTTGTTTTAGTTGAAAAACCTTATTTTAATTGATTTACTATTGACCATTTTAAGTTCTCAAAAAAATAATAAATCTCATATTTTTCAAGAGGATGCTATATTTATTTTTCATAAAAGTTCATTAATAAAAATTTACCACCCTCAATGATCGTATCAATTAATTCACTAGTAGGTTACAATTATGAAACTGAAGTAGCCACTTAACATAAAAAGGAAATAAGCAATTATTCTCCTTTTTTAGAATTAGTTCTAAGATGGGTTATACAAATTTTTATTAATTAGAGTTCAAACTCAACTCCTGTTATCCAAATTTTTGAAGATTCTACCTTAATTTATTCTTCAATTTCAAAAATATTATCTAATAATTTTTATTAAAAATCCTCTTAAATGTATCTCTCTTCATTTTTTAATTAGTATGAGAATATAATTCTAAATAAATCATTACATATTTGAAGCAATGAATGAAATAGATATCCTGAAATTTTTATATATACAGGAAGCTGTTTCATTAATTTTTCAACGTTTTTCTCAATTAGTTCGTAATTTATAGAATTCTGAGAATCATCATTACACAAAATTTGAAAACATTCCTTTTAATTATAAAACCATTAAAATGCTATAAGTATTTCATCTTAATAAATCTTATCACAAAAAAGATTAGACTTTTCCTCAATTATATTTGTATACCTTGTCAAATTAATTGCAAAGTTTATGGGAATTTAAACACTTTTTACAATTTACTAAATATTTTACTAATATTTTTGCACACAACATCCTCCTCCTCCTCTTAAAGTGCCTGATGTATCTAAAATTGTATATAAGTAACAATTTCCGTTACTTTTATCTATTGATTTTAATCTTTGAATTAGGTTTATTTTTTCAATATCTATATATTTATTTGAACTCTAGATTAAAGATGTATCATCCAAATATTCTTAGAATATATTCATAATAATCTTTAATGTTTTATTAATATATTTAATTTAAATCATTGCAGATTTCTGAATAGGATATATAAATATTTACATGTATTACCAACTTTTATTCAAGACCTGTTAGAAGACTCAAGTTATAAAATTGATGCTCAATAAAATGGATTATACTGAATTTTTAAATATTTTTAATTTTTTGGATTGTAAAAAAATAAAATAAAATCCATCTCATTAATCATATTTTCAAATTTTTATTTATTATGTAATTATTAAAATAAAACTTTTCTCTTTTTTTCATTTATTGTTATGTTCAGATGTAATTATAGATTTATATTCTTTTATACAATGATTAAATAGATAATTAGAACTGAAAATTCTTCTTTGTTGTATTAAAAGCTACTTTTATTAACAATTTTGCAATCAGTCATTTATTTTATAAATTAAGAAAGTAAGCTTATATATAAAATTTACAATCTATCTTATCATTATATTATTTTTTATTTATAACAATTATTCAATTTACTTAGATTTTAAGATATTATATTTTTAAATAAAAAAAGTATTTACTCTGAAAAAGGAAAGATAAAATTGAATATGATTACTTTAATGAGAAAAAGATATGTTAAGATTTTGAGTCATTTCATTATAAAGTAAGTAAAAATAACTAAGATTCAGGATAATTTTATAAGATTTTTGTGCATATATCATTTATTTTTTATTGATAAACTAATTATTTGATGTTGGATTGAGTTATTATGAATCTAAAATCAATGTATAAAGCTAAAAAGGGTTGGCTTATGTTTTATTGAATCTTTCAATTATTTTTTTTCAGCAAAATCATTATTTAAAACAGAAGCTTCATGCTTTTCAATTAAATTTATAACAGTCCTTATTTTCAAGTAAAAGGAGTCTGATTAATAAAATCAATTTTAATTGTGGATTAATAAGGAATAGATGTGTACAATGGGATGATAGTTAATTTAATAGCTAAGTGGGTATAGTTATTTTCTTAATGTAAAACAACTTAAATCCACAGAAAGATTGTAAATTTTATTACAGGTAATTAATTATCGTAATTTTAAGTTTTTTGTTTATGAAGAAAAAACTGAAGAGCTATAATCAAGTTCATTAATTAATAGCTTCTGATGAAATAACTTATATGATTACAATATGATTACAATACGAAAATTATGAAAGTAGAGACTTAAATTATGAATTTATTTTAATCATCTTAAAAAAAGAATTAATTTATTATAGATAGAAAAATGAAAAAATTTTCAATTTAATGTAGAGCATTTACAACAAAATTTGGTTATTTCTAAATAGAGATTTGGTATATTAGTAATATTTTTAATCTATTTCACAAAGTTTTCAAAATAAAATGTTTATATTTTATTTTTTGATGAATTTAAAACTAAAATTTTATTAAATATATTTCTAAGACAAAATAATATTAAGATTTAAATTTGAAAATTTTGATTTTCATAAATAGAATCTATAATAGAATCTCTTTCTATAACAAAAAGAATAATCATGTAAATCTGTTTATTTAATATCTTCTTTAAGTTGTTCACAAAACTCAATATATCTAATAATATTAATTAGATAAATCAAGAATTAAATGTAATTAAATAATTGTTATTACATGAATATAGATCAAATTTATTTACGTTATTTGATATTTGATATTTTTTGGATTAAATTGATTTTAGGATCATTTATACAACTATTTTCACTATTAGTGGAAAGTAATGATTAAGGTCTTAATAAAATTATATTATCGTCATCAAATTTAGTTGTAAAATTAGTATCTATTTAAAACATAAATTATTATGTTACATTTTTATTTTTCTTTTAAACTTAAAGTTCTTGATTTTCTCATTATTAAAATTTATTTTTTAATTGATTAAAATCTTTCAAATACAACTTTTCTTCTTTATCCTTTATTTATAAGCCATTTTTGTAGATTGCTATTGTATTTAATTCTCAATTAAAATTTTTATCTGATTATATCTTTGATCTTATCTAGAGTGCCTTCTAATGATACAATATAGCTCTTGATTAAATTTATAACAAAAGATAAAAATAAATAAACATTCGGTATAATCAAAATAGCTAATAATATATTAGAATAGTTAATAGTCGCAGTTAATGAGAACATAACTAATAATGTAAAAGTGCAACACAATGAACTTCTTTATTCTAAGTTATTAAGTGATTTTGTTTGAAATGGCAAAATTATATTATTAGTCTAAAAATATGTAAATATTATTAAAAACAATAAAGAACATTTTATAACGATTCTATCTTGATAAAATGTTGTTGTAACAATGATCATTTCTCTACATATAATTCTGATAATTTCCCAATAATATGCTTTAGGTTGATACTCTAAAAACAAATATCCTAATTATTTTCTTGTTTCAATCTGTTAAAGTTTTTCCTTTTTTATTACCAAATTAAAAACCAAAATACAAGGAACTATTGCTCCAATTAAAATACTGAGCAAAATAAGAAATGGTATAGATTGTTAATGAGTTTAAGACTCAAATTAATAGGCTAAATCAGCTTAAATCCATTTGACATCAGAGAGAGTTCTATATGATAAAGTAGATACCAATAATGATATGACTTATATTTGGAAATAGCAAAACAAATATAAAATGCATGTTGTTATTATAACCTTATTATAAACAATCTTATCTAATAAATTTAAAATAAAGTAAATGAACAAAAACACAAGCCCTAAAAAAAAAGGACAAATTATACTATAAATAATTTTTACATAAATTAATCCTGATTAAAAATTCTCAGCTAAAAAGCAATCTGTAGTGATTAATAGCATTTATTAAGATTGGCCAAAAATACTAAAGGAATCTTAAAATAATTATGGTATTTCAGTATTAAAATTTAAGATAATAGCTAAAATTTATAAATAATTTGTAAACATCTTCATTAAAGGACCTGTCTATTTATTACTATTAATTAAAAGCTATCTTCCTCTAACTTTATATCTTTATAATTCTAAAATCATATTTTGTATTCCTTAAGTTGTTAAATAGATTGAAAATAGATTCCTAAATAATAATTTTATTTACCATAACGTAATCAATAAAATGTATAAAACTTATGAACTTTATTCTTCACATTTTTGGCATTGATATAATTTTTAAATACTATATTTACCAAATCCTCTACTATTATAGTAATCACAAGATTCACAGCATGCTCCAATTTATCCTATTTAACACGTTTTATCACCTTATTACCAACCTCCTTAACAGTTTTCTATTCTATTTGAACAAAACTCAATAATCTCACTATTTATAAATGGTCTCCAATATCCATATTTTAATTCAAGTTATGCAGGTTTAATTGAAGTGGTAGTTTTTTCATCCATATATTTACAAAAAGTAGCATTTAAAGTTACTGAATACAATTTCTTTTCCACATCACATAAATTACAAGAATTATCTTTTGCATTAATATATTCTCCTAATTGACAAGGAAATGTTTAAATAGATAAAATTAAGAAATATTTTTAATTGTAATTTATTATGTCATAAGGATAATAATCATTATAATTTGGTATTAGTATGCTATTACAATTTATTTTAAGGATCAATAATTAATCATCATTATTTGTATTACCATAATATAGTATTAAATCATCAAAATTATAATCTTATGATTTCTAATCAAATGATTTTGTAGTATAACTTGTCAAATTATTTGTATAAATAATATCTTAATTTGGATTTTTATACCCACTTTCAATAAAACATTCACTGTTCTTAAGATTGAATTATTATTCATTAAAAGGATTTAAAGCTATAACTCGAAATTTTAAATTTAAATTTTGATATTCTTAACTACTAATATTAAAATATTAATATGAGGATATTTTTTAACCACTGGGTAATTTTAAAATAGATTCTTCTTAAGATTCAGAGTAGATCGTTAAATAAGCAATTTCAAAATCACTTTATTTAAAATTGAATGTTTAATATTGAAAATCTCTGTATTTTAGAGTAAGTTAATTAGGTTTAGATGAACTAACACTTCCATATTCTTATGCAGTATTATTTAGTAGAAAGTTTTATGTTCTAATTAAATCAGGTAAACAATATTCACCTAAATAAATTGCGCCTCCTTATTTAGCACTATTTGAAACAATTAAATTATTTAAAATTTATAGATTTTTACTATCTCCTTTAAAAAAAATACTTCCTCCTTATTCATATGCTTGATTTTCACTAAAAATACTTTTTTATATTGAAAGTCCAACACCATTACTTACTATACAACCACCTATAATAGCAGTATTTCTATAACAAAGAATTGTATCTATTTTAACCAATGAATTATTTATATATCTTGAAGTATCAATCTCATTAAAAAAATATAAGCAACCATTTTAACCACATTAATTATCCATCAACATATTATTTTATAGTATAATATTATTTGCTTATTCTTCAATCAATTTTATAAAGATCAATCCTTAATGACAATTAGAACATTAATTATTTGAAAATGAACATAATTTAATTAGGATTTAATCAGAAGATTTTACATTCGTTATCTAAATAAGACTTTAAATTGAAAAAGGATGAGATATTAATTCTAATTAATTTATAATCTTATATGTCTAATTTTTTAGTTGTAAACCATCTTAATTACTACAATTATAAATCAGTTTTATTGATTCATCTACTGGAATTCTAATATCAGACACATGAGATATCTAATCTTCATTGTATGATTTAAAATTATTCATTTTTAAATTGTTAATTTCAATTTTACTTATTTAATCTAAAATAATCATATATAACATATACCTACAGAAAATTCTACTAATATAATTGGACTTTAATAATAATATGAATTATCTATTTCTATTTGTGTTAAGCTAACCTTATTTTAGGAGGTTAATTATAAAAATGATGTTAAATATAATTTTACAAAAATATTAGCTAAATTTATATCTCCAGATGATATAGATATCATATAAGGATTTTATTGATTAATTTTATTAAGTTTAGATCTGTATGTTAGATAACCTTCTATTGTTTGAAGAATTATGCAATTTTGCATTGAAAATTATTGATTAGAATTTAATAAATTTAACTTAGCAATATTGCCATCATTAGAATAAGTATCAATTATAGTCAAATTTGAAAAATTTAAACTAATTGATTTTGTATTAGATCTTAAATAAATAACACCTCCTTCTGCTGTTCCATATATGTTTTGAAAGATAGAGCTTTATATTTCAATTTTAATACTATCTGTTTAATCAATAATATAAAAGCAGCCCCCATAAGATGGTTCTTCTAAAATTTCTGTATTTATATTTTTAAATACAGAGTTATATATTAATATTTCTCCTTCATTTTTTAAAGTAATCTTAAAACATCCTGCTGACATAGAAAAACTATCCTATATTGTTATATTGTTTAATTTAACTTATGATGCTAAAAGATTCCCATTACCACTTAAAGAGAAGCTTGAGAAATACGTTTAAATTTAATTAATTGTTAATTACTTAGTAGTAAATTTCCAAAGTATATGCTTAAGAAAATCCTCTAGCATTCTATTATTTGAAATGAATGTCGAATTAACGATATTTATTTATTCACTATTTATATATATTAAGCTATTTTAACTTTATGAGATATAATTTTGGATAAATTAACAACTAATTAATGATATTTTAGCAAAATATGATATAATAACTAAGGCTAAAGCTGAATCAGACTCTGATTCTTTAATAAAGGAATGATATTTATTATTTTTGATTTATGAGTTTTTAATTGTAATTTCTAATTATTATTCAGAAGTAATTAGAATAGCAGAAGCTTAACTAGTTAATTAATTCTTTTAAATTATACACCCTATTATATCTATATTTTCTATCATTATAGTTTCAAATCTTCTAATCACAGAAGTAGCAATTGATATAATATGAATAATAGGAGAGTCAAAAATTATAAGATTTACAATAGAAATATCTTTAATTTTTATATAATAAACTTTCTAGATAAATAAGGAAGTTCTATATTTTGAATTATCATTTTATTTAGAACAATAATTATCAGTAATTATACTTTTAAAAAAATACTTTGGGTTTAAATTTATTGTAATATTTTAAAGTACTAAATAAGTAGCAGAAGATAATGAAAATTCTGCAAAACTTTATGATCTGATAATTGAAGCATTATAAATTTCAATCAAATCTGATTGAATAAATATTATTGATAATTAATCTAGACTCAAATTAATATCACTATAAATTGAAACTGTATCCAAAATTAAATTAGATATTAATGTCTTGCTGCTTTTATCATTTGAGTTTAAATTTATTAGTATTGTGGATTAATCGTATAAAACATTAGTAAATTCAATATTGTTTAGAATAATGTATTAAAATTGTAAATTTTATCCTGATACAATTATTGAGCTGTTATAAAAATTACAAGATTTTATAGAGTATTCAGAATTATATTATTCTAAAGTAGCTTAGAATAATGAAATATTTTGAAATTAAGAATTTTGTAAGATGATTCCCTATATTGTTAAATTTCTTATACAATACGTTACTATAAATGGTTGAGCATTTTCGAAATAAGAAGATTGTATGAAAATCTAAGAAATAGTTCCAGTAATATTAAAACATTCTTCACTCAAAGTTACAAACAATCTACTAGAATTAAAATTTGAATTTTCAATTAAGACATTATGCATTTAAAAATTAATCAGTTATTAAGCATTATCTTCTAACTTTATTATATCTGAATTCTATATTCTTGAATTTTAAATTATTAATAAATTAAAATATATTTGTATTATTTAAGGAGGAACTAAATACTCAAACTAAAATAAGCTTTAGACTGATTACAGATTTAAATTTAATAGAGTAAAATTTTAAATAGTTAATTAATTTAAATTTGTAAATAGAAGCTGAAAATGAATAGGAATCGAATCTTCTTAATTTTGTCTAAGTGTGACTTATAAAAATTTTGTTTCTAACAAATTTAATGATTGAAAGTGAAGATATGTAATTTAGAATAATTATATTGTGATGTTTTCTATTTTAATTTTATCAAAGTTAAAAATTTCCAAATTAGATTAAAGAAATAATGTGTTTCCCATTCCCTATATTGTTAATTTAGCTGAATTAATGAAATATATATTCTAAGTCAAAGTAGTAAAAATATAGGACTGAGTATCTACAACACAATCTTACGTAAGTGTAAATTATAATTCAACTTCCTATATCTGCTAAATGCTTAAATAAGTATAAAGGTTCAGATTTTCTATTCTACCAAAATTACTTTAAGATTTATTATTTGTGAGAAGTTCATCAATTCTCACATTTTGGTTTAGAAATAGTTATTTATTAAGAGCCTTTTAATATTCTTAGTTAAATTTATCTAAACTACAAAAGAGATTAAATTTTAAAATAATTTAGTTTGGATCTGCTTCAGTAGTACTTAATTTTAAAAATTATTAAAATTATGTGTTGTAATAATAATCTTAAGAATTAAGTTCTAATTCTAACATTAAACATGTATGTGTTGACGAAATAAGTTTTTCATTTGAATAATAAGGATTAATCCTTTATAATTCAGAAATAGTTTTAGGTTTACAAATTTAACAATATCTTGGACAATCTATACAATTACCTTCATATAATGATAAGCGTCTTCCTTCGTATATCTTACATTTAACACATTAATTCTATCCATTTTTTTTAATGCAAAGTTCACAATTTTCTGCACATTTTTTTATACATTAATCTTAATAAAATTCATATTCAATCGTACAAGTTTTACAAAGAATTTCTAATTCATCTTTTTTTACATTTCCAAACACATCAATATGGAATAAACCATTATTAGTTAAATAATGATAAGATTTGTAATTTATTTTCCATCCATTTTTCCATTTTTTAGAATCTTATTAACATCTATAACAATTAAGTTCTTAAGGACAGGGTAGACATTAACCAGTTTATAATTCTGTATAATATCCTGGATAACATTACAAACAATAGCTTGACAAACATATTACACAATTTAATAGCATTTCATAGCAACCATTTGATGAAAAAGCAAATTAATAATTCCTGTAATCTTAGTATAAAGATGTACATTTATAAAATGTTTAATTAAATTCAAAAGCTTGTGAAGATTCTATTATAAACATTTATGAACAATCTCTTGCTAAATTGCTCTCTAACTGTTATATTTAGTCTATTCTTATACATTCTCCTGTTATTTAGGTTGCATAACCTTCAGAACATAGAGCACAATAATTTATAATTTCACTTGTACTAAAATTTCCTCTTGAAAAAGTATGAAATATAGTGCTGACATAATTTCTCATAAACCAAGATTTATGAAATTATATTTTATATAAGCAATTTGGATCAAAATTTTCTTAACAATCAATTCCATTTAAGGATAAAAAGTATTTTGCGTTATCCAAACAAATAATACATTTATTATAATATGATCCATCTCTTTCATCCTAGAGGTATATACATTTTAAGCAATATTTTCCACAAGGTATACATTATCCTTAATATAAACTATATTTTTCTATGCATGTTTTGCATTATAATAATTCAAAGTTATATTCACAATCTAAGCATAATTTTGGGCAAACTACACAATTATTATTTTATGGATTTAATGCCATTTAATTATAACAAGATGTACAAATTTCAAAATCTCTGCAAGTTTAACAATTTTGATGACACATTTAACATTAACTTAAACCTTAATTATAATAGTATGATGGCAAGCAAGTTATATAAACTAAAAGTAAATTATTAAAATAGCAATCTTGATCTATTTATGGATTACAATATGATTTGCATCCTAAACACAATATAAGTGATGAGGTCTTTATATCTAAGTAATATAACTCATTATCATTTTCACTTCTTTTAATTAATTCATATTATCCATATTAACTAAAAATGTAATCTGATTAACACTTTAAATTCTTAGTAAAAGATTCAGGTTCACTTAAACATTCTATACAATGTATTTTATCAAATTAATTTAATTTAAATTAAGGACAGGGTTAATATATTACACTCTAATTATTTATTTAAATTGGAAAGAAACCAAATTTAGACAATGTTTAATTTTTTGGAACATATGTTTAATTTGAATTTGAATAAAACTCTTTTAGTACTAAAAAAAATTGTTAAATCTATACATATGCAATTTCCTTCATTGCTCTCGATAAAACCTAAATTACATTTGCATTAATTATTTTCTAAATACCTATTAGATATAAGATCACAACTTAAACATTAATCAAAATATGGTCCATTGCAATCTAAACAGCTAAGATCACACTCTTAAATATTTAATTTTTATACTTTTAATGAGTTCAAATGATTATGGGATACATGTTGTAATCCTACTTTTTTAAATAGTAAAATAAATTCCATTTGATTCAAGACCATAATTTGTACCACTTCTAATTTTAATTGTAGCTCCATCAAAATGAAAAGTTCTATTATTATATTTTACCTCATAAATGTACTCATCATTAAACCACATTTTTAAATGCGAAACAGGAATATTTGATTTATCAAATCCATAAATTAAAGAAACAAAATGCCATTACCTTAAATCTTATTCTAAAGTGTGAAAAGCGAATTTTTGATTATAAAAAAATTAGTCAGTGTCTACTGTAAAATCTGGTTATTTTTAATAGTATGTTTGAAAGTAAACACCATTTGTTAAGTTTTATTTCCAGGCTTAAATTATACAATACTATAAGTCAATTAGTTTTTAATAATAATTTGGGATCAATTTAAAATACATATCAATCCCAAAAGCACTTGCTGAATAGTTAATATTCTAATATTTATATATAAATCATACTAAATTATAATCTATCTTAATCCATGATTCAAATTAAATTAGACCATATATATATTTATAATTTTCAATTAGCCTAGAATTAAATATAGTTAATTAACAAAATGGCTGAGGCCTAAATTATTAATTAAGGTAACTTTAAAAATCATTTACTGTATTAAAAATATATTTATTTAAGCTTGGATTTATATGCAAATTTGAAATCCTTCCTGAATATTAAATAAAAATTTTTTCAGTTGAACTTATTATCATTTTTACCCTTCCTTTAAGAAGTATATCTATGCTTTATGTTGATAAATTAGAGCTGAACTGATAAGTTTTCCCCGAATAAGACTCACCCATAACATATAGAAAAACTTGTCTTTTATTTGGAAATTCACAAGCAAAATAATTATAAATCCATTTTCCATCAAATGAAAATGAATCAAATATAAATTTAGCAGCTTTTTAATATTTCTTATTAGTTATAGTTGAGAAATATATATATTTTTCTTAGTTTGTATTATTGTTAGTCCAATCTTAATAATATAGCATTCGAGCCTCCTTATTATTACTATCAGACTCATAAGCTAATAATAGGCCTTCAAAGCTCCCATAACTTTTGATATTAGCCTATAAAATATAATCTGTTGATAAATATTAAGACCAAAAGCCATAACCATAACCTGATTTACCAGATAGAGGCAATTATATTGTTCGATCATGTTCTAATAAGCAATCTTCCAAAGTAGATGGATCACAGAGTTTTGCTTTTCTAATATAAGAAAACAATAAAAAGCATGTCTATAAGCATAAAATCATCAATAAAATTGATAATATTAATATTATAAAAATATATATTTATTTCTATTTTTATATCAAAGGGTATTTTTGTATTACTTTTTTGAATAATCTCTAATTAACTAGAATCTTTTTTATCTTTATTCAATGGATGCTTTGGAATATTTTTAAAAACATTTATTTTCTTTATTATATTTCTAAATAATTTCACGTAAAAATTTATAAATAAAGAAATGATTCATCTTCCAAAAATGGAGTAGAATAATTCCTAAACTTAAAAAGAAAATAACATTTATTAGTATCCTTGCGATAATAGCAAAAGTGGAGATGTAAGTTTCTCCAATTGATGAAAATGTTTATGCAACTAATATTGCTATGCTTATTATATGGAGTTAATTTTCAAATAAATTCATTTATTTATGATAATAAACATTATTATCTAAAAATAATTTAGTATAAAAAGTTAATAATAGATATGCGAATACTCCTCTAAATGAAATATTTGTATCAATCAAAATAATAATTAAAAGCATTCCATTATTAAGTAATAATTTATATGATTCCCATTTTAAACAAGAGTTTGAATAGGAAGAAAACCAGAACCCAATCTACTTAAAGCGTTTTTTTTAATTTAAAAAATTAGGCTGGTTTATACTTTGTAACAATTTTAAAGGTAATATTATTCCTAGAATAATTAGAATAGGTAAAAAACAGAAAATTACTAACATTAAATGATTGCTATCTCCATATTGATAAGATATATTTTTATAAATCCAATAAATTTCTTGTATTTATCGAAACGCTATTAATTGAATTAATGATCTAATTATACTATTTTAAAAATAGAAGATTAACAAAAATAAAAGGTTATAAATTGTGGTTTGAGTCAATTTAAATCTATAAGTTAGGCTTAGAATATAAATTATAAAAAAAACACAACTGATAAACGCGATAATACAAGTAAAATTTTATAAAATCTGAATATATACTACACTTATTTACAAATTAAGTAATTGACATTCTTAAAAAATAGCTAGAACAGCTAATGGATTCCCTAAATACTAAATAAATTATTAGATTCCATCAAAAAAGACAGAATTTAACTCTTAAGTTATACTAATAATTTAAAAATAGAACAATATAATTTTAATACTTTATCCCATTAAAACTTCAGATTATTTAAAATAGTATGATTTATATGGTTCTTTAAGTAAATAAATATTATGGCGAATCCTTTAATTTCTTTTTTTAGTAAGCTAATTAATTATATAGAACAACAAAGCAAATCTTATTTAAATATTAATGTTACAATGAAATTAAAATAGCGAGATTAATTAAGTAGCCATAATTGAATTCTTCACAGATTTAACACTCAAACTAATGAACTCTTTGATAATGTCCTCCTCCTCTAATATTATAATAATCACATTATTCACAAAGTGCACCTATATATCCTTCTACACATAATTTATTTCCAACTCCCCAACCTCCCACACAATTTTCTTATCTATTTAAGCATAAATATATGATAGAAGAAGTGACATGCATCCTCCAATAATTCTATATTATATTAATTAATAATTTTAACCTTTTTCAATAAAATTTGAGCTTAGGTGAAATCTAAAATCTTAGAATCATCAACAATTTTGCAATATGTAGCTTGAATCGATACAGAGTACTATTTTAAATCCACTCTGCACTAATGACAATAATCATTAATATTTTAACTAAATTCTCCTAATTGACATTCTAATGGCTAAATTAATAAGGTCAACAAATAATTTTGGTGAAAACTAAAATAAACTAAAATATATACTTTTCAATTAATTAGTGTTATTAATTCAATATTGGAACAAATATACTATTACATTAAATTGATAATTCATAAATTATTTCAGGATTTTATGGTATATAAAATATTAAATCATCTAATTCATAAGCAAATGTTGTTTCATTAAAATAAAATTTATTTTAGCTTAAATTTATATTTTCAACTTATTCAGTAGAATAATTTAAATTCTAAATTGACAATTCACAATATGTATTATGTAGATTTCTTACTATCTCTAATTATTAATTAATAGCAAATAATTTCATTGATATGGATTATTAACTATATTGGTTATTCTTTATTTCAAATTTTCTATATTAGGCTATTTTAATACCAGTTGGTACTCGAAATATTGGCTATTGCCCATTTTAGGAAATAATTTAAGCATGTTATTAATTGATAGTTGAGGATACAACTTTTGGAATTAACATTTTATTATCAAACATTTATAAATATATTTATTAGGGATACTCTTCAATTTGATTAGAATAATTTTAAAACTTATTATTTAAGAGTTATATTCCATTAAGATTTCTTTTCAGTTTATCTTAGTTATAAATTCCACTTCCAAATTATGCTGAATTATTCAAAATAAACACATCTTTTGAAATCAAAAGTGTATTATTTCCTCTTGTAAATATAGCACCACCGTGTTCAGCCTTATTTTTTAAAATAATGCTTGAAGTAATTAATATCCTTTAATCTGCTATGTATAAACAACCTCCATTTTTTGCAAAATTTTAATAGCACAAAAGGTTTGATATTTTAATTTAAGTCTAGATATTAAAGGATCCTAATAAATCTGAATATTGGTTGATTTGGTTTTCCGATTATAACATAAATGTGACACATCCATTTTTACCACAATTTGAATTTAATATATTTATTTTTTCAATTACAATACTTGTTTTATAGTTGTTTTCAAAACTTAATAAACCATTCAAACAATTATTGCAAGTAATATTTTCTAAATTTAAATTAACTAATTATATCATATGTGATATTTCAAAGTCAGTAAAAGATATTAAAGAATTTGTTGACTATTTAACATAATTTAATAATATTTCTAAAAAAGCTATCTAATTTATGTTAGAATTGCTTTAAAAATAAGGTAAAATGCTTTCTGGAGCATCTAGCTCCTAAGTAAAACATTCTGAAGTTAATTAAGAAATTTGTTTTTATGTGTTTTATTTTTTAGGAATTATAGACTCAGTTATATTAATTTAAACACAATATTTTATTTCTAAATTTTTAATAAATACCTTATCAGATTAACTTACTAAGACAAATTACATTAATTAATTAGAAAAGATAATATTTCTTATCTGAACATTCATTATACTTGTATATCCATAAAATTAAAATAATGGTATTGGTGGATAATTTGATAATGAAAAATCCATTATTTATATTTAGCAATCAAAACAAAAAATGAAGGTGTAGTCTTAAATCAAAGTAGACAATTCATTGTTGATTAATTACTGTAAAGAATTTATAAATTAAAAAAATTCTCCAATATTTTAAGTAAGTTTACAATCCTTCATCTAAAATAATTAGATTGAATGAAAAGACTTTTCTACATACAATAATCCACCCTAAATAGAAAAAATATCTGACAAAGTTGAATTGAGTATTGAAAAATTAAATTATTATGTTGATGGAGTTATGTAAAAAATACTTCCAGACTTTCTTGCAGAGATTCTATCAAATTTTGTATTAATAACTTCTATATTTAAGTACTCTTGTTATGACTAAATGTAAAAAGCTCCTCCTTTTGATTATTCATTAAGAACAGCTCCCAAATTATAAAAAGAAGAGTTGATTATTTTAACATTCCCATTTTCTAGCAAATTCAAAACAAATGCAGCACCATATTTTGAAACTGAACCTTCTATATTAATGTTTTCAAAATTAATTACTCTTGTTTGGATATAACCATTACCTCCATAACTTTCCACAATATATTTATTCTACAAATCTTCTAAATAAATAGTTCGATTAAATCCAAATTTAAGAAATTATTTAATTGTATCATAACAAAACACTGAATTATTTAAAAAGCTCATATTTTTTATTAATATTGTATCAGAATTTATATAAAGGATAGATCCTTAACCGTTTAAATTAAAATTTTTCTCTATAAGACAATTTTTTATCACTATAGAAGACAATAATGCATCAATCAAAATTAAACTTTATTGCGTTGGTTAACTGTCTTTTAGTAAGTTTAATAAATTTTTAGAAAAAAAAACATTATCTAAAACTAAATCCATTTAATTTTATGAAGTTATTGATATAAGTGAAGTTTTTTAAAATGTGTTGATTTAATGAATAATGTTTGATTCGAAGTTACTTTCAATAATTTGAAATTATGAATATATTTATTATGGCATTTGAATTTCAAATAAAACTGAATCAAATAAAATAAGATTAGTTACATTTATTTTTTAAATAAAAATTGCTACTACTTCTTGGAAATTGAGTAAATTATTGTACAGAAATTTATTGAATTACGATAAAACACAATCTTAATTATAAAAAAGGCTCTTAAATTAATATTTTGGATACAAAGTAATTTCAGAGTTTAGGAATTAAAATTTTTGACTATTTTTAATGGTAATTTCTGAAAAACCTATTCCTCTTTAAATCATTAAATTTTCAAATATAACATTTGTTGCTTCTATATAGATTATTGATAATTCAATATTTTTTACAAATTAATCTTCTTTGTTCAAATAATCTAGAGAATTATTTATAATATGAATGTTATTGAAAAATATTGTAAAATTAATGTTTTGATAATTTTATAGGAACATAAATGCATGCATATTTGAATAAGTATTATCAATAAATCTTCCATTTTCAATTTAAATTTATTCAAGCTTTGAGGATTTTTGGTTGATAAAAATAGATGATTATCCCTAAATGTATAATTTTTCAATATTAAATTCTTTGATTGAAAATAAATTTGAGCATTCAATAAAATTAGAATCTATTAATTTTGAAACAATAAATTATACATGAGATAAATCAATTTTTTATAATTCAGAACAATCTAAAAAATATAAAGTGTTTCTAATTATGGAATCTTCAATAAGTAATTAATCGATTTTAAGTTTTTCATTTTTTGTTGATTTGGAGATAAGTGATGAACTATTAAATTAGCATCCTGATATATGAATTTGAGTAAATAAAATTTCTATAAATTTAGTGGAGTTAATATGAAAGAGAAAAGTATTTTAAAAACAAGATTCTTTTATATTTAAACCCATTAGTGTTAATTTTGAGTAAATATTTTGATTTGTAATTAAAAATAACCCATATTTATTTTATAAATTAGCTTTGTATATAAATAGATCTGAAATATAAAGTTAAGAAACCTCTATTAGTGATATTAAAAAATGATTTTGAGAGAAATGATTATCATCAAGAAAAATATTTATTTTCGCCAAATTTAAAGTAAAACCTTTATTATTTCTTATTTAAATTTATCCTTTTTACATCTGAAATTCAACAGCACTAATTTTGATTTGCTAAAAATTGATGAACTCTAACAATCCATTAACAATTAGGATGCTGTTGGCTCCATCAAGATTTAAGTGTAATTCGATCAAATTAAAGCAATTTTTCTGTAAATTTGAATAAAACTATATATCTTTATTAATAAAACATTTTTGATTCGTGATAAATTTAAATTAATAAGTAAGCTTTTTGACATAATCTTTGCTAAGATAATAATAATAATCATCATACTCAAAAGGAGATAAATCAAAATTTTCCAAAAGCATATGGTATTTACTTTAAATTATTTTTTCTTCATCACTTAATAAATTTATATAGTTTTCTAAATCAATTTAATTGCAATACAAAAATATTTCAATCAATATTTCTTTTTAACAATTAAGAATGGAATTTTAGCATTCAATAAATTATTTAATATCTTAGTCATAAAATAAATTATTAAGGCTTGGAGAAACACATGCATGAGAAAAATATTCTAAATTACTATTATTAAAATAAGGATTAATAGAGTATTTATCTTCATCTTCTCTTGGAAGGCATAATTTACAATTATAAGGACATTAAATACATTTTCCATTATAAATTTATCTGTTTTAATCAATATTTTATTTGCATGTAATACAAATCTGTTTGTAATCAATAATTTTACATGATTTACAATTATTAGGACATTATTCTATGCATTTATCAAAATAAATCTCATAACCCTCTTAACATTATGTACATTTAACTCTAACTTCATTTTAATTTGGATTTCTGGTCAGAGCATTATAATTAATTAATGCTTCGTTTAGTAAAATCTATATGACCACAGAACTAGCTGATTTTAAGAGTTTAGAAGAATCTGTTTCTACACATAAGGTACATTCAGATGGGCAAGGCTTACAATAACTAGTATAATAATCATTATAGTATCCATTTTCACAAAGTAGACAAAAATTACTCGTTTCCCAATCTACAAAATAACAAGCTCCACAATATGGAATTTATTAAGTGCAATATCCAATATAAGGTTGAGGCATTAAGGCCTTTATTCCAATTAAACAAGTTAATTCATCTCCTATTTATTTTGATAGCAATATGCAGCCAGTATAATTCCAAGAATCTGAAATTGGTGTACAGAAATATTTATTATCATAAGCTTCCAAATATGAAGATATTGAACAAAAACTACAAGCTGTCTTAATATTTTATTATTCTTCAGGTTTAAATTCATAATAAAAAATGTTATTAGCAGGATTGTTTAAAGAGTATTAAAATGGTAAAATGCAATTACTTAGAGGGTTTAAATAACAGTTTACTCCATCAAGTGATATAAATGCATCTTGTTGACATTCTAAACATTTTAAATATTCTTATCCATTATTTTTATTGATTCTTCTTTCACATGATCGGCAAAGGTATCCACATTAAATACAGATAGAATTAAGTAAATTATGACTATTTTAACATTTCATACATGTTATTTAATCAATTTCACTATTAAAAACACATTCATCACATGATTCAGGACAATTATGACATTTATCCATTTTCAAATAAAATCCTTTATTACACTCTAAACAAATCCCATCATCTTTACAATAAATACATTATTGATCACATTGTATACAAGCATTATTATAAGAATACATATTTTATTTGCATAAATAAAAGTTATTTTAGCCATTAAGATTTCTGATAATTGTTCTAGAGTTTTTTTCTTAAATTACTTTATCACAACCATTACATAATTCAATAGACATTAAATCATAATTTATTAGAAACAATTCCTAATAATTATAATCTAAATATTCATCAAAATAAAAAAAAGAGTCATCACTTTAAAATTCAATATTACATATAGGTAATACATACCACTTTTAAGAATTTAATAAGCAGTTAATACATTGCAATCTATAATTATTTTAACCAAAATAAGGGCTTAAATTATAAATTTTTAATACCATTAAATACATCCATAAAATTTATTGTCTTTCCAAGCTTCAAATTCACCATAATTACACTTAGTGGAAATTTAGATTTATCTTAGGATATATTCTTTATGTTATGATTATCCCTAAGCCAATGTACTTTTAAAATTTTCTAATATCTAATTATATTCAATACTTTTGCAAACTAAATCTAAGGTTTCTACATAATCAGTTTAACATAAACATAAATTATAGTCAGATAAGTAAACTCTATTTTATTCTTCATAACACGATAAACAGTCAAACTCTGTTGGTCCCTTACAAGTTTTACATAAATCATGGCAATCTATTATAAATATTCTTATTACTTAAATTATGTTGATTATTAAATTATATATTAGTTGGATAACAGTATCTTAAACGAAAATTTGAAATTAAGCCTTAAAATTAAACAAAATATGGGGTGTTCTGGAATCCTGCCATTGAAGTAGATATAGATATTTGGTAATTTGTAAAAAATCGATATGATTTTATTTATAATATTTAGTCTTAATTCCAAATATTACAACAAGAATAATAACTTCTCAATATTAAATTTTAATAATATCCATCTTAATAAAGTTCATAATTTAAATAAACCCATTTCTCAAAATAGGATATGTTTTTTGATAATTACCATTAAATTTGTAATTCATCTAATGCCTGTATTTCTTATGGTAATATATTTAATTCCAAATGGTGAGTTAAATTTACTTTTTTCTCTTGATTTATCCAAAATAAAAAGAATTAATTGTAAATTAAATTATTTTAATATCTTCCACATAAACTAAGTATCATTTCTCTTAAAGAATTTAAATTTTCAGCACCTCTTTTGATCCAAAAATCAAACATATATTGTAATCCAGTATTATCAACAGTAAATTGATGCAAAGTGCAATTTTAAATATTACATGGTTATTTAGATAAAAAGATTTATTATTCATTCTAACAAAATTAGGGAATTGAACAAGTTGATAAAAAATCCACAAACTTTTATTTTTCATTAGTGTTAAAAAATAATATTTAATCCTAAAAGATAGTAATAATTGAAATTCTTCCAGAAAAGATATTAAAATTATAATCAAGAGATCCTATCTTAAATTAACCCTATCCTCCATATTCTAATTTGGCATTGGTTGTTTATGTGCTTAAAATTCTATTAGTAACTAAGTAACTACCAAAAGATTTATCTCCAGTATGATATTGAACAAAATTATATTTATTGTCGTAAAAAAAACTAAAATATGTAAAAATCCAATAACCCTCATAATAGTTTTTGTCATGTTAAAACTAATATTGATAGATTGCTCCTGAAGCTCTTTATAAAATAACTAAAATTGGATTCGTTGTTTTATAAACCCATTTTTAATAAAATAAAGTTTAAATTCTTAAGTCACTTTAGAAATTCAATATATGAAAACCATCCAAGGATTATTGTTAATTAAAATATGATTTTGATTAATTTAAATATTTATTTCTTCTAATAGGAGCATATTGAATCCATACTCCAAATGCATAAGGATTTCCTCTTACATAGCTTCTTTCTTCATAAAAATTCTCACTATTTAATTAGGATTGATTGAAATTCTAATAAGGGCATTAAGATGATGCTAAATAAAAAAAAATTATCAAAAACATTTTTAAATATATTAATAATAAAACCCACCAATAACATATTAAATATCTTAAAAACAAAAAAATATGAAAATAATTGCTTCCCAAAAATATAAAATATATATCTTTAGGAATGTTATCATTATGAATCTTAATCAATTAAAATCAGAATTTAAAAATTTTTATTTGTTAATTTAAATTCAAAATGAAGTGATGTTGTGAAATTTCATAATTTATAACTTTCATATAATTTTCTGATTTTATTACTTACTCATTAAGTCTTGTTTGTCTTTAAAATTTGAAAATTTTATAAATTTTTTCTTACAATTCCTTGAAAAATGAAAAAATCTCTATAAAGTATAGCAAATTCTGTAATTTCTTTTAAAATGGCTTCTAATTTTGTTAGACTATTTTACAATATCATCCTTCATAACAATAGGCATATGTAACATAATTCCTTAAAATTTAGTATTAGTTATGCCACAATTTAGAATATTTATCTTAATTTAAATTCTCATTTACATTTTATGTTAGTAAGGAGATAATTTTTCTAATTATTTATTCAAGAAAATCCATATGGTTTTATTTATAATTTTCTTTTTAAGTATGTACAAATATCAATATTAATTTTCTCAACAACATGTCTTATTTGCAGCTAGAAAAATTACATTAATAAATTTTGATTCCAATTCATTCACATAGAAGTTTAAGACTTTTTGCCTCGAATATTTTAACTGGACTTTCTATAAAAAATAGACCTGCCATTTAATTTTAACTATTTCTTATTAAAAATAGAGATGAGTAAACAAAATAATGATAGAAATAAATCATCTTAAAATACAATGAATAAAGAAAGCAAGAAAATACTTTATGAATTAATTAATTTATTAAATAGGATGATCAATATCTTAATCATCATCGATTTATATAATTCTTTATTAATAAGAAAAATTATATCACATTAATCTAAATTATCTAATTATTTTAATACTTAAATTTTGGTTTAATAAATAAAAAAAATATTGATTAAAAAAATTATAGTAATATTTTTCATAATAATAAAATTAGATGAATTCTGATGCCGATTAATATACAATTTTCCATTTAAGCTTATATTTGAAAAGATATTAAAGTAAAATTGACGGTCTTTTAAATCCCTCTATTTCTTTTTTTACTATCATGGACAATTAGAAAAATAATTCAAAGTAAAAATATTAGAAATAAGATTGATGAACTGAAAGCAGAACTTAAATGAGTCTGTTGATAAAAAATTAGTTGACTATATTTGATAAAATATAGAAAATTACGAAATAAACACCCACAACTTCGAATAAAATATTACAAATGCAGGGTTTAATTTTATACTATTATTTGATTATGATTAGATTCTACTTTTTATATCTGTTATTTTATTTTATCATCTGATTCATAATTCATAAATATAATAATTATTAAAAGTTTGCAACATTTACTCTTTTAATAAAAATGAATAATCGCATCTCATTTAAAATAAACAGTAAGATAAATGAAATATTTCTTGAGAAAAATAATGTATTTATCAAATACAATTATTTTTAAAGCAAATTACAAAAGAACTTCATTTAATACATTTAATCTATTTATATAAATAGAGGATGAAAAATATCTTTATAATCTTATTATTTTCAATTTTTTTTAACCTATTGAGAAATCGTAATATAAATTTGAAATAATGAAAATGCACTACTTACCATTTTTTATTGATAGGATTCCCTAAATTTTGAGATAAATTAATATAATTTAAAAAGTTGATTTAGAATAATCATATTATATATTATAATATATATGAATGATTGTAGCTCATTTAGCTAATCTTTTTAATGAGATAAATTTCTCATTTTGAATTGTGTAAACAAATTTCTGAGTCCAAACATGATTTTCACCTTCTAGATTCACTTCAAAATTCATTAGCAAATAAATCAATAAGCATTTAATTTCCATTAATGCCATATGTTAACCTATACAATTTCTTTTTCCAGTTGAAAATGGTATAAATAGAAATGGATCAATATTTTATGTATTCCATCTATTAGGATTAAAATTAAAAGGATTTGGGAATTTGTTTACATCATAATTATTTGCTAATACACACAATTAAACTTATGAATTCTTTTTTAAAAAGTAATCTCCAACCTTGTGATCTTTTATAACTTCTCTTTCAATCAAATATGGTACTGGAGTATACATTCTCATACATTCATTGATAAAATTAGTGATTAAATTTGACATATTTATGTTTTCACTGTTTAATTATTCATATGTCTGATATTATTTTTTTATTTCTTCTCTTAATTTTATTTGCCATTCAGGATGAACGGATAAAGCATAGCAACATGCCCCAAATAAATTACTGGTTGTATCTATACCTGCAAAGATTAACAATATATATTATTGAATTGCATGTTCTTCAGTTAATTTTGGATTTTGTTCTAAATTATAAAAGTAATTATTACATATAGTATCAATATATGCTGTTAAAAAGTCAGCTGGTTTATTCTACATCTTCTATCTTTCTTGAATTGAAATCTTCAAGATATCTTTGATATTTTATAGTCTTGCTAAAAGCTATATTTCAACTTTTGATAAGGTCCAATTTGGAAATTCCTATTCTCCGAAAATCAAAGCTCTTGTAGAACATCTATATGGTGCTACTCTATATTGAGAAATTATGCTTATTAAAACATTTACCAATTCAGATAAGAATGTTTATCCATTTATATTCTTGAAACTTTAACTAAAGAAGGATTGAGTTATCACTTCTCCAACAATGTTACCTGATATGTTTATAATATCTATAGCTTCTTTCTCTTAAACTTATTAGAACTTCTCTTCACATAATTTCTTTATTAATGGTATTCTTGCTCTTAACTGTTCAAATTCAAATGATTTTGAAAGCACATTTCTAGCCAATTTCCAATCTTCTCCTTCTTAAAATACCAAACCTAATTATTATTTAAAAAATATACCTTTGTAAAACATTTTTTCACCAAACAAAAACACTTTTCTTGCCTTTCTATATAAATCTTAATTCTACAGAATTTATTTTATATGATCTGGTTTTATAAATATCTGGGTCAATCCCATAAATGAATTGTTCACAATTATTTCCACTTCAGGATTCTCCTATGAAATCATCTTTTCAAAATGCATTATATCATTGTATCTCTTGATCTAATTTTTATAATGAATCCCTCTTCCAAAAAAAGGATAATATATCATATACATTTTTTTTCCATATTTCATCTTCATTAACAACATTTAAACTAATGGTTTACAAATTAGCAATGCTAAGATGAAAACTAAGTATAATAGTATTTCCAAGAAAGAAAATTAAAACATATTTTATGAGATGGTAAGTTTTATTTTCTCCCTTATAATGTATTTATTTTATTGAACATTCCATAATTCATTTTTGAAGTTTGTTATCAAAATTTATATTAGATAATTTTAGGAATTTATGAATTTGAAATGACGCTAATCATTAAATTATTATTTATTTAAATTTTATTTTAAAATATATGATTGTGCATACCATTAAAAAAAGTGTATGATTAATTATGCATTAGAAAATTGAATAAGAATCTAACTAAGAGATCAATCAACAATAAAATGGATGGCTTTTGCAGCTTAGTTTAATGTATTTTCATGGCTGTTATCAAAAATATGCCATGAAATATTCAAAAAGTGAAAAAAGAATTCAAAGAATCAAAAGAATAATTTTAAAGTAATGAGAAAGCTTTATAATGTACCCACCATTGATTTCTACTATTAAAATTGAATAATTAGATAATATTTTTCATCTTTTTTTATTTTAATTTTGCTGAGTATTTTTTGAAAGCTACATATCTCACATGTAATAATAGAAATTGATAAAAAGATAAAACTCAACCTACCTAAATTATAAAAATCTAATCAAAAGTTGATGTATATTTTAAATTCAATTATTTGCTTGTTTTATTTTATATTCACATAAAATAAATCAATATTTTTGTTAAATACAAAAATGAACGAATTATACTCTTTTTTATGCAATTATTAAAAATAAATATTTAATTAATTGACTTTCTTTTCCTGTGTATTGAGAATTAATTTACTTTCACATTATCATCTTAAAGATTTCTCAAAACATAAAAATATCTGAATTCTAATAAGATGAGAATGGCAAATATATTTATAAAAATAAATATTTTATTTAAATACTTACCAATTCACTCTGAAGAGATTTTTTGATTGTGAACTTTGTAGAATTTGTCATAAATGTATTAATATTTAATTTTTAGCATTTAACATACAATTTAGAATATACTTAATAGAGATGAGAAACTTTATTAAGAATTTGTATCTCATAGTTAAAAAGACTTCAAATTTATGAGAATTTATGGATAGATAGACATTTTTTAAGAAGTTGAAAAAATTAACATCAACTATAACTATCTTCATTATTAATTAAACAGAAACAACTGGATAAATATTAATTTACAATAGCAAGATACTATTGCTAATCAAAAAAGACAGATTATTTAAAAAAAAATTTATTATTAAATATTTGTATGTGATATCAATGTTGTTTTTTGCATGTATATGAGTTTTTATTATATTACTCTGGAGTGAGTTTTTCTTTACTCATATTAAATTGTTCCTAACAAATTATGCATTTTAGGCCTTTTAGATATCTATATCCATCCACACATATACTGTAACTTCCAAATTGATATTCAATATCTACTAAATCTTTTTTATGATAGCCTTCACAATATTCGCATTTCTTTTTTTTTTAATGACATTCTTACGAGCAAGTTGGACAATGCTTGAATTAGTTTAAGTTGACTATTTCTTAAAATATTTTAGATTTATAAATGTTTTTACAGCAGCGACATTCAATTTCTTCTTCTTCAAACTATTCTAATTCTAAACAGCAGCTACATTTCATTTCCTTTTATTTTTTATATTCACTTAAAGAGCAGGTATTAATTTATTTACACATTTTACAAATATAATTAATATCGCCACCGTTCCATACAGTATTATTTATATTTATCTATTTATCATTAAAACCTTTTCTACTAAGATTTAATCTCTAGCATATTATACTACATTTGGGATGTTACCTCTTAAAATTTTCTATTCCCTCATCATACAAATTAGTATCATCCACTTATAATTCCATTATCTAATTAGCTTTTGTTTGAATGGAAGCATCACTTAAAATATTTTCAATTCCTTGTAAATCTAAAATGACGAAATTTTCTTGGCTTTCCTCATAAGTAAAATGACTGAATGAAGTATAATAATATTCTTTATATTAATTTGCAGATAATTAACCTTAGTTCGATGAAATTTTTCTCCATTAATTTGGTTGAAAATTCATGAATGTTTCTCCATATAATGTAGTAATTCCTTTGAATGGTTTTTCAAGTTTATAAATAGAACAATCCACATAAAAAATTGGAGGCATTTCATCTATATTATGTTGTAATAATTTATTCCTAAATTTATAAGCCATTTCGTTTGCAATATTTGTTGTATAATATCTAGCTTTTGCATAATCTTCAGTTTTTTTGATCCAATCTCTGGAAATTGGTTTTCCATTTTATTTTGACAACTCATATTCCTTTATATATTGAGTTGGAATTTTAATTATTATATACTTATTTTAAATAGCATCAAACCCTTTAAATACACAAGTTCTTGATTTCTTCTGGATTTTCAAAGTATTTTAGGTATAATTACCACCAGTATACATTTCATCCATCCCTTCATCTATTTCAATAAATCCATCATCAACATTTTCATTATTCTCATTGATTTATAGACATGTTTCTCCTAACTATTGATGAGAATTTAAGTTATTAATAAATTTTTTCCAATAATCTAATTATTTTTTTTCAGTTTAATCATTTAAATTTGTTATATGAAATCTTTCATATTCTGCTTTTACGTAAAAAGTGGTGTTTTAACTTTTATCAGTTGTAGTATTTGTCCCAGTTAATATTTACTGTGTACGCATGAGTGAAGATTCAATTGATTTAGATAGACTAAATTACACAAAGTCAGAAAAATCTTATGGATTTTCCAATCGAACTATTGACAAATTATCAAATCCTTTACTCATAATATTAAACATTGATTAGGTTTTATTTGTTATTTCTGCACAAAAGAAATAGTTATTTTTTTTTCTAGTTTTGAATTTAAACATAACTGATTCTAAAGTATTGGAGTCTATTTAACTTTTTAATTCATCATTTATACTCTCATTTTCATTGTGATATTATCTACCATGATTAGGTGAATCACAGAATAGGAAAGTAATCAACAAACTTTAAGAATATTAAGATATATTTAATTTTAAAGCCTATTCTAATCCTGCTACAACATCTTCAGCTTCATCCCCTCCTCCAACTGCTTTTTAAGATTGCACAAATTTGATAATATTTGTTACTTAATCGGTTAAGGGATGAAAAACAATCTACTCCTCATCACACCTATCTCTATATCCAACGAAGCCTACCCTTATCTAATTCTCTAAATAGTCAGCCTAAAATTGTTCAATGATACGCTAAATATGTAGTTCCGTCTATTGTTTCCAAGGTTTCATTGATCCAGTTAGATCCATTATAAATATAATGTCAATAAAATTTGATTTTTTTACATGATATTTAAATTTTTTAAGCAATTATTCTTCACAGAAAAGTCGAGCCTCTGATATTTTATATTATTAATATTTGTGGTTGATCACATTTTTTTCTAATTATGTACAAGGTTTAAAAAATTAATTAAAATTAATATTTTTTATTTCTTCCCATAATTTATGTTATTTAGAACATGAATTAAAGATACATTTTCCTTAAAAATAAGGTATGCAAAATTTTAGTTCTTTTTCCAAAATTCTTTTGAAATTTTCATCTGTATCTAAATTTTCTGGGTTATATTGTTTACCTTATATTTCTATGTTATATTGTGAGTAAATCTCTTTCATAAGTGCTTACCATTTTAGGTGCCTTTTCTTATTTTAACACTCTTAGTTTTTACAAGTTGCAATCAGAGCTTTAATACAAATTCCTTTAGCCCATTTAACATGAAGATATTAACATTTTTTATCTTCACATTAAGTCTCACATAAATTATGAAAATAAATTCCGTTAATAGGTAAAGTATTTAATAAATGTTCATAATTGATTTCTGAGCAGTGTGTTAATTTACAATTCTAAACTAAGCACTTCTCTATGTCACCATTTTTTTTTTATTGATTATATAGCCAGATGCAAAAGCCTTGATATTATCTTGAGTGATCTAATTAGCACTTAGGCTTTTTACAAAAAACAGAATCCTCACAAAGACNATTCTAAAGTATTGGAGTCTATTTAACTTTTTAATTCATCATTTATACTCTCATTTTCATTGTGATATTATCTACCATGATTAGGTGAATCACAGAATAGGAAAGTAATCAACAAACTTTAAGAATATTAAGATATATTTAATTTTAAAGCCTATTCTAATCCTGCTACAACATCTTCAGCTTCATCCCCTCCTCCAACTGCTTTTTAAGATTGCACAAATTTGATAATATTTGTTACTTAATCGGTTAAGGGATGAAAAACAATCTACTCCTCATCACACCTATCTCTATATCCAACGAAGCCTACCCTTATCTAATTCTCTAAATAGTCAGCCTAAAATTGTTCAATGATACGCTAAATATGTAGTTCCGTCTATTGTTTCCAAGGTTTCATTGATCCAGTTAGATCCATTATAAATATAATGTCAATAAAATTTGATTTTTTTACATGATATTTAAATTTTTTAAGCAATTATTCTTCACAGAAAAGTCGAGCCTCTGATATTTTATATTATTAATATTTGTGGTTGATCACATTTTTTTCTAATTATGTACAAGGTTTAAAAAATTAATTAAAATTAATATTTTTTATTTCTTCCCATAATTTATGTTATTTAGAACATGAATTAAAGATACATTTTCCTTAAAAATAAGGTATGCAAAATTTTAGTTCTTTTTCCAAAATTCTTTTGAAATTTTCATCTGTATCTAAATTTTCTGGGTTATATTGTTTACCTTATATTTCTATGTTATATTGTGAGTAAATCTCTTTCATAAGTGCTTACCATTTTAGGTGCCTTTTCTTATTTTAACACTCTTAGTTTTTACAAGTTGCAATCAGAGCTTTAATACAAATTCCTTTAGCCCATTTAACATGAAGATATTAACATTTTTTATCTTCACATTAAGTCTCACATAAATTATGAAAATAAATTCCGTTAATAGGTAAAGTATTTAATAAATGTTCATAATTGATTTCTGAGCAGTGTGTTAATTTACAATTCTAAACTAAGCACTTCTCTATGTCACCATTTTTTTTTTATTGATTATATAGCCAGATGCAAAAGCCTTGATATTATCTTGAGTGATCTAATTAGCACTTAGGCTTTTTACAAAAAACAGAATCCTCACAAAGACTAATTTCTTTTTATTGCATAGTAGAATATTTTTTAAACTAAATTATTAATACTTTTTATCCTAATTTTTTTTTAATTATGAATATAAATAATATATATAAAGTATATTTATTTCATAATTCTCACTCGCCAAAATAAATTTTCAATTCTTTATCAATCTAAGTTTAATTTAAATCTATTAAGCATTTATCTTAAGTTCATAAATATTAATAATTAATTAAATTTAACGAGAAAATATCTTTGATTAAAATTTCTTTTGAAATATATTTAATAGCTCTTATTTAATATATAATTATGGAAAATGCACAACACACACTTTTCTTTACATGCTATAGCTAACAAGATAAGTCTTTTTATATTTTAACATAAAAATTAATGATTCATAAGATTGAAATATACTTGCTTATTTATAATAGAATTTATATATTGATAGAGAGAAGATGTAGAATTAAAATTTCTTTAATATATACTATTACATATAATAGTATTGTATGAGAATTTGTCAATCATATCTAAACCAATTTTTGCTTTTGAAAAAGATTAATTGAATTTTGACTGAAAGTTTCTTTTAACTTTATATTAAGATAAAAATATATAATTATAGAAACTACCTTAATTAAATTATTGAACCAAGCAGCCAAACCTTTTATTGAGAAATAAGCAAATTTCTCCCAACTTGCAGGTACTTTATCGAATTATAATTAGGAGATAAGTAATATTTAATGCACCAGTTAAACCTAGTTTAAGATCTTCAAGTGTACTTATATGTTCACCTAATAGAATATCCATTCTTTCGTATCTAAGAAACATGCAATCTAATCAGGTGTCTTTTCTAAAACTTTAGCTGTTACATCCATTTAATTTATTTCAGCAGGAGTTGTTGATTTTAGTAATGTTGATTAATTCATAAATCCATAATCTTCCCTAGACATCTAAATAAATAAAGTTTAATATTATTATGTTAAATAACCAATTTCAGCATTTAGATGCATACTAAAAGTTTAAGTAGATTATCTTGATAATTTCTTTTCAATGAGAAGGATCTGGTGATTTGAATCTTGAACCTAAATTGAACCCTGGTTATAATAATTCAGGTTTAATAAAGACTCTCAAATAGATAGCATTAGTTCTTCTATCCCAATCCTCTGTAATAAGATCGCCAAACATATATATATATTTCAAATCATTTCAAGAAACAACATCTTATTTTAATAAATAATTAAATACAAGATGCAAGCACAAATTGTCAGATTACCATCATTAAAGTTATAAACTCTAGCAACCAAATTTCTTTCTACCGAAGATTAAGGAAGGGAAATGACATTAAGACTGTTAACCAATTTTACATAAAATTTATATTATATAACATAATCCAAAGTTCTCGAACAGCACAATCAAGTAAAGCTGTACTAGCAATTTCTTCTTGTCCTTGAATCATTGAGATATTAATGAATATACGATTATGCAATATCATATTAAGCAGTAACTCTTTCAACTCAAAGGAATATATTAAAATCATAATCTCCAAATAAATCTATTTTGACAACAACAAAAAAATACCAGAATCTATTTATTTATTTAAAATTCCAGAGTTTGCTTACAGTTTCAAAAGTTTTAATAATCATCTTTTCTATTTCTAATAGATTTTTTGTCTAATTAATCCTAATAATATTAAGATTTATTAAATGAATTAGAAATAAAAAGAGGGGAAATTACTGGATTTATTTCCATGAATAACAAATTTTAAATTAAAACTTTACTTAAAAAGTTTCCATCAAAAAAAATTTATTCCAAATAGTAGTACAAAATTTTTATATATTTATTTATTTCAATTTATATAAAGATGTAGTGAGTCAAATTCATTGTCATTCAAATGTCATTTAAGCAGGAATATATAGAGAAGATAGTTTTTTGAAAAATACAGTTACATTTAACTTTCATATTTCAGTAATTTTTTATTTGATTTAGTTAAGTATTGCTCAGCTTAATCCAAAGAATTATGACTATATAGATTATCAAAATTATACTAATTCCTAGCTTCGATGAAATATTCTTAAAGCTACTCTAGTTAATTGTATTAATTTATTGAGAAGCGGATTTTGCCATTTTTTATCTAAATTATTTATTTGATGATTTAAAATTTCTCAATTAAATAGAGATATTTGTAAAATTTAAAGAGTGTTGGCAAAGTTATACTTAATTTAGTAAAGTAAATATTCATTCAATGAAGCATTAAAACATTATATAAATAAACAGAATCTGTAAAGAAGATAAAAAACAAAATGATTATTACTTTAAAAAATATTTGAACATCAACAATTTTTATATATTTACATTTTGAAGTTATGTGAATGAACAATATATAATTTGTTAACTAACACTAATAATTTTTAGAATATTTATTAAAATAAATACTTGGGTCAAAAGTTCAAATTTATATTCTCTTGCTAACAAATTTATAAGAAATGTTAACAAAATAATTTAAGTATAATTATTTAGGAAAAAAAGGAGGAAACTATGATTTTTCAAATAAAGTGATATTTGATCAAAATTCATAAAACTAAATAAATAAATTTTTTATATTAACTTGTAGAAATCGATTCAAAAGAAACAATAATTTTGGAGAAAAATCAAAATTGTTTTCAATGTTCTTTTAATTTGTATTTGACTCATTTAAATAATATTTCAATAATTTCAAATTACTATTATAAACAAAAAAAGATATACATAATTTTATAAAAGGAATAAACCTGAATTGGTAAATAAATTACTTGGCTTTATTAATTTCACTAGATGGAATTTATAAATCACTAAAAATAAATATTAAAATGTAACTGATTACATTAATACAAAAAATAATTCCTAAACAGTAAATATTTTTATTGATAGCGAATAGAGTATAATTTTTTCATTAAAAATATCCCACAACACAGAAATAGATTAATATTTGGACTTATTTTTTTAATATACTTTTTCTCAAATGAAGATATATTTTTTATTTTTTTAAATATTTATAAAAATTTCTTTGTTAAATTTATAAAAGAAATTTTATTGTTCATGTTTTTATATTAAATTCATTAAAATCTTAATAAAATGGAAATATATAAACCAGGTTTTTCTTTTTGCTAACAGGATTCGACTATTTTACACTAAATAATGAATTATTTTTAGGTTGTGTTTGAATAAATTGAAAATGAGTTTAAGTGTAACATTGATTAAATAAGATATCCTGTCTTAATGTTATTAGATTTAATAGAAAAAGAGGACTATGTTTAAAAATAATAGCATGATATAAATAATTCTATACCTAATAGTTAGCATAAAATTTATTTATGGGAGTAAATGAAGGAAACTTGCTTATAAATAATCCTTGAAAGAAAAAATTAATTAGAATTTGAGATGAACTAATAAATAAAATAAAAGGAGAAAATATGGACAATATTGTAAGGAACATTTGAAGAAAAATAAGGGTATAATAAAAGTAATTGTACTTTAGATCAAAAATATTAATAGGTCCAACATTAGTAGGTTTAAAACATGGAAATTACTATTATAAAAATAAAGATGGAAGTAATGAAATTGTATACTTAAATTTAAATTATTAAGGCTGGGGAAATGTATTTAAATTATTAAACCAATTTTTGGGTTTAAGAAGGAAGATATATATAATTATATAGATAATTTAGAATAAATTTTGGAGTTATTTTAAAAATAGGTTAAATCTAATACGTTAATGATGGAGAGATAATTAGAAAGTATTATTAATTCAGAATATAATTAGTGATAGAATAGATTATTTGAAAGACAATTCTCAGATTCTGACTCAACTTGATTAAATCAAGGATTTAAAATGGTAAGGAAGTTATGGACAAAATGGAAAAAAAATTGGAAAATGGAATGTAAGTTTGGAGAATTAATTGATAAATGCAGGTGGTAATTATCAAAATGATGGACTTAAAATTGGCAATTGGATAGATTTGTATCAAGATTATACTAAGTAATAGAATATTTTATAAAGATTCTCAAAAGCTTATTTAATAGGATAATACAAGGAAGGTAGAAAGTATGGGAGATGGAAAGCAATAAGTGAGAAATTGACGATGTAATTTTTTATGATTATTTATAACATTTATAGAGGAGGAGGAAATTATGATGAGAAGGGATAAAAAAATGGATATTGGGAAGATATTGTTGAAAATTATTTGGGGTATTTAATAATATAATTTAATTTAGTTTAAATTATCTGAGCTTTTAAGGTTAATATAATTCAGGAAGAAAAAGTGGTTGTTGGTAAGCAATATACAACAAAAAAAAGAAAATGTATTTAAGTTTAATTTACTTTAGAATATTGGGTAGATATGATGATAATGGATTAAAAGTTGGATAATGGGTTGTATTACATAAGTTTTTCAATCCGTAATTATTAGAATTTAATCATTATTAGGAGTTGTAGAGTTTTATCATTCGGACAGTATAATAATGGTAAGAAGTTTGGTTAATGGATAATATAATAAACTAAAAAGAAAATGTATGAGTTTTAATAAAATTAAAAGAGGAGGAGGAATGTACAATGATGAAGGGAAGAAAGTAGGTTAATGGAAAGAATTATCACCAAATTTTCAACTGTAATATATTAATATATTTAAAAAACAATATTATAGAGAATTTTAGGTATTTTATGCTGGACTATATGAAAAAGGGATAAGATAAGGGGAATGGAAAATATATTATTAGGATAGATTAATGTATATATTATATATAAATTGATTAGTGGAGGAGGAAATTATGATTAAAATGGAATGAAACAAGGCTTTTGGAAGGACGCACATTAAAACTTTTCTTAGTATAAAATTTACTTTATTTTATTAGTCGAATTTAGGTTATTTATTAAGGTGAGTATTCTAATGGTTGGAAACAAGGTAGATGGGATATTATGTTTGATGACAAAGTGATGTATATATTTTGATTTTGATTAATAGAGGTGGAGGAGATTATAATTAAGGTATAAGATAGGGCAAGTGGGTAGATATCGATTGTAAATATGCTGAGTATGTTAATATAAGAAATAATAAGTTACTATTAAGTTCTATGTGCTGGAGAATATCTAAATGGATTTAAAATTGGATAATGGGATACCATATTTCAAGAAGTTGTAATGTAGTTTATTTATTTATCATATATAAGTGGAGGAGGAAAATATGAAGATGGAATTAAAAATGGAAAATGGATAGTCCAAGATTAATAATGGAATCAGTATAAGTTTTTTTCATTTTAGACATAAATAATTATTTCAAGAGATCAATTTTTAAAATGGAGTACAATAATACTCTAATTGAGATTTTTAGTATTCGAATTTTAAATTCATAAAACATTCAAAATTTATTTTTTTCTATTTTAAAATTGTGAAATTACTCCTTTAAAAAATCTATCATCATTGAATATGTTATTACATATAAATTTAAAAAGAATTTAGAAATTTATTCTAAATGTCCTCTTTTTATAGATAGAATGTTTAATATAAATCTTTAAATCTATTTACTTGCTATAAAAAGTATTTTAATTATCGTTCATATTTAAATAATTTAAATTTATATTAACTTCAAATTTATTTAAACCCAACTATTATAACATAATTTCATTAAATTAATTTATTAAGATTGTGAATTTAATGCATGAATTACTACTAAATCGTTTCTTTATGTGGAGAAAAAATAAAAACAATATAATTACCCAATTTTAAAAGATTAAATTAACCATTTAGCTTAATATTATTAATATGGAAAAAAAAATTGCGATGATTTGTGTTGAATTTATTTTTAATAACTTTTGGATTCTATATTACTACTCTATGACTATTAGTCAAAATAATAACCTTTAAGATAACTCTATCCATTTATGGGATGTTATCACAGGATAATAAAAAGCCTAATCGATGGCCTTTATGGTGCTGTCTTCTCAATATGCTTTTCACCTGATGGAACTATATTAGCATCTGGTAGTAAAGATAATTCTATTAATTTATGGTATGTTAATACAGGATAAAAAAAAACCTAAAAGGATGGTAACTAAATTTAAATAGTTCATCTAGACTTTTATTTAATTCTTTGAAATGCAAAGAGAGAGAGTAACAAAATAAACAAATTTACAATAACCAGAAAATACATGATGATATGATTGATTGATTTTTTGATTAAGTATTTGATTTTATAAATAAGAGTTGATAATAATTAAATAGAAAAAAAAGAAAAAATATTTCTTAAAGAATCTTGGATAAGATTATAAAAAAGATTTACAACAAAAAAAACTAAGCTAATTATGGATATTTGGTCTTAAATATTTATAAGCGGTAAGCATTAATTAAAAATTATAATAGCTTTCCTATGGTTTTAATAAAGTCAGTCTTAAATATTTTATGAATATATCTGTTAATTCACAAATTTGTATTGAATTAATTGTTAAAGGAAACTTTTACTTATTAATTATACAAAGTCAGATGAATGAATATATAATTTATGTTCACAGATTCTATCATAATTGGGTTTTACTGTTAAGTGGAATCTAAAAAGGTTACTAGACTTTTGGTTTTGCTAAACATCTCAAGACCATTTTGAAGGGTTTAAATTATTTTAGCTATCCATTTCTATTTGGAAAAGTTTTTATGATTAAAGCCAAGGTTATTATTTTAAAGTATTGTTTGGAGTATTTACCATAATTTCTTTTTTGTTACTGAATTAAGCAGGGCTATTTACCTTGCATCTGATAAAGCTTCTTAACAGTATAAAAAAGAAGTTTTAGAAGTTCTTCTGAAACTTAGAGAAGCATTCAAAATCAGTCAAAACTTAGCATTTACTTTCATCCTTTACTTTAAGTTATATGGGTGGGTATGGATAAATACACATTACAATTAGCTTAACCTTTTGAATTATAAAAATGTTCAGCAATAAATATATATGGAGGTGAATAATCTTCACATACAAGTTGAGGTTGAATTTTAGACTTGGTTTTCGTATTTGATAAAAAATTAGATGTAACAAAGCTATGATGTGCTGTCCTAGAAAATGATTAATCTGTATAGAAGATTGAGATCATTGGTTTAGAACTATGGATTTCTTGACAAAAAATCACAACCTATAATTTTGAAGCAATACTTCTTTCTTAAGTGCAGAAGGAGGAGCTTTAATTATTCCATATAAAAATGATATTCCTGGTTCTAATTTATTATTGGGAACAAAGTTAGAGATCTATTAAGTAATAATCTAAAACCAAAAAAAACTTTGGTAGCGTAAATTTAAAATCAATATATTAAGAAAGTATCAAATATATGCAATGAATTTTTTACAAGAAATGTATTGCTATAAATTATTTAAAACTAATCTTAATTAACATATATTTAACTTAAATTAAATTATTTATTAATTTATTAGAATTTAAATTAAATTATATTTCATATATGAAACAAACTTTAAAAAAGTTAAATTTCATTTTTATACATCTGGATTGTTATAATTAACTCTATATGCTAATATTATTCCTATATCATTTACTCTATTGTATTTTTTGGTATGTCGAATTTAACACCTTTTCATTGTTAAAGAGAATTACGGAAGTCTCATTTATATTAATAATAAAATAGGTATATTTTTTTATAAATATTTTTTAAATCTAAAAAAAATTATATTAAATTATGATTACTAAAATTTACATATATACACTCATAATTCTACAATTTTAACTGTTAAACTTGAGAATCCACAAACTTAATTATACATTAAATTATATAATCATTTTATTAGATTATTCAAATATTTTGTTTTTGTTAAGAGAAGAAATTACTATAATAATATCCTTTTCCAATTTTAGAATGTATTATTTTAATAGCAAATATTTTTCATAAACTTAAACAATAGAAAAATATGGGTTTTGCGCATTTTGCCAACAATAGTTTAAATGGATTAAATACTTTAAATTAAGATAATCATGAAAAATTTAAATAAAAATATAAGTAAAACTTCTTTACAGAAGTAAATTTATATAAGTAACATAGATAGAGCATTTCTTGTTATCATCTGTTGAAATAATTTATTATTGTAATAAAATTAATATTTTAATTGTGATCGAGAATTTAATCACCGTCTAATTTGAATCAGTAAAAATAATAATTTTAATTAAAAAAAGTTAGTGTAAAAATTAATCAATAAAAGAAATTTCAGTAAAAAGAAATTAAAATTTTGGAGATTCCTACTCAAGAAAAAAGTTCAATAATTCAAATGATGTGAAGAATAATTGATGTAAATTAAATCCAAAAATTATATATGGGTATTTCACAATTCAAACGAAAATTTTAAGAATTATCCATAGATATGAGTTTAATAATTACTATTATTTGTTTTCTCAATACATGATTTTTAAACTTTTTACCAGACGGAGCATGATATAATATATTAAATATAATTACTTGAATTATTTGATGATCATTTTTCACCAAATATTAAATTTTAATTCCAATAATTCTTTCATATATATAAGCATTTTTTAAATACTGTTATTTATTAAATATTTGATTAATAAGAATGATTGTATTTATAGCATTAGTGCAGATGAGTTATCAAAATATGATATATGTTTTTGATGCAAATTATGAAAAACCAGATGGTATGTTCGAGTAAATTATTAATTAGAATGGTAATTTGATATAAATGTTGATTTCAATACTTGTGAAGGGATTAATTATTTTGGGGCCGAGTTAATTGAGTTTTTAATTATAGTAAGATAAAAATATATAATTAGAGCAGATTATTTTTAAATCTAGAATCCCATTCTGCAATTAAAGTGGAAGCAGATTTTGTAATGTAATGATTATTTTTAATTTAAAAAGTCTTAATTCAGATGATAATGTTTAAATCTTTCTAGATGATGAACCAATATAATATAAATAAACAAGGTATTAAAATGCAAATTTAAACACTTGTGGAACAATATCTACATCATCTATTTCTTTTATTCATTCTCATAACAGAAGATCAGGTTGGATAAAAATAAAATAACCTTATGGAGGAATGATAAGGTTGTAATTAAGTATCCTGAAATGTTAAGAAGAATGTATTGCATGTATTTGCAATTATCCAAATAGTTGTATAAAATGGAATCTGCATTAATATGCATTTAATTAAAAAGAGATCGGTTTTCCTGATGGATGGACAATTACTCCTAATATTTTAGATATTACTACCTAATTTTGTGGAGGTTGCGAATATTTGAAATTCTAAGAAATTTCTTATTCGACTTAACTACCTCCTCATTAAGATATATTAATAAGGTTTTTTAAGGGATCTTCAAATCCTATATCTTGCGACTATATTTTTGACAAATTGATAATTTAAGGGAATGTATATTTTGTTGAAATTTTATTGAAAAATTACCCTAATTCAATTTTGAATCTGAAAATAAAAAATGTCTCTTCTAATAATTACATTTGGATAAGAGATTTTGAAATATATTACACTTAGCCTGAAATAACATTTTTAAGTCTTAATGAAGGTTGTTAAGACTAAATTGGCGATGCATGTTTAAATTGCAGATATGGTTGGATTTAAGATGAATATCAATAGAATTGTATTCCTATCTGTGGGGATAGGATTATATAAGGAGATGAAGAATGTGATGATGGAAATTTAATATATAATGATGGTTGTTTTTAATGCAAATATTAATGTATTGATTCTTGTAAAACTTGTATGTTTGGTATTTGTAAACAATGCCAAGATGGTTTTGTTCTTAATGTAAATAATAATTGTGATCCATTATGTGGAGATGGCATTGTGATTCCTTACTCAATTGAATAATGTGATATAAATAGTAATGAAGATTAGAGTGGTTGTTAGAATTGTAGATATATATCAATTCCTTATTGTAAATAAAGTTATCTTTCAAGTTGTTTAGAATGCTAAGAAGGATTTTTAATTTTAAATAATGTATGTTACCCTTATTGTGGTGATCTAAAATCAAATGATGATGAGGATAGAAATTTATAATCTTATGATAGTTGCATTATTTGCGATAAAGGATTATGCAGATTGAAATGTCATGATGGATATGAGTTTATTAATTAAAGTTGTTATTCTATTTGTGGAGATTAAATTATCACTATAGAAGAGGAATGTGATGATGGAAATAATATTATATTTGATGGTTGTTTTGATTGCAAGTATTCTTGTCCAGAAAATTGTTATGATTGTTATCAAGGTATTTGTAGAGAGTGTAAAAGTCAATATTAATTGTAAGATTCAAATCAATGTAAATTATAAGCAATTTGTGGAGACGGATTAGTGTAGGAATAAGAGGAATGTGATGATGGAAATAATTAAGCAGTTGATGGTTGCATTAATTGCTTAATTGAATAAAATTGGATATGTAATTCAATAATAAAAGATTCTCCAAGCTAATGCATATTTGTCAAACCTCCCCATTTAGTAATTAATTATCTTAATATGACTCAAAATAAATAATACATAAGCATTTAATTTAATTAATAAGTAAAAGTTTATACTACTTATCTATTATCAAAATCTATTAATCTAAAATTAATTGATATAGACAATTAAAATTGGAATAGCAGTCTTTACATAATTTAGGATGTAGGATCTTATTTTATTTTTGGAGAGTATGTTTTAGAAATAGAAATATTCTAATTAATTGATTTTAGACCTACCTTGACAATCTCATTAAATCAATCTGTTGCTAATATAGATGATGCTATCTTAGTTGACTATTCAAAATCCATAACATTAGATTATCCAAGATATCTAAATGAATTACAAGTTGATTATTCATTTAAATTAAAAAATACCAATATATATCTTTTATATATTTTAGCTTCAATAACTGCATTAAGTTTATTATTTGGAACTGGGGATCTATTTGTTGAAGTTTTGGCCATTTTATAATACTAATAATACTTAAGATACATAAATCTTAAAATTCCATTAAATTTAGAAATATACTTTTCTATTAATGATATGATATCTATAGAACCTTTACTGGAGTTTATTCATTTTCGATTGATCTTTAAGTTTATTAATATTTAAACAGACTAAGAATATTCTGAAGGAAAAATAATTAAATAAAATTCTAATTTGATAGTAAATCTTTCATCTCAAATAATTTAATGTGTAATTTTTTTACTTCTTATTTTAATTTTCAAATGGATTAAAAAAGTAATTTATAATTGGATATTTTGCTCTAGATACTTTTAGTGTATGTCATCGTTATATAAATTTATAAGTCCTACTTTTATTGTTAAATTTAGTAAACTATTATATGATAATTGTTTGAGTATGATTCAATTAAAAAAATTGATATCTTTTTAAGGATTATAAAAAGCCTTATTATTAAATGGTTGGGATATGGTATTTAAAATATTATTATATACAAGAAATATTTAAACTAATAATTACTTAGATATTATTCAGATTATAATAGCAGGCATAATTCTTTTTTTATATTTTATTGTTATATTTAACAATTTTAATGATAAAAATGATAAATTTAAAATATACAAACAGAAAAGTTATGAAATTTTTAACTTTATTAGATAATTCTTATTTTTATTTTTCCTGATATATGTATAAAGTTCCTAGATGCTTTAATTAGGATTGCTCCTTTTAACAAATATTTTTCAGATTAATTTAATATTTAATTATCGTTGCATCCTAATAAAATATAAATATATTATTTAAATGGCTGTTGAGGCATCAGTATTTATATATATGCTGAGTTCATTCATGTACATAGAAGAGTTTAATTAATATTTTAATGAAACTTAAAAGATATTTTTAGGATGGATCTAAGCAATCATATTGTCTAAAGCCATAATTATAGAATTAGTGATGATTTTATACAAGTCCTGCATTGTATTAAAATAGAAATTCATAAATAAGCCAAAAAATCAATCGTTATAAATAAATTATAGTCATGGATAAGAATAAAAAGCCTTGCCGAATAAAATGATTTTTATTGCGTATTGATTTAATTTAAATATATTTTCGAATTCTTTATAATTTATAAAATTATTTATTACTTGATTACATTTGTTGAGTATTTATAATTACTTTTATAATTATTTAGATCTTAAATAATGATAAAATTAGTATTTCTTAATTTAAATTAAATTTTCATTTTAATTAAAAATAAAAAACCACACAAATCTATTTTTAAGTAAGATATCATTTTTTGATGCCTCTTAATGATTTTTGTTTAATTTAATATGAAAATATCTTTAAAATTAAGAAGTAATTTAAGTCTAAAAGCTTAATTATGTAATACATCAATCTTATTAAAGCTTAAATAGAATATTGACATAAAAAAATAATTTAAATACTTAACACTGTTACTTTAAAAATTTTTGGATTTTTTTTTCATGTAAACTAATTTAGTTATATTAATAAAGTTTATAATCAATGAAAGATATAAAATAAGTAGGCTTAAGCATTATAATAAAAATATGGAGTCTCAAGTAGATTTTTTGCTTAAAACATGAAAAAGTATTCAACTTTCCATATTCAGATAAATGAAAAGATAAGGTATTTTAGAATTATCTTATTTTTATTAATATTGAATAAATTCAAATTAATGTTTTGTATTTATTTATTCTATTTATAGGAATTCTCTTCATTTATCATAAATAAAAACTAACCTCAATTATATTGTTTATAGTTAGCTAATTTTATTTTATTATTAGAAAGATTTTATTTATTTTTTTGATTAAAAAATTGTTTGAATCAATATAAATCCTGCTTTTTTTAATCATATTTTCTTTCAACCCATAAGCCAACTTTTATACCTTTTTAATCATAGGCCCCAATGAGGATGAAGTATTTCTTGAGATAAAATTTGTCACATAATTCTTCCCAATCTCCAATCTTTAGCCCCTCTTCATAAAATCCACCACCACTAATATATCATTTTATGATATTTACATTTATTTATATTCTTTGTCATATTCTCGTTTAAAAAAAATATCCCATCTATTTATTTTTATACCTTTTTAATTATACTCACCTTTATAAATAACTTAATTCTATTCTTCAAACCTGTCATCTAATTCCTCCCACTTTCCGACCTTTTGACCCTTTTAATATAATCCCCCACCACTAAAATAAGATTCTATACTTCAATAATATTTACATTTATTTAAATTCTTTTTTTTCAAAAATCTCCTAAAACCAAATATCCCATCTACCTACTTTCATTCCTTTTTAATCATATTCACCAATATTGATGACTTTTTTCCTATAGTAAAACCCTTCAAAGATCTCGATCCATTTGCCAATTTTTTAACCCTTTTCATAATCATACAATCCCCCTCCACTTACATTTTGATATATAAATTATCAGATTTACATTTATTAATATTGATGTTCTCCCTTTTTGCAATACATAATATCCCATCTACCTATCTTCATACCTTTGGAATCATATTAACCATTATAAGTGACTTAAGCTTCATTCCAAAAGCCATCCCATAACTCAATCCACATCTCAATCTTTACCTAACCTTCTTTGTATAATCCACCCCCACTAATATTTATTTTTATGACATAATATTTACATTTGCTAAAATTCCAAATCATATTCCCCCTAATACAAAATATCCCATCTACCTACCTTTTGACTTTTATTATCATATTCACCTTTATAAGTGAGCTAAGAATCCTTCGAAAAACCATTCCACTATTCTATCCATGTTCCAAATTTTTTATCACCCTCTAAGTTATCATATAATCCACCGCCACTTGTTTTTTTCTATACTTCAAAAAAATTTACATTTATTTATAATCTTTTTTTCCACAAATCTATTAAAACCATATTTCCCATCTACCTACTTTCATTCCTTGCTCATTATATTCACCTTTATAAGTGACCTAAGAATCATTTTAAAAACCTTTCCACAATTCAATCCAACTTCCAATTTTTTTCTCACCCCCTAAATTATCATATAACCCACCCCCACTAACATATACTTCAATAAGATTTACATAGATTTATATTCTTTTTTTCCACAAATCTCTTAAAACCATATATCCCATCTACCAACTTTCATAGCCTTCTTATCATATTCACCAATATAAGTGACTTAATTACTATGCTCAAACTCTTCACACAACTCAATCCATTTCCCGATCTTCTAAGCTTTTATATAATCATATTAACCACCCCCACTGACATATTATTTTATAATTTATAAGATTTACATTTATTTTTATTAATACATAATATCCCATTTACCTATTTTCATACCTTTTAAATCATATTCGCCAATATAAGTGACTTAAGCTTGATTCTAAAAATTATCACTTAATTCATTCCATTTACCTTACTTTAATCCTTAGGTATTATAGGAACCGCCATCGCTATAATTTTTAATATCAGTACATTTTTTTATTGTTGTAAATATATATCCATTTTCTTATTCTTCTATCATTATAATACTCTCCAAATTCAAAAACTTTAGCTTCACTATTAATTATTGTAGTTTAATTTTCTTTACCTTCCATAATGTTTCATCAGTTCTTTCCATTAACCTTGCCTTAAACCTTTTTTGTAGTACCCACCAACATTTATTAAAGTATTTCCATTCCAAAAAGCAATACTTTTTCCATTTTTCTTTTCATTAAACCTGTTATCACTTTCCCAAGAAAGATGTCGAATCTGTTCCATATTTTTAAATATTATTGGATTGTTAGAAGCATCATTAAATTTTTCTCTATGTAACTTTAAATAATATTTACGCCCTCAAAATCGCTCCGTTACTAGAATAAATTATATAGTCATCTTTAGTAATTGTGATTTAAATTTGTATTTTTATTTTCATATCTTTGTAATAATTCCATGCATCCACAACATAATTTTAGGGCTTTTCTTTGAAAGTTTAAATCTCTTAGCAAATATTTTGATTTTCAAATTAATTGCTCATTTTTTAATATTAATTGAATTCTATAATTCAAATATTATAAAAAGTTATTCAGATATTTTTGATGATAACATTTAGAATGGTCTTATTAATTAATACATTATGTTGCATTTTATATTATATAATCGTACTTTTTTTAGAAACCTCTATGAAAAAAGTCTGAATTTTTTAATAGTTTATAATGCTATTTTTTTTAATTTCAAAAATTTCTTCTTCTAATTTATCGTTGACTAAATTATAAAAAAAAATCTAATTAAAGAATCGTAACTAATAATCCTGGTATCAACGAACACTAAAAACCTCTTTCAACGTCCTTCATCAAGCAAGTTTAAAATACAAAAACCTTAGAGGGAAGGAGTTGTGGAACAAATAAATATCTGTTTGGAAGATCAAACATATTTATAATCTTAGGTAGTCATCAATTAATTCTAAAAAAATATCAAAATAATTGTTTAAAATATAGTCAATTTATAAAGAAATATATACAAGTTTGCTAGTTTTTTAGTCTTAAGTAATTTAAAAATTTAATAAACTCTTTTGGAATATCAAAAAGATATACATATGTGAATTTTAATAATCTAAAAGAATTATAATTTTAACTTGTTAAATTAATTTGAAAAGGAAAGTAAAAAATTTTATGTTTTTTAGATAATAACTTAGCTTAGCTCTATGACAATTTTGTAAATTAAAAAATGATGATTCCAGGATCTTAAAACACTTATTGAAAAAAATAATATAAATCTGTTTTGAATAATCATAATGATTGGATGTTCTTGAACTCACATGGTGCTGTAGTGTTTTATATATCATAAGTTTTATTCGGACATATGATATTGTATATAGCAGAAACTAAATCATTTGAATTACTTATCATGAGAGTATTACTTTTTTATATTATTTTAATTAAATTATACTTGTTTTTAATTATTATAAGATATTTTCTATACTGTAATATTTACAAAATATAATATTAATTTTTGAGTATTAAATAATTGATATATCCATTAGATTAGGTTAATAAAATTATTAATAAATATTCAAATTCTGATACCAAATTATAATCCAAATTATACAACTTTGAAAGTTTAATTCAATTATGAAATTTTTAAAACATTTGATCCTTAATGAACTATCAAAAAGATGATTATGGAATGTATCATAATGGTTGCCACTTGTTAAGTAAACCTACAAAGCATTTTTACATATTCAGATAGAGTAAAATGTATTTCAGTTGATACTACATGCTCATTTACTGTAAGATGCCACACAGAGATAATTTTTGTTTTTAATACATTCTTAACAAATTAATATTGGCTAGTTTAAAAATAAAAACAATTTCTTTACTTTTATATGTTCTGCTTCAGAAAAAATATAAATGTTCCTTTAAATAGAAATTAAAATTCATTACTTTGCTGAAGGTGAAAAAATTCATCAATTTTTTTGTTTTAATGAAATAACAATCAACTATTTAGGTTACTAAAATTTCACATTATATTCATTCTTTGGATTTTTTATATATATGAATATGATATCAAAAATTACAAAAATAAAGGAAAATGCAAGTAAGAACAATAGATGGTAAAAGAAAATTAAAAAGAAGGCATAGAAACTTAAATAAAAATAAGAAAATGTGAATATTTAAGCGCAACAGAATCAATAATAGGAAAATTCATTTCAATTGGGACTAATGTAAATTCTTAAATGTAGTCATTTTAATTTTTTATGGTTAAATTTGATTAATTGCTATGCCAGATGATGCTAAATTCCATAGATAAATTGATCCAAATTTATCGCTTCCAATTAATAGAGTTCTTAAAGGATTAATATCTAAAAAATAAATATCTTCTATTTCTGATGGAATCTTCCTAATCAAAATCTGATTTTATTAATATGCAAGCCTCACAAAAATGACGCTTCTGTAACAATTCAATTGATAATCTAGGAATAAAATATGATCAACTCTATAATAAAAGAGCCTTTGCTCATTAGATTTATGGAGATGGATGTGAATTTGGAGAAATGTTTCAATGTAGAGAAGATTTATTGACACTTTGTAAAAACTATGAGGAATATGGATTAGAAGAAGATGAAGCTATTGAATGAAGTTAATAATTAAATTTATTTTAATTATTTTCATCAAACTTTATTTTATTTAAAAAACACAGATTTTACTCACTATTAGTTTTTACAGAATCAATTTTATATAGAATATTATCAATTTCAAATATTCAATGTAAATACCTTTTTTTTGATTAAATCATATATAACTTTATCTAATTATTATTTTATCTATATCCTGTGTACAAATAGAAAGTATTAAAGTATTTAGTAATGAATATTGACCATTTTTAATTTTGAAAATATTAATTCATATCAAATATTTTAGTGTTATGGTAATATATCTTTTAAATTTAATTTTTTTTAAATTTATATTCTTAATAAAATAGGATTTATATATTATAAAAAGTTTTTTATTCCCTTCTTTTTAGTTAATTTAAAGACTTCTACTGACTAATTAATTTACTATTCATCTTTAAACAATCCTTATTATTTATATTTGAATAGGAGAAAGATACCAGGCCATCATATTAAAAACTCAGAATAAAACTTTTGCATTTGCCATGATTAATTTAGTTTATCAATTCCTTTTTTTAGTAATAAACTAGATTTCATTTTAGATTCAATATATAGTATTTATTAAAAGATAAAAAATAATAAAAATGTTGCAACATTTTAACATCAAGTTTTCTAAAAATTTGCTTTTATCTAAAATCTTTAAAATATAAATTGAAATAATTAAGATGATGATTTAATCTAATTATTTTTATTAGTCAATTAATTTAATAACAATATAATATGTATTCTTCAGTTAACCATTAAAATTTCTTAATAAACTTGTCCTTATGTTTAATTTAATCTTTTTAAATTTGCTCTTGAGAATCATAATTTTGTACTAAAGATTGCAATAAAACTTACTTAAAAAGACGCGTTTTCATTCTGCAACTATGATCTTGAATTCTTTAACTTAATGCTCAAATATTTATAGCTTCAGATATTCGAAATCAATTATAGTAATAAAGCTCTCCATTTTAGATGATTTAAAACTCTTCTTTTGATAGATTTAAGAAATAAAGTTAGTTAAGTGCCTTTGGGTGTGTGAAACTAGTTTTCATTGTCTTCTTTTGTACACTTTTAATACTTTTGGTATTTCTTTATTTTAATTAAGTATTTAATAATATTTAATTATTATTTTCTTCTTTTTATATTCTTTACAATCATAAATATAATTTTACAATGATTAAAAACTAATATTGACAAATTGACAAAATAAAAATATCTTTGTGAACACCATTGCAATTATATTAAATTAATGAAATTATTTTAAAAATAGTAATCAAATAAAAAATTCTTTATTATAAATTAAACTTCTTATTATTTTATAATATATATTAATTATTATTTATAATCTGGAATGCATAAAATAACACTGAAATTTTTAGATCAGTCTATTGAATAGAAATACTAACAAGAACATTAATCACCAAAAAGAAAAACCCATATCAAAATATTGTTGCTCACTTTTTTTGCGCTTACGATCATTAAATCAACTATTGCATTAATTTATAAAAATTATGCAGTAGTTTACCCTTTACTAGGAATTGTGCCATTACTAGCTTTTTCAAAATTCTTTAATATTAATAAAGATTATCACTAACGAGGATTAATCATATACCTCAATATTTTTTTTTCAATTTCTGTGATTTTCTTTGATGATCAATTAGATTCTGCAACTATGCACTTTAGGGGAGCAAATTAAATGGCTATCAACATTATCAATATACTTGGAATTGAATTTTTTAGATTCAATAATAACAATTATTTTATTGTATTCACTTAGATTATTTCATCTTATCTAGAATAGTTCAAGCTTTGATATTACAACTATTATTTTGGGGTTTGGAATTAATTTAACATTAATAATTATTGTCTATTTATATCATAAAGCAACAAGATCTCAATTCCTTTTAACTAAAATTGATTAAAGATGGGAAAATATTCTAAAATAAATTCTTCATAATTAAAAATTTATCTTAATCAATTATCAAATCGAAAAATTAAAATTTTAAAATGTTACTTCCACTTTTTCGTAATCCATTCAATCATAAGAAGATGTCATGAAATTTTTAAGGGAGGCCAAAGTGGATAATAGGTCATTAGAATAATATTTATTTTAGAAATTATAAGAATTCTCATAAAAATATTTGGAAATTATGAATCATTCAATAAATATAAAGTTTGATAATTAATTAATGTCAGTTGATTTTTCTATATTTCTTGGAAATTAGCCGACTATCCTAATTTAGATCAGATAATAACATGTATAATTTTAAAATGAGGAAGTCCAGAAAGTATGTTAATTGTATTTAAAATTATTAACTGTTTTTATTAAAATAATTAAGTAAAATATACCTTTTAATTATGATTAATTCCATAACTTAGCTAATAAGGTGTTAATTTAATAAATAATCACATCAATTTGGAGTTAATAAATAACATCAAAAATAATCAGTCTTGAGAAATCTTTGTAAAAAATTTAAAAATTTTGTTATCCAAACACTACAATTCAACTTTTTGGTTCAGATTATTTCATAAATACTATTCCAAAAATATTTTATTTATTATTAGCTTGCATAGTTGATAGTTCAAACAGCGAGTCGATCAGAATTAAAGGTTACACTAATAAAAATGAATTGAAGCTAATTAAAATACAAGGACAATTTGATATCCCAAAATTAAATAATTATACTATAAAAATTAAGAATTACTTACTTCTTATATGCAAAGAGGTTAAAGCGTAACAATTTTGTATAATTTTTAGCAAAATTTTTTTAGGTATTAATCTTGAATTTAATGATGAAATTGTTTAACCATTTACTAATATTAAAATGCCTTAATTACATTTTAATTGGTAAAAGAAGAAGTTCACTCAATGAATCAATATAAATTTAATTTTATCTTTTATAATAATGATTGCTTATATTGTTATAGTAATAATATATTATTATTAAAACAATTTATTTTATCATTCAAATTAAAGAAACATCTTCAAAACTAGTACATTATTAATAATTTTGAAATATTCTTTAATGTTGCACTTTTAAAACTCTTTACAAAAATCAGCTTAAGACTTTTATATTTCATTTATTAATATCAAAGACATAATTCTAAACCTCCATTATAATTCGCCTAACCTACTTCAATCATTACCAAACCACTATTTACTCATTGGATTACGTTTTTTATTTCTGTAGCTATTAGATGGAGATTAAAACAATCATTTATAACATTGAAGCGATCCTCTATATTTTTTAATAATTTTGATATTCTTAATGAATCTTGTATTTTTTTTTACTTGCCTCATCAATAATATCTCAATTACTAATAATTTATAGTTTTAATCAAACTAGATATGTTTATAACAATCTTAATATTTCTAAAGTTTTGTTTACCTCTTTTAATTTTAGTTAAACCATTCTCAAATTATTGAATACTTTAATATTTCTAAAATCATTTATTTCTGAAATAAAAAATTAGAAAAAAACTAAGTTCTATAATTAATTATGAATATAATTAAGATATTATATCTTTCATTATTTTTGATCAATACAATTATAAATCCTCCTCTAATATATTTCAATTCCCCTTTGTTTTAATAAAAACATCATTTTTAGTTTAACTTAAATGCTAAATCCATAAAATCTATATTATTTCAATTGAATATTAGCATTTTAATTAATTTTTTGATTGCATCTTAAAGATTTATATGAATACCATTTTAGTTATAATAAATTAATAAAAAATTTATATTCAATGGCCTACCTTAAGTTTTATAAGTGAAACCTTAAATTTGACTAAAGAACTTTTGATATTCTTTGTCATTTTATAAATCTATGAATTCTTTGTTTGCTTAGACTTTTGAAGCTATTATATTGACATATTTTTTAATTTTGTTTTATAACTTTAATTCTCTGATTATTACTACATAATTCTCTGACAACAGAGCTCTCCTAGTCCCTTTTCTAAAATTTATAAAAAACTGTTATAATTTTAATATAATAATCAGGGCTAACATAAAATGAAGGCATGGCTAAAATTAATTCAAAGTTTAAAGGATTCTAAAATTTTCCAATTAATATTAGACAAACCTTTTTACTAACAATCAGAAATTGTAAACTACATTAATGCAGATTTAACACAACTCACCGATATTACTTAAAAGTTATAATTTTTAATATTAAGAAGCCTAGAAAAGAAGATCAATGATATAATAGTGTAAGCAGGAGTATTCATTAAATATGTTAAATTATTATTATTCCCAAATTCTTAATCTAATTATTAGATGGTATATGATTTCAATTGATGTAATATTTTCTTAAATTCTTCAATCTGTTTGTTTTTGTTTTAAAAAATTTTTCCACAAATCCTACCTTCTTCTTTTGATTTTCGTTAATTAATTAAAAAACCTACTTAAAACTCATTAAATTATTAAATTTTATTTTAAATTATCCATGATTTCTGCATAAAACTTTGCATTTAAATTGCAAGTTTTTTATTCATCGAACACATAAATTTCTCATTTTTTATTTAATCATTTGTTTTTACTACTCCATCTTTTTCCAGCATTAAATTCTCGCAATCTTTTCTTAATTAGAAATAAAGTTCTGACCCTATCTTTGTTATATAATAAATTATTAGAAATCATTCAAAAAGAAGCAACAAAAGTTTACGCGAGTAGTCTAATTTGGGATGCTTTAAATATTATATTCATTTAATTGTTATTCTTGATGAATCAAAAACTAAAAATTAAAAAATCGAAATTCTTACAAAATTACTTTAAAAAATTTAATTTTCAATAAAACATTTAGAATGTTCAATTAATATATTTGATTTCATCAAGTTTTTTATTTTTATCTAAATCCATTTTTACCCAAATTCCAGCTTTTATTCCAACTTCATTATATTGACCAAGATTAATTATCTATCCTATCCACCTAGATTCATCAACTAACTCTATCCAATCTCCTATTTTTCTTGTAATTCTATCTTATTCATTATTATATGATCCACCTCCACTTAAATAATTAAGAACTTTTTTTACTTTTATATGTATTCTTCATCTCCATCTTTGCAATACATAATATCCCACCTACCTTTTTTTTTACCATATCTATTGTATTCGCCAACATTGTTTATTTTATTATTTTAATCTTGCAAATTCCAGAGTTAATTGAACTCTCTGTTTCGCACCATATAATTGATAAAATTTTTGCTATTTAAATTATTCTAACCTCATCCTTAAATTTCAAATTAAATTTTCTTTCTCTAGGTTCTTAATCCTATTAAAATAATTAAATTATCTAAATATGATTTAATCCTAATTAAACAAACTCAAAGTATAAAATTCATCTTAATTTTCACTCAAAACTATTTCAAAAATTATTTCATCTTCATCAGTTATTGAAATTGCATGAATCAATAGAAACTTTACGAAAAAAGGTATTAGAAAACACAGTCTCACAAAAGCTAAGTACTTGGTTCTTACACAAACTGAATCAAAATTGATATTACCTAGATTTTTTCCTAAAAAACTCAACAGAAGCATAGAATTTGAGGCCAAGCGAATAAACTTTGAGTTTTTTTCGATAGATGAACTAATGACACCAATCGGTTTTTAATGTAACATTATCTTATAATTTTACTTTGAGTATTAGGATTTTGAGATCCAAAAAAAGGAGACATAATCAATTGAGAGAAAATTACTTCTCTAAGAATCAGATATGTAAATTCTTTAAAAAATTAAAATGAAGACAGAAATCTTGCTCCATCAATTTTTTTAAATATTATTAAAGTTGGCAATTATTATTAATTAAATTTTAAATTTCAACGATTCACAAAAGTAATCTCCATTATTTAGGATCTAATTGATATTTTGAATGTAAAGTCATGTATTATATTGGATTTTCTATCTATTATTAATTGTTATTTGAAAAATCTATTTCAAGAAGTTAACATATATATCAGATTATTCATATTACTGTTATGCAATAGTTAACTTTTCATATTACAATAGTTATTACCCTCAAATATTTAATAAATCTATTAAATTATTTTGTTAAAAAAACAATCAGATCCAGTTTTTTTTAAATTATCGAATTTTTTCATCGCAATAAATAGTAGAGTTATTTTTATTATTTACTAGAATTTTTATACATTTATTATTAATATTTAATTTTTTCATTAATTAATTTTATTCTTAGATATAATGAAGGAAGTTGTGTCTTAGAAAACTAAAACAAAGCTTTCATCTTAATATTCAAAATCATATCATGAATTCAATATGAATTAATTTCAAATATAATAAAATAAATGAATAATTTAAAAAGGGAATTTATTAATAATTAAATAATTTATGAGGCAAATTGATTATGATTTCTTAATAAAATTTAATTTGTATACTTATAATGAATGTATTTAACCGTTATTATCATTACATCTATTA